GCGTTTTTAGTCATATGAAAAGCGCATGGACAGCAAGTCGCAATTCGATAGTGAGTGAAACGATAGCTGCTGAATTGAAAATCAGATTGAATAGTACTATGGCATGTGAAGATTTTTTTCTTTACCCAAACACAACCGCAACTAATAAAGTAAGCCAAAAGTCAACAAAAATACAGTTTCGAAAAAAAGCGTGCAACAGTTAGTGTAAATATAAATCGAGAAGGTTCGCTTTGAGTAAGCATTGTTTTATTATGATTGAATTGAATATATGTATGTCAAGATGAAATTTTATTGTGAACATATTTATTAGAAAATAAAGATTTGAATTTGAAAGCTAGTCTTTATAGTAAAAAGAAAAACTGAGAATGCCCTTTCCAGATTGAAAGTAGTTTTCGGAACTGATTTCCGTCGCTGATGAGCAGCGTGAAAGATGTAAATTGCGTACCTCCCGAATGTACCCCATTTACAACTGAGTTGTACCCGACGTGCACCCCATTTCGAAATCAGTGTACCCCATTTGGGACCTGAACACTTGGCAGCCCTGACTAAAACATAAAATAATTTCTTTGTTCTGCTACAAATAAAGCACAAAAGACGAGCAAGTTTGAAATGATGATGTAGCAAATATATAAAACACGTTTTCACTTTACGAAGTACTGCCTTATTTATAATACACTATAAAACGCAGTACATGTTATAAATCGTAAGTATGTTTTGGTCATTTTGCATTTGCTTATGATATTTAGCACATATGACCTGATCAACAGTGTTTCTGATAGAAATCTAAAACAAAAAGTCAAATGACACTTTGGTTTTGCTATCACAGTGCAAAATGATATTTTGTTTTTCAAAGCAAAGTATCCGAAGTGTCAATCACCAAAATTAAAGTAAAAAGAGAAATATTTCATATCTTTTTATTAATATTAAGTGAATCTATTGTTAAAAAATAATGATTACTTGAAAATAACATTGATTATTGAAAAACACAGAAAAGATAATAACCACAACAATAGTACTAATACATAAATTCAAATTTTAAAATAGCACCAATTTATAAATTCAAATATAGTAGCAGCAGCACTTTATAAATTTAAGTAATAATAGCAACAGCTTAGAAATTCAAATAGTAAATTATAGTATTAAATTAATTCAAATAATAATAATAACATTAGATCAATTCGAATAATAATAATAATGGCGACAATTGTATTGTGATGTGATTGAATCAGAAACCTTCTAGCAATATGATAAAATTAATATGACGATGCCAGAACATGAAATTTATCTCGACTGAAAAAAGAATAAAAAGTTCGAAGTTTGCATCCAACAAAAAGAAAAAATGAAGAAATTTTCAGCTAGTATCTACTTGATACTTTGTTTTCCTGAGCAAAGTGCCAATCAGAGTGTCAAATTAAAATCACAAGTATCTTGGATACTTTGTAACAAAGGCGGACCCTTGCTATTAGAAACACTGCTGATGCTGACCAAAACCAGACCAAAACCCATATAATACACCTAATTGGTGAACACAGTTCACCAATTGAATATGAGCTTACCCAGGTCGATCAACTTATGTCGTACATGGCCATTTGGCCATAATTTACGACCGTTTGGTATGCACCGTATTACGGTCGTTTTGTATCGTGCCATAAACGATCGTATACGATGGTTTCTGGTAGCCGTAATGCTCGACCTGGGTAGATGACTCTGCCTTTCAAGTAGTGTGCGAATTAAAAAAGGTCATATTAAAATTTTGTGAAATTTTTATTTCTACTTGAAAAACAAGAACAAAAATTGGATTTTCGATTGTATGATTGTTTTCTAATTGGTTGAGCATTCATAAGTAATCAGAAATAATTATCTAATATACCCAGGTCGGTCAAAACAGATATCGTTACGGCGTCGTTTACGGCCGTAAACGACAAGAATACGGGGTATTTACAGCCTTATACGATGGAAATACTGCCCGTTACGGCACCGTATTTCACCGTTTTAACAGGGCAGTAATACGGCCATATTTGCCCGTACCGTATACGATGAGAGGTATATAGCTGTTTACGAAAGTTATGGTAGTCATTTACGGACCGAATTTTCCAAGGAGAATCAGGGCACATCGGAATCGGTCGGAACCGATCGGTTCCGTTGAATTCCAACGATTTCCTAACTAACGGATTCCGGCCCAGATTTTGTCGGACCATTTCCGATCGATTCCCATCGGTTCCGTCGATTTCCGACGAATTCCGGGTCGAAATTTTGCGGAATTTTTCCGGCGGAAACCGGACGGGGATCCGTTAGTTAGGAAATCGTCGGAATTCAACGGAGCCGACCGAAAAGCAACGGAATCCATAGGATCCGATGCCGGAAACGATCGGATCCACTGGTCGGATTGAATCTCCTGGGTTGATTCATTTACGACCAGAAATAGGTAGTTTATTTTCAGCTTAATCGTCATATTAACTTGCTGTTGTATACTGGCGAAGCCTATAAACTACTACATATCCGAATTCCTTTTTTCTTCGTTTAAAAATGCATTTTTTAATTAGAAAAACTAAAACAAAAAAGAAGAAACATTATTTTATTTAAACTTTCACCTATTTTCCATGATCGGACAAGTTACATAGGAAGTCGACATTGTAAGCAACGAGAGGCGCAATTCTACAAAAGAATTTCATAAATTTTTCAAAGCATAATAAATCTAAAAATAGAAAGAACAAACAATTTCCTGTCGAAAAAGTATTTAAAAAAACTTGGCATCATGTTTTTCTAAATGAAAAGAGAGTTCGATAATGTCTTCATGCTGCTAAAGTCTCTTGCGTACTCACGAAAAGCAAAGATCCGAGAAGTTGGAAATATTCAAATGAATATCTTCTTCAAACCTATAAATGTTTTTGAATTTTCTCAATATCATTGTTTCGAACGGATCAATAGAAAAAGGGAAAATAAAAAATCGATTAGAACTCCGTAAAACCCTGTAGAGTGTGTTTCAAACCGTACCAAAATCTTATTTGAAGCAAATTTTCATATTGAACCCATTTTCTATAGGGGCGCCACAATCGAGGATTTATGTTATATTGTTATTGAAGTCGATTTCTTAGGAAATGTAGATTTTTTTTGGTAGTTTTCATGCAGAAATTAAGGAACAACGTTATTGCCGTTGAATTGTGTTTTTTTGCGTCTACTGACAACATTCTACAGATACGACAAAATACGTACCATTTCGACGCCCGTTACGATGCCGTTTGCGGTGCTTCGTATACGATCATCGTGAATACTATCGTATTTCACCATATCAAGATCGTATACGGTCATTCGCAAACGATCTGCCGTTACGACCACCGTATTTAGCCGTATTATCGTCGTTTACGACCGTTTACTGATCGTTTTATCCGACCTTGGTAGATCAATTGTGTATATCACATGTCTATTACAATACAAATTCTCTACATTTAAGTCAGATAAAAACATTTCTATTTATAAACATGGAAAAATGATAACTGGTGAACAGGACAAATCAATATGGATATTTAACGATCAAAATGGTTTTATTCTTGGTCGCATTACTTGTATTGAACCAAAAACTATCATTGTTCAGCTAAACAACAACAACAACAACCAAGTGCGTTAAAAAAGGAATAACAACGATTTTTTATTTGTGTTTTTCAGATGTTTGTAATGCCGAATACGATTTGTCAAGCTGAAGAATATGATAAATATATGAATGATAATAGTACGATGTGTAGTTTGTAATTTATTATTAAGTGATTCTTTTTTTATTTTAAAGATGCATCAATATATCTCGACAAAGCTGCATTATTAAATAATCTTCATCGTCTTTACGAAAAAGATCAAATTTATATGTGTATTAATCGGAGCATTTTATTCTAAACTGTTTATGCATCTTTATATTCTCTGACAGTTTTATATTGCCCAGGTGAAAGAAAACGGTCCGTAAACGGTCTTAAACGTCGTAATAACAGTGTAAAACGTTAAAAAACGTGCCGTAATCCGTCAGGCCGGATTACGATGTCAAAACCGGAGAAAAACGATGGCCGTTTTCTAATAAAAAGCGGCCCTCAAAACGAGCTGATGGATTCCGACGAAATAAGGTGAAAAACGACGCCTTATTTCACCGTTTTCTAGCCGTTTCCTGCCTTTTATGGCGCCGTTTCAGACGGTCGGAAGATTCTCCTGGGTGGTGATGTTTTAATTGCTTTTAATCCATACAAACAATTGTTTGAGCTGTATTCATCAAAAACATTAAAAAAATATAATGAAAATTCATTTGGTATTATACCTCCACATGTATTTGCTATTGGTAATTAAGTTTGTAAATATTTTTTATTCTATTGGAAATGATGAATTAACTGCAGAGATATTTATTTTTGCATTTAAATATCCTCAGATCTACACTATACAATACGAAAAGATCACGTTCAAAATGCTTATATGAAAGCAATGATAAATCTAGGATGCCAATGACAAAAGCGTGATTGTCATGATTAACAACCGTTTTCTGGAAGTCGTCAAGGTAGTTTCATGTCATTTTATTCGGTTCTGCCAGGAAAAACCGAAAGAATTTTTTGAAAGAAACAAGTGCCAATTCATAGCGCCTCTTTTTTTGTTTTAAATCCTTCACAGTATGACAAATGAGTTAGTTTATTGTAATTAAAAATGGAAAAGTTCGCAAGATTTATTTGTCATAATTTTGATTTCTTCATATATTACGATAATGAAATTGATAATATTTTCTCTACTGGAATATTTTCGTATATAATATATTGTTTTTTCAAAGCAGAGTTGTAAAAAGAAGTTTAAAATTAATGAAATGTTTGTAAAAAAATGAACAAATTGATATTTAAAAATTCTTTTTAGAAAGGTTTTGATTTCCATTTATAATTAATCTGAGAATTTCGAATAAAATCTACTACGATTTGTAGTGAAATTAGATTTTAATTAAGCAAAAATCATATATTTTTTAAGGTGATAAAGCATATCGTAATATGCGTACTACTAAACAGAATCAACCAATTGTTGTAACAGGTGAATCAGGAGCCGGTTAGTGAAATAATGTATTCAATTATTATGACTATTTAGTTTTCATTCAGGTAAAACAGAATCAGCTAAATATGTTTTACAATATTTGAGTAAATCTTATCATGCTTGTAATGCTTCAATTAAAGATCGTTTGATAAAATGTAAGTTCGAAGAATTAATTCTTCTCTTTTCTATATTTTCTTCTTTTTTTCTTAGCAAATCTGCTACTAGAAGCATTTGGAAATAGTAAAAGTTTTTTTTTTCGCTTTATTTTCATTTTAATAATAGTAATCATTTTTTTCCAGCTAAAACAATACATAATAATAACTCAAGTCGTTTTGGTGAAATTATGGAAGTTCATTTTGATGAAGAAGTATATAGAAAATGTTTTTTTAATTAAAAAAAGAACAAAAGTGTTTTTCGTTTCAATCTAGTATACAATTGTTGGTGGTAGTATAACATATTATTTATTTGAAAAAACTCGTGTATGTGTGCAATCAACAGATGAAAAAAATTTTCATATATTCTATTATCTATGCGTTGATGCTCCAGCACGTATTCGAAAAAGCTTGCAATTAAACTCACCCGATACTTATCATGTTTGTATTCATTCGATTATAGGAGAGTGTAAACGTATATATGAAAATTCTTTTCTAGCATCTCAATCAAGATTGCTCACAAACAAAACAATTAACCAAAAGTTATCCTCAAGATACTGATGTAAGTGAATAGCCGATGATTTTCAAAATATTTACAAGTAGTACCACAACAGGTTTTCCGCCAGTCCTTCAGTCAATATTCATGGATTAGTTCCTGTATATTTATTCAGAGTAGTGTCCCATAGCATCAATAAGTTTGACCATTCGAATAATTCGGTCATCCAAACAGCTTCTTCAAATAGTCCTTCGTGATTCCGTAAACGATATATTGCAGCAGTGCACTGATGGTGTCGCATTTAAATTCCACGTTCATCATTATTTTATTTTTTACCAGGAAGAGACTGTACGGGCCTTGGTTCTTATGAAAGTGATGAGTTTGAGTGTTATTTCAAATGACTTTCTGCCGAACGTTACTCTGAAATTTAGCCTATACGAAATCTCTGGCAGTCGTCCGAAAAGATGAGATTTCAACAGTTCATCCTTTGTTTCTATTATGATACATATTGATGGACTGTTGATAGGCAAAAAAAGGAATACCAACTTACGCCTATTGTCTAGTCTTACACTTAAATCGTATAAATTTGTTTAGAACTAATATTATTCGAAGAATAAACCTCATCTGTCGCACTGCGCCTTTGTTTCAACAAAGTTCATATGATGGTGCATTAGTGTTTCATGCTCAGACATTTGACTACTCATCTGTTTCTGGTTCACCATGGCAGAGACATGATTGATCGCCAGTTAAGATGTTATATACGCGATGGGATTGCCTTTTTCAGATGTCTTTTGATTTTTGCTCGCGTTAAATGAATATTCTGATAATATGAAATCATGGACAAAATTGTTCTCGCGAGTTTGAAAGTCTTTTTAAACATCATGTATGATTGCGATCTGGAAGAAGTAACAGAATACAATAAATCACAGGGGATATAAGGCTGAAACTTGGCATTAATCTTCAATGCATCAAAGCATTGTATTGAAATAGTTGCGCCAAAATTACTTCAGTAAGGATAATTACCGCGGACAAGTTTTTGTGGTGTCCTACGTCGCTGATTATAAATATCATAAAAATTGTCGAGTGCTATAAAAAAAACATAAATATATTTGTATTTTTTCTTTGGATGTTTTCCATATTTTTTTCTTTATATGGATTATTTTATTTGCTTTATTTCAGTTTAAATGTGAACAACTTGTTTCTAATCTAAAACTGAATGATACAAATGATTTTATTAAATATGATCAAATAATGAATGATATTGCTATTTCACAAGAAGATAAATTGAATATCTATAGTATTCTTGCTGGTATTCTTCATCTTGGTAATATTAATTTTGAAGATGATTCTGAAAGTACACAAAATGGATGCAAAATAATATCAACAAGTGAACAAGCATTAATAGTGACAGCTCAAATGCTTCATGTCGATGTTCACGATCTTTGGAATGTAATATTAGCAAGAATTTCAATGATGAAAAATACTATTATTTCGTTAGTGAATTATATCTAAATTTGTTTTTTTTAAATTTTACCTAAATATTTCTAGTGTTCCATTAACAGTTCATACAGCAGAACATGTTCGTGATAAACTAGCAAAAACAATTTATGCTCGATTATTTAATCAACTAGTTGCTTATGTTAACACATCAATATCATTTAAATCATCAACATCACACATTAGTATTATAGATACAATTGGTTTTGAAAATTATCCTATAAATTCATTTGAACAATTTTGTATAAAGTAAGTTTATATTTTAAATAAAATAAAGTTTTATAGTTTTTCTTCATGAATTTTCTAGTTACTGTAATGAAAAAATACAACAGGTTTTTAATGAACATTTATTTGAAACAGCACGATTGTTATTTGAAGAAGAAGGTATCGGTTTGAATAAAATTGATTATACTGATAATCAAGATTGTATAAGTATGCTTGTTTTAAATTTCTTTTCTCGTGTATGATATATTTTTCTTCAGATTTGTTTGAAGATCAAATCACAGGTTGGTTTCATCTATTAGATGAAGAGAGTAACGTAACTGAACAACAATCAAATCAATCTACACACGACATTTTTCATGGAAATCCAAATCATTCTATGGTAAATGTATAAGAATGGATCATTTATTGCAATTATTTGTAAATGGATTCTTATACTTTTTCATTTAGATTTCACCAAAATTAGATTTACCTGCAGCCTCTATTATTCATCATAATGAAGTATTTCTTGTCGAACATTATTCGGGTAATGCGGTTTATTCAACAGTATGTGTATTTCTATTTGTCTCACTACTTTACAATTGAGTTTTCATTTGCTATTTTAGAGCGAATTTATTGACAAAAACAATGATATATTATTGGATTCTTTCATTATCTTCGTTCGAAAATCCAAAAATGAATTTGTTAAAAATCTCTTCGATGAAATATTCGTTGAACAGTCCAAGGACAATATTAATTATTTATCTGTTGGTACAAAAGTTCGTTCAGAAATGACTGATATTATAAATAAAGTGAAAGGAAGTGTAATTTTCATTTTCTCAAATCTTCGATATCTCGTTTCTCTTTCAAACATTTTCTAATCGATGTGTATTTCTGCAGGTTGTGCATTTTATAACATGTATCAAACCAAATGTTAAAATGATTTCCAATGAATTTCAACAGGATCAAATTCGAAGTCAACTAAAAAAACTTGGTAGGAGAAACAGATCATATTTTGCAATTTATAATATGTTTTCGTTCAATAGGTTTTGCGTCTATCCTAAGTGTCATCGAAGAAGGTATATATATTATTTATTCATTTCGGTTGAATTATAGTTAGTATAGTAATAATCTTTGTTTTAGTAAAACATAAAATAATAAAACGCGAATGTCGTGTGCGAAAAGCACAGAAATTAACTAAAGTATATCTGGAAAAGAAAAAAAGGTATGGAAATATTTGGTTGATTAATTAACCTTTATTGTATATTTCTTTTTGGTGGTTAGAATCAGAATGTTTCAGCATATGAAATTGTTTTATAAACAAGTACTTGAGCTGCAGCAAATAATAAATAAAATCAAGGCGAAGAAAAAAATGAAAAAGTGCATTGAAATCATAAAACCGATTAACGAATTAATTCTTGGGCTTTCACATAAAATTGCTGTAAGTTTTTTTGCTAATCTCGATAGTACAGAGTGTCCAATAAGTCACTGAACGACTTTCAAATCCTTTTTATTATTAACTATAGATCTTTATCATGTGATGACACTATGAAATTGCAAGGTACTAAACATATTGTGTAATGCAATAAAATTAGTATGATAGAAATTGTCCAAGCAACCACGAAGACGTTGCACCAACAAGTGACATATTTTTTTACACATTGTTTCTGTCACCACCTGAGCACAGGCTTCTTCAATCTTGTTCTGGAGTTGTGCAATTGTAGTAGATGGTTCCCTGAACACAATGTCATTTAGATAACTTCAAAGAAAACGTCTCACGGTGTTAAATCAGTTGACTGTGCCGGCCAGTCAAAGGGTTCACATCTGCCTATCCAACGATCAGGAAAATTTTCATCGAGCCAATTACGCACCACAATAGCATAGTGAGGCCCTGCCCCATCATGTGGGAAGTATAGCCTCTTGCGCTTCAAATAAGGCTATGCGTAGTCGACTAGCATTTGTTTGTACACAGGACCAGTAACTGTTTCCTTGAAAAAGTGAGGATCGATGAGCCCACTTGAAGTTAATCCGCATCTTACCATAACCCCTTGTCTTGTGTTTGGCACCTCGAATTTTATATGAGGATTTTCACTGAATCAGTACGTGCAATTGTCTCGATTAACAACCCCATTCCTATTAAATTTGACCTCGTCTCTCCAAAAATATGGTCAATCAAATTAGGGTCATTGTTAAATTTTTCGAGCCATATTTCGCAAAATTGACTTCGTCGGTCGAAGTCATCTTCGTTCAGGTCGACGATTAGACTTGGATGATAAGGTTTTAGGTAAAGTTTATTCATTAGCACGATGATAGCTGCTTTTGCTAATACCAGCCCGAGCAGAACCTTGTCGAATCGACACGTTTGGACTGGTAATAACCATTTTTTCGATCTCTTCCAACTCGTCTTCAGTTAATGTGATTGCTTGCCGGCCGCTTCGTTGTAAATTTTCCACACTTCCCGTATCTTCAAAGGTTACACGAAAAACAATGAATGACGAATGTGATACGAGAAAGTGGCATACACACGAATGGCTAAGCAAAAGTAAGGTTAAATAATAATACTAAACGAAAAAGTTTTTATACTTCTTGATAGATCTATTCAATGATGATGATGAGATGATGATGATGAATGAAACTGCTGCCACTTTAAATTCATCGTCAAAAATAAATATTCTTCAAGAAGTAAATCAATACTGTCCATCTTATTTCGGACTTAACGAATTTATTTCTATTTAATTGTATCTTTTTTTATTATTTAGATCAATAGTTTGCCCATGGTTGATAATGAAACACACGTATTTAATGATCTTTGTGATGAACAATTATCATTTACTAGAAATGATAGTCAACCAATATGGTGTTTATTTAATGGAACAGGAAATGATTTAATTGTCGATTATTTAGGTGGTTTTGAAGTAAGTTTGACTCTTTTCATTTTTTGTTATTTCTTGAATTTAATTATTCAGGAGTTTGATGGAAATATATCATCGACATCAATCAATATAAAACACAATGAATTTATTCAGTTACTTGTTAAATATCAATTATCTGCTAAAGTAAATAAAATATTTAAAAAAAAAGAAATGCTTTTATCATTTAAAATTTATACTTAGATTGGAGATGTTGTTAAGACTATTAATTTAAATCGATCGTGTAAACGTGTTTATGATTTAAGTCCATCAACAAATCAAAATCGGCCAATACAAATGCTTTGTGATGTTCAAATAAGAAATGATCGTCGACATGTAATTTTTAGGTCGCTTGTAAAAATTTACAATAATACAACTGTACCACTAAGTGTAATAAGCGTTGATCTAGTTGCTACTGAACAGAATCATAAAATTGCAACAATCGAAGATAATGATCAATATTTTGTACCAACTGATTTACTTTATACATATTCAAGTTCACAAATATATATTGCTGTTCATGGGTAAAGATTTGTTTATTTTAGAAATACAACAAAAATCCTTCTGTCTTTTTTTATTATAACTATAGAGATGAGAACAATATAGAAACCAATAATTGTTGTTCAATTGATTGGGAAAACAAACCAACAATGGAAACAACATTAAAATTAAAAGACGGAACTGAAGTACATCTTACAGTAAAGTTTCAACATGATTTATTTCATTTGTCTTATAAATGTATGATTTTTCTGCCTTTAGATTATTACAGAATTAAATGCTGCTTATATGGAAAACACCGATCAACTTGATCATACTTGCTTTAACATTTATATTCATCCAACTTTTTGTTTAATAAATCTATTACCAATTGACATTAAATATTTATTTGACGTAAGTTGACCGTTTTATTTTAAATACCTTAATCAGATAATAAAATTTGTAAAAATGAAACAATAAAAATATCGTTTTCAGATCGATTTCCTATCTAATAATTGATATTCTGTATTTCATCAAATAATGCGTCAGTCTGATAATATTCGTTTCACTTACTAATATAAAATAATTATTAAAGAATGAGAAAAGCTACACTTTCCCATTTTTTTGAGAAAACTGCACACGATATCAGAGCTTATCCACACAATTCGATCGCGTTTTTTCGTTCAATATTGAATTTGCTCTTTGATATTTATATTTATTTCATAGATTGACAAAGAAATTGATTTAAAATCAAATCAATCATGTTCAATGATATCTGCTAACAGAAATTCGACATTAACTTTTATTGTATATGATTTCATCTCTTCTTTTTACGTAAAATAATTTGTTTTCAAATGTTTAGATTCCATCATATGATAATGCAAGATGGATATCAGATGCAATTGATTTGAAACTTGAAAGAACTAATGATCATTACGAGTATCTTGTCCTATTTCATTATGCTACTTCTCCAAATCTTGAAAAAACATTGGTAAAAATGTCAAATTTAATTTATTTAAAACTAATAATTCGAATAATTAAATAGAGAATGATTCTACGTGTTGATACAATTCATAAATCGCATCGTTTATCATTATATTCATCATTTTGGATTTTTAATTATATAGATTTAAAACTTGAACTCCAGGTAAAACAAGGATGTTTACTATAGAAAAAAAGAATTTTATTTTATTTTTAATAGATTGAAAATAATCGAACATTTATTGATGTTGCTCAAACGCCAGTTTTAGTTTGTCCGGAAAGATTTGAAAGTGAAACAAATAGAAAAGTAAATAGTAGATATGAACTAGAATGCATAAATATTTAATTATCTAATAGGGTCAACTTCGTCTCTATGGTATTGACCAAGGGGATACAACGACAGATTGGTCAGAAAAATTTTCACTTGATGTTATCAGACGTATTGGCGTGGTTTCTTGTGAAGTACCGAATGATCGAAAATATATGGTGAATAAAACAAATTTTGTATTTAAAACAAAGCATACTATGTTTTACATAGATTTGCATGGATGTTGCAACAGGTCCATCTAGTTTAGTCAAGATCATTGAGTTTTCACCATTGTTAGTCATTATTAATAAATCAATTGTATGTTTTGACAAACTCTTTGTTTGAATTCAAAATTTTTGTTTTTCTTAAGATTGCAATTGAGATAGTAGAAGCAGTGTCAGACAAAGAACAGAATCAATGGATTTCAGTAAATCCTGAACAAGTAAAGTTCTTTTTATTTATTCTTTTATTTAATGATTGAATTTCTCTAAAAGACAATTCCATTTTGGCCACGTAATATGAAAGATGGTGTAATGCGTGTTCGTTACACATTTAATCATGTTACATCAAGTCCATTTACGATGACTCCAACCTACAGAACACTTCTGCGGATGGACTATGAAGAACATCCAGCTCTTTGTGTCGAAGTAACAACAAATGGTCAGGGTCGTATAACAGTTATTTTCGAAGATTATGAAGTTGATGATACACCACTTGTTAATTGTGAAAAAACTAATTCCTCTTCATTGTGAAATTGATGATTTGTAAAGTATTTTGGTGCTTTTTGAATAAACTTTTCTATTTGTTCTTGATTATATACGAGCATAGATTTTTTATGATCCATGATTAGATCGATTAATATCAAACAGATTAATTATTTCGTGGTTTGCAAAGCTATAAACATTAGAACTTACTGTAGGGGTAGTAGATGAGGGTGTACATCTCACATTGAATGCCTATTCACCCATACACATACAGCCAGCCCACAAGTTCTAACTCATGAGGGTGTGGGTGTCGCAATCGAGCGGTTAAACTGTTTCTCTAAATGAACGAACTTGTAAACACGATTTGCCACTATATGATATCGAAATATATAAAACGAAATATAGATTTACGAATGGTAAACGATATTGTAAATTTAATAGTCAGTCATTGTCAAACAATGTGACATAATCACATATAGATTTTGTTTATTAATGTCTACCTTTAAAACCGGAATGCATTTTCACTAATGTACCAAGCGAACGAAAAACATTTGACTTTTTAATTTATCTACAAAGGCAGGTAGAAATCAAAAATGGAATTAGTCGTTGTTCACTTTCTTCTAAATGTAGAATCCGCTTTACTTCTAAAACTTATCAAGAGCCATGATACCATAAACGATTGCAACATCAGAAAGAGCTTTACTCCCTAAATTTTCTCCAATCATAGTAAAGCATTCCCAAGTTTTCTAAATCCACCATACAACATCAAAAGAGAAATAATTTTAAATTTCATCTTGAAGTATTTTATTAAATCAAAAGCGTAGAAGCTGCATTCAAAATGCGAAAGAAAAATAATATATTGGTCAAATTTAATTAACTTGAAGTTGATCTTGATTATGATCAGTGTTCCTAATAGGAATCTGAAATAGAATATATAAATACACTACGCTAGTTTTGAGCATCATGGTTTCGTACATTTTGTTTCAAGGATCAAAGTGTATAAGACGCTAGAAAGTGGATTGCTAACCATACAAGAAAATTTCTATGAAAACCCAGGTTGATCAAAACGGACTCGTTTACGGCCTGTTTGTCGACGGTAAACGATGTCAAAACGGTATCTTTACGGCAGCAAATAGGCCGTATTTGCCCGTAATACCTGGCGCAGTAATACGGCACCATAAACGGGACTGAATTTTCATGGTTTACGGCTGTTTGTGCTCCGTACACTCATGATAATACGGTCCGTATTACTGCGCCAGATATTACGGCAAAATTTCGCCCGTAAAAGTCGTAAAGTAACCACCAATGACCGTATACGGACCATACTGTTCGACCTGGGAAGACACTCTTATTCTATTTCATACGTTAATGATCGCACGAAAATTTTAAATTTACAAAACGTAAAAAATGTTCATACTTTTTCATCATACGTATGTTATTCTTTAATAAAGAATAACATCGGTATGATGATGATGCAAAAGTATGAGCAAAAAAGTTAAGCTTTTCTAGCGGTGAAGAATCTTCAAATTTAAACTACAACAAAGTCATTTTAAGGTGATTCTAGTATTTTGTTTTTCTTTTATTGTTTTTTTTCAACAATAATTTCAATCCGCTTTACATTCATATAAAATAATAAAGAAGCTATATTATATTAAGTTATATGAAACATAGACGATGTTATAATGCCTCTACCTTTTTTTCTATTGGATGAAACACAAAATTTTGATAACATTCAATAAATATATTTCTTCTAATCATAAAGGCATGCAAATTTTCGCAAAAAGTTACTGCGTAAAAAGAAAATCGAGCGGGTACACTGTACACACTATTTTTTATCTTCAGTGTGTAAAACAGTGCGTAAATTCTATTTCATTAGGGTTCGGTACACTTTGTTTTGTTGGGTACACTTTTTCATTAGGAACACTGTTTTAGATAAATTATGCTCTATGGCGCCAGTATTACTCAAGATCATGCTTCTGGTATTGATAACACCTTTCGTGATCCTTTAGTTTTTTATGATCCTGATTTAACTAGTGGAAATACTCAAGCTACAGACTTCGGTTTCGATGACTTAACATTACCTTCACAACAAAGTCATTTACCATTAACAGATATTGACACATCTCAACAACATGTAAAAATCAATCGATAGTTATATGCTTTCTAATTGTAATTTTTCTTTTCTATTTTATTAGAATTCCATTTTTCAATCAGATGATTTTAATCTTGGAATTAATAATAATAATACAATTCAACAACGTGATTTACCATTCGAAGATGAAGAAGAAGGTTTCTATGAAAAAGATTTACCAAAACATGCTTGCGCGTAAGTTTAACTATTTGAAACGAAAAAATATTTTGAAAATTTTCTTTCTAGATATTGTGGTATTCATGATCCAGATGCTGTTGTAATGTGTAATCAAACACGAAAATGGTTTTGTAATGGACGTGGTAATACATCGGGAAGGTAAAAAAAACAAAGAATGATTATATTTTATTTCTTTTCTTCTCCTATTAGTCATATTGTTAATCATCTTGTTCGAGCAAAGTGTAAAGAAGTAACATTACATAAAGATGGTCCGTTAGGTGAAACACAATTAGAATGTTATAATTGTGGATGTCGAAATGCATTCTTACTTGGTTTTATACCAGCAAAAGCTGACAGTGTCGTAGTTTTACTTTGTCGACAACCATGTGCAAGTCAGAGTGCATTGAAAGATATGAATTGGTAAGGAGAGTTGTTTTGATTTGAATTATGATTTTTGACGAAAACAAAAAACCAAATTAACAGGGACCCAAGTCAATGGCAACCGCTAATTCAAGATCGATGTTTTTTAACATGGCTAGTTAAGATTCCATCTGAACAAGAACAATTACGTGCACGACAAATAACAGCACAAATGATTAATCGTTTAGAAGAACTTTGGAAAGAAAATGCTGATGCAACAATAACTGATCTTGATAAACCAGGCATTGATGAAGAACCACAACAATGTAGTTTAAGATATGAAGATGCGTATCAATACCAAAATACATTTGGTCCATTAGTTAAAATGGAAGCTGATGATGATAGAAAATTAAAGGAATCTCAAACACAGGAAAATATTTCTGTTCGATGGGATATGGGTTTGAATAAAAAACGTCTAGCTTATTTTTCTTTACCAAAAGCAAATGAAGGTAAGAAAAACTGGTGGATAAAAATGTATTAAATTAGAACAGAACTATTCTATATCTATTTTGAGTTTCTAAAAATCATTTATTTCGAACAAATTATTTGCCTATGTATAGATGTAAAAATATTTCGTTCTTTTATCCGATCTATTCATACATCGCAGCGCTTGTCAGGATTCCAGCGAAACAATTATTTGCAAAGGACGTCCCCCTCGGAATTTATCAGGACACTGCGATGTATGGATCTATCACAAAATTGCTGATGAAAAATTAACGTTTTGAGACCAAAAAAAAACGTAACTTTACTAACAATATGCATACACATTTTATAAACTAATTTGAGTAGAAACTTTTCAGTCTGATAAATTCTCTCATAAAATGTGATATTTACTTAAATTATTTATCAATAGAAACTTATAGATTAGTGTTATATTTCTAAAATCTATATTTCAATCATAAGTCTCTGAAAACAAATTTGGATGGAACTAAGATTTCCAGGGTATCCAGACTAATTTAACCTGCATTTGATTCATTAAACATAAGGAAAGGATGTCTTGATAGTAGTTTTCGATTTTTCTCAAAAATCAGTTAGATTTCGTTTAGAACAGACAAGGTATCTGCTCTCTGTTCTTCACTCTCTCTAGCATGCATTATGAGACTTTTCTTCGTCCTTTTTTTCCTGATTTCTTTTTATAGATTGCCTATAAAAGAGAGCCAAAATAGTCCAGAGATTTATTTATTTTTAATTTATGAAATGTGATCGCTTCCAAATGATACAATAAACTGTAGATTTAAAAATTTATTTTGACATTTTTTAACTTTAGAAATGCGATTGATGGCAGGTGATGAATTACGTTTGCGCTATGTTGGAGATTCGTCAAAATTAACATGGTCAGGTGTTGGACATGTTGTTAAAGTTCCTAATAGTAAGAGTAAAAATAAAAGAAATAAAAATCGAAAAATTCAAAATTTAGATTATGGAGAAGAAATTGGCACCGAACTTAGAATCAGTCAAGGTGCACCAATTGAATTTAGTACGAATTTTGTTGTTGAATTTGTATGGAAATCAACTTCATTTGATCGGTAGACTCTTGTATTTTTTATTTTCTATAAAAACAAATTTTTGTATTTTTTTCATTAACATCAACTTTTTAGAATGCAAGCAGCATTAAAAACATTTGCTGTCGATGAAAATAGTGTATCAGCCTATTTGTATCATCGTTTATTAGGTCATGAAGTTGATGATTTAGTTATGAAAGTAACATTACCAAAACGTTTCTCAGCACCTGGTTTACCAGAATTGAATCATTCACAAGTTTATGCTGTTAAAACGGTTCTTCAACGTCCATTAAGTCTCATTCAAGGTCCACCTGGAACAGGAAAAACTGTAACATCAGCGACTATTGTTTATCATCTTGTGAAACAAAACCAAGGACAAGTATTAGTATGTGCACCGAGTAATATTGCTGTTGATCAATTAACAGAAAAAATTCATAAAACCGGTTTAAAAGTTGTTCGACTTTGTGCCAAAAGTCGTGAAGCATTAGATTCACCCGTTTCATTTTTAGCCTTACATAATCAAATACGTAATCTTGAAAGGTACAAAAGAATAGGTTTTGAATTGAATAAATTTTCTAATTTTTATTCTTATGTTAAGTGAGCCTGAATTAAAAAAATTACAACAATTAAAAGATGAGACTGGTGAACTATCATCGGCTGATGAAAAACGTTATAGAACATTAAAACGTAAATGTGAAAGTGATTTACTTCGAAATGCTGATGTTATCTGTTGTACATGCGTGGGTTCGGGCGATCCACGTTTATCACATGGTTATCAATTTCGTTCAATACTTATCGATGAATCAACACAGGCAACTGAGCCAGAATGTATGGTGCCAGTTGTACTTGGTGCTCGACAACTTATTTTAGTTGGTGATCATTGCCAATTGGGACCTGTTGTTATGAGTAAAAAAGCAGCAAAAGCTGGTCTTAGTCAATCGTTATTTGAACGTCTCGTTGTACTGGGCATTCGTCCTATCCGATTACAAGTTCAATATCGAATGCATCCAGCTTTATCAGCATTTCCATCGAATATTTTTTATGAAGGTTTGATTTATTTTATACTTCAGAAAAGAGTTTTCATTTCTTTTGTTGAAACTAATTTTGTCCAAATTGAAAAGTATTGCTGCGATAAATAATTCATTTTACATATCATTTTTGACTCATTCGTAAAAACCATTCATTTGAAATATTTGAGTATGAGATCATGACGACATTTAAGTATCGTGCAAAAACATGGTAACTTCTAAGCACTCCTAAATAAATCATTAACTGACGGAGCAGTGTATAAAGAATATTTTTCACTTCAATAATCTTGATATCATGGAATTTTTAACTGGCAAACAATAGAGTTGAGTTGTACTTCTCCCAATTTTTATGTTACACGTGTGAAAAAAATTTCCTGCTTTTATTCTCGTATCTGTCTAAATTTTAGAATGGAACTTCTAAGTCGAATCGACTTTAACTATTTATCGAACTTTAATTTCTTTCATTTCGAATAATTGTTCTAAAAAACCTAAACCTTAGATTAGTTAAATAGATTAGCATTCATAATTTAATTCATATGCTATCCTGAAGAATACTGAAAAATCTAGTTTTTAATAGAAGATTTATAAAAGAAATCGTCAATATTAATTTATTCTTTTATGCTTTCAAGGTTCACTTCAAAATGGTGTTACAGCAGGTGAACGTACAATCAAAACCTTAGATTTTCCTTGGATTCAACCTGATAAACCAATGTTTTTTCACTGTTCATTGGGACAAGAAGAAATCTCTAGTAGTGGTACATCATATCTTAATCGAACTGAAGCAAATATGGTTGAGAAAACGGCTACACGTTTACTGAGAGCTGGAATAAAACCAGATCAAATCGGTATAATAACACCATATGAGGGACAGCGTGCTTTTATTGTTCAACATATGCAATATAGTGGCTCGTTGAATGAAAAACTTTATCAAGAGATCGAAGTTGCTAGTGTTGATGCATTTCAAGGACGTGAAAAAGATTTTATTATATTATCATGTGTACGTGCCAATGAACATCAAGGTATTGGATTTTTAAATGATCCACGTCGACTTAATGTTGCATTAACACGAGCAAAGTAAATTTCTTCTTTTCTATTTGTAGAAAAATAAAATTTAACGTTTTAGATATGGCGTTATTATAATTGGTACTCCAAAAGTTCTTTCACGCCAACCATTATGGAATCATTTATTAACATATTATAAAGAACAACATGTACTTGTCGAAGGTCCGTTAAATAATCTTAAAGAAAGTGCTATGCAATTTTCTAAGCCAAAACAACTTGTGAATCCAACGAATCCTGGCGGTCGATTTATGTCAAATGCAATGTTTTCTGGTTTGTTTTATCTTTATTATTAAAAAAAATGATAGAATAAACTTGATTTATTTTTCTTGATTTCAGCTAAAGAAGCATTGATTCCTGGTTCAGTCTATGATCGAACAACTACAACTAGTGATAAACGTCAAATGGCTGGCTCAATGTATGCAAATAATTTAAATTCGAATTTTCGTGTTCATGATCCATTGAGTTACATCGATACAGCAGGAATGAATGGTACATCACAACAACACTTATCCAATGGACTCAATTTACCAATGCCACATCAAATGATGATGCCATCAATGTCAATGTCAATGCCTTATATGAATGGATCGGCACCATTTAGTACGATGATGAATAGTAATATAAAACGAATTTATTTTTGTGTTTAATAAACAAGTTTGCATCTAGATCGATCAATGAATAGTCAAGGAACAACTGCACGCGGAGGTGCAAGAGGGGGTGCAATGAAACCAAGAGGTTCATCACGGCCACCGCGTTTCTCGAAATCTATCAATGGTACAAGTCAATCACAGGTTTGTTAATGGAATCTATTGTTACCTATCTCAATACATGAGAGACCGATGAAAATACTCGTTACTGATGACATTGATAGTGTATCGCCTAAACTTTGAATCACTTATACCTCGTTGTTGCTTTTACTGATATTTACCAACAGAAAATAGTCTAGTGAATGCATTGATCTTTAGTCAGTCAGAGTTCAGTAGTGTCAAACTTGAAACTTGAATTCAGTTGAAAATAGAAAATTTCAACTTTCAACTCATAGCGATATATGTGTGAGTCACGATTCTTCAGAATGCTATTGGTTTAAAAGTTGAAAATTGAAATTTTCAATTTTCAATTGAATTCAAGCTTCAAGTTTGACATATATGTCAGAGTTATAATGTCTACTTGAATAGTAATATTAGTGTAAGCTACTAGAGTATACTAATGTAGAATAAAATTAAGTAATCCAAGAGATCATTGTATTTTCATACTTTTAATCCGAAAGATAACACCCTATTCTCTAGATAAAGATAATCATCTACAAAAAATTTACCCAGAGCTATAATCTAGACTGTATATTTTTAAGGATAATTCAAGTCTAACACAAATTGGTACCATAAGTCAACCATATCCAATATCACAAACTGGTATTATGTCACAAAATGCATATGGTTTTTCTCAACAGGATTTTTCACAATTGGTAAAGAAATCGTCCTGTTTTTATTAGTTAAGATTAAAATTTAATTTTTTTTCTTCCATAGGATGCCTATGATGTTTATCAAGCATCACAAAATGAGCAAAATCAATTATTATCTCAAGATTCTACATATGCTGACCCATCAGCTTTTATGCATTCACAATCGTTAACAAATCCAAGCCGAAGTGGAACAATGAATCGTACTGATTATACCTAGTTTTAAATTCGAATACAATAGCCACTTAACGATTTACATAAAGTTCATTAGATGTATTGATCAATGAAGTTGAAAAAACCAACAATAATGTTTATCTGAAGATGATAAATGATGGCCAATATTAAGTTGAAAAAAAAAGAAGTTCTTTCTTATTTATGCAAAAGAGACATTTGAATAGAAATGCATCCGCTTGATTATCTATTGATTGTTTTTCTTATTCTTTTTCTTCGACGAAAAACAAAATTAACGAAATAAATTTTTTTTAAAATTCTAGATGAATTGTATCGTTTGTAAAACTGACTCATCTACTCGATATCAATGGTGTCCTAATTTTATGAACATAGTTTATGTGAATCACGCTGCATAAATATGATTTCTTCAATTATTGACACGGGTTAAATAGCATTACTAATTAATGAAGAGGTACCTTGCTATGTTTGTAATAAAAAATTCAAATATGATCGATTTCCAGAAAATATTCAAATAAATCTTAATCATATTCTTTCCACTATTCCAAAGGCATCGAAAAATCCGAAATCTCTTGAAGAATTGAATTGAATTATAAATATAATCAGTTCAATAAGTTACGTCATGGTATAACATATAAAAAATTTGTTTTCATTACGCAACGTCACTATGGTTTACTTGGAAAATGTGTTGAATTATATATACAGTCATTAATGAAAAATAATCCATGGAATTATGAAGAAATTTGGTTAGCCATTGAACAACATGATCGACATTATGCTAATATATTTGTTTCGAATGATTTTCGAACAAATCAGAATGGATGTTTAATATTAATTCAAGGTTTAAGTGTTGTACGTGCTGGTCAATGGTCACGTGCTTGTTGTATCAATGAGTCACTTGATATCGGAGGTATCGTTTCATACACAATAGAATTGTCAATTAATATGACTAAAATGTGAAATACTGTAGATGTTATCATTGTGTAAACGAATGCGTATTAGTAACATTCGCTTTTTTATTATTATATCTGATGCTTTGACATATTACTCATTTTTATCTCCGTAAGACGACCTCTGATATATTCTAGTTGGCTTAAAATATATCCATTATTGCAGCTATTTATACTAATAGTTGCTTGGTTCTACAATAAGTTTAACTTTTTTTTCTTTCTTATATGATTTTTATTATAATAACAATAATTTGGCTTATTATCTGAAATTATTGAAAGATTATGTTGATTATAAGTTTTTATTTGACCAACTTACACATAGAATTACACGATTTAATCATCTATAATAACATTAAACTCCATATCAATGCTTTTGGAGCGAACAGGTACAAATCTGTAAGTTAACAATTTATTCTCTATTAATCTTTTGTTGTAAATAGTTCTTGATCTACTATAATTAATAGAAGTATCGAGACATGTTTGTTAGATTTGTTACTTTTGCATGTGCTATTTGCGACGAGATTTTAAAAATCTATCTGAATAATATTTAATCTATGCTAACCATCGAAAACAAAATTCATAACACTTGATGTGAAACTCAACTGTCTATCAGTAATTTTTCGATGCCGCTTTTTTTAATGTCACTCTATACTACAGTCATTTGTTTCATAAACCTGTAGTAGTATGAAGTATGGGAAAGTTATAACAGCATAGAGCTTTTTTCGAGTAAATATTACGAGGAACTGAATAAACATCTTTATTTGTCAATGAATGATCTATAACAAATCAGTCATGTCGATTAAAATTTTTTGTTTTGTAAAATAGTATCAATATGAAATATTGATCAGCTAAGAAATAAATAGTTTCATTCGTATTGATGAATACTACGAGAGTTTACTAAAGGAATGATTGGTTATTTCAAGTTTAGTTTTCATTCTTATAACTATTGCTTTGAGCTTTTGTTCCTTTTACTCGAACTTATTCAATTCTATTCATTTTTATAGCTATGTTTCCTTACGTGACGAAAGCAAAAGAACACAATTTATCTGTCATAATTTTAAATCGAAATCAAACAAGTTACATTGACAAAGAAACATATTCGAATCATGAAGATACCAAAGCTTCTTCTGAGAATCTCCATTCATTTTATTTATCACCAGATTCACTTCCTCTTTTATCATCTACTAAGCCCGTATCAAATTTATCGACGAGCTATGAACATTTTCTATACGTTTATGATAACATAATTGCAAAAATGTCACCAACGGAAAAATTCTATATTGTTGCTCATTCAGCTGGTGGTGATAATCTTACATACTTATTACGTCAACGGCAAGATTGTATTCTATCCAAACTATCAAAAATAGTTTTTATCGATGCTTTTCATGCAATAATATCATCCGATACCGATGAAATTAAAAAATTTTTCCAATATAACGCTCTTCATTTTATTGCTAGTGATAAACCGATGGGAGAATCAATTCATTTTTCACAAAAACCTTTTTGTTCTGAAGTATCTGCCCAGTCATTCAAAACATGAATATGCATCCGGCTATTGTGTTAAAGGTGTTTTTGATTTTTTCTTTTCCTCTTCTATGGATATCGATAAAACTAAATTTTAATTGATAGATTATCTTTTTCTAGATTTCTTTAATTACAGCAATGTTCAGTAAAAAACCATCTGTCACAGGTAAATGAAAACAAAAACACTTCTATCTGTATTTGAATTATTAAATTATGTTTTTGTTTTTGAATTAAAGAACAGGCAAAAGCTCACAGTCGAGAATTAAGAACGACTGATCGAGACTTGATACGTGATCGACGTAAAATTGAAGCTGAAGAGCAACGATTAGTAGGAGAAAAAAACGTTTTTTGTAATTCTAAATTTATCAACTATCTTTTTTATCTAGATGAATGAAATTCGAAAGGCTGCAACAACTAATAATAAAAAAGTAAACTATAACAATAGCCGTAAGACACGTAAAATAATGGCTACTATTATTATTTCTTCAGGCAGTAGAAATTCTGGCGAAACAACTTGTTAAAGTTCGTAATCAAAAAGACAAATCACTTCAAGCATCTGGTCAGATTCAAAGTTTAGCCTCACAAAGTACAATGATGGCATCAAATGTTCGAATGGCTGGCGCAATGGAAGTTAGTTATTTTGTTTATTTATTAAATTTATTTTTTATGGAAGTAAACTGTTTATTTAAGACAACTGCAAAAACCATGAGTAAAATGAATAAAGTTATGAATCCAGAGCAAATGTCAAAAATTTCGCAACAATTTGTTCAAGAACATACAAAATTTGCTATTACAGATGATATGAGTATGCATTAAATTTAATATTTTGTAATTTTAATGGAAAAATATTCTTGTTTTTAGTTGGTGAATCACTTGAAGCAGCCCTTGGACAGGAAGGTGATTCGGAAGAAGAAGATGCCATTGTTAACCAAGTACTTGATGAAATTGGCATATCACTTAATGACAAAGTTCGATTAAAAGTTTTAGAGATTAAATTAAATGAGAAATAAAATGTTGTATTTTTTGTTTAGATCGCTAATGCGCCACATGTACCAGCAGCAGCATCTAGTGTTGCAGCTAGTCGAAAACAAGCGAACGATGAAGATGCTGAAATCGAAAGAATGTTAGCAAATCTTAGGTCATAATTATATTTCCATGTCATTATTTTCCAAATGCAATCCAGAATTATTTTTTTCGTATTGAAATCTTTTTTAAAGTTTACTTTAATATTAATTTTTAAATGCTTTGTTTCTAATGGTTGACCTTGCTTTCACGTAACAGTTGAATTGTACATGATTATCTTTTTTATGATTTTATTTATCTTGGTTTCAGAGAAAAATACTTCCATTTAATTTAGCTGGCTTGATCATGATCAAAAATTCAGTAAAATGACATTAACTTTTCACTAAAAAAACAATCATCGACACGAACAGTTCTAGTGCTATGCATTCTTATACATGAATAAAATACTGGTTCCGAAGTGAAAAATTCGCTAAGACAACTTCCTTCTCAATTAAATTTAATTATGCCGAATCTTCATCTGTCCTATTTATATTTTGTGTTCATTATAAACAGGAGAAAAGAGAAAACATTATTTCTAAATACACGAATAAAAAATTAAAAAAAAACAATTCTTATCTGTTTTATTTCGTTGTTTTTTTTATTTAAACAGTTAACGAAATTATTTTTGTTTTTGTTCAGAAGAAAGATCGGTTAGACTGCTAATCAACTTATGGTAACGTTCATCTTTGGCTTTTGCATATATTTGATTGAATTCTCTTAGTTTTTCAATAGCTTTTTGACGTTTTCTAGCTTCATTAATAAGTCCAAACTGTTCACGAAATTCAGGACGAAATTTAACAAAATGGTCGACAAATTCACTAAATGTTTCTTGTTGTAATGATTCATTGATTAAACGATCATATTCTTCACAATCGAGTGATGTTGTTATCGGTACGATAAGTGTTGAACTATGAAATACAGATGAGCTCGTTGATGCTAATGGTGGCGATCGTTTCATATTGAATGTTGTTGAGGAAGGTCGCCCAAATACATATTTATATCTTGATCGTGCTTCTGATTCGTCGAGTAACTTTTGTGAGGCTCGTAAAACTTGATGAGTACGTCGTTCAACTTTTGTCATTGGTTCAGAACGTGGTGTTGTTGTCGTTGATGTATTCATTTTTTTAATTACTATTGCTGGTGGTGGTGATGCGACTTTTGCTATTGGCGGTGGTGGTGTTATTGGTGGTGGTGGCAATGGTGGTGGTATTGGAGATGTTGTTGATGATGGTTGAGGTGTTGCTGTTGTAATTGGTGGCAAAATAACATTTTCACTAAGAACAGCTTGAAATGGTGTAAGATCGCGCGGAACATATTCTGGATTACTTGCCAGTATTAATTTTTGTCGATTACGTTCTTTACGTTTTTCATGATTTTCTTTTTCTTTCCGAATAGCTTCACGAAAATGTTTATCATGTCGATACCATGTTTCATGTCGTTTACGTGTCCTTTGTAAGAATGTCTCCATATGTCTATCGACGTTAGCACGAATTTTATTTCGTTCTCGATGAATAACTGTGACATCGCGCTGGAGAAAATTTTGCTCAGATTTTTTAACATTAATTAATGCCTCAGATAAATTCGATGATGCTGTATGTAATACCATTATAATATAATGGAACAACAGCCACGAAGTCACGTCGAGAATTTCAATCAAATGAGTATAAGACAACAAGAAAATACGTTTTGATTATATATTTTCTTGTTTTAAAAGAAATGAGAGAGAAACCTTTTATTCCTGTGACGAACTCCATCTGAACAAGGTTTCGTTTTTTTTTGATTATGATGTCAAAAGAAAGCAAGTCGAATATTCATTGATTCGTATTTAGATATATTTTCAAGTATGTTTTTTTCCGGTGCTGTCGTTGACGACCACTGTGATTATAATTAGAAAAAGAAAAAAGAGAGAACAAACGAAAATTGAGATTTGTTTAAAAATAAGGCAAGAAGCGTTTTAAGAGCATCTTCAAATTATATGATTATGATTGAAATAAATTTTTCACGGGAAAAATATTGTATTTTTTTGTTTTTGGAATATCTTTCAAGAGTTCATTAAAAAAAAGAATAGAAAAGAAATCCTTGAACATCTATGATTTTCTTTTAAAGATGAATTCCTCGTTATTATTTCGTCGAGTCATTCAACAATATTCAATAGGCTCATTTAATAATATTTCAAGTCGTTTTACATCATCATCATCATCATCATCATCATCATCAACAACAACAACAAAAAATTCTAGCGAATCATCACCAATCGATTCAGAATTAAAAAATAAGATTGATGATTTTATTAAAACAAATAAAGTTGCTATATTTATTAAAGGCGAGCCAAATGCTCCAAGTATGATGGTTAAATTTTTTCGTTTGTAAGGTTTTCTATATTTTTGTGAAAAATTTAGGTTGTGGATTTTCTAATGCTGTTCTTCAAATACTTAAATTACATGGATGTGAATTCAAGTCACAAAATATTCTTGAAGATGTAAAACTTCGAGAAACAATGAAAATTTATAGGTTTGAATAATAAAAAAGAAAAGAAATGATTTCACTTGAAAAAACAACATTTCGCTTATGATTAATTTAGTAATTGGCCAACGTTTCCTCAAGTTTATTTCAATGGAGAATTCGTTGGCGGTTGCGATATTCTACTTCAGATGCATCAATCAGGTGAACTTGTTGAAGAACTGAAAAAAGTCGGAATTCAATCAAAATTATCAAATCTAAAGAATACAGCTCCATCATCATCATCACCATCCAACTAATCAATTCTTTATTGATTAGCGTTCTGTTTCAGCTGTTTTCTCCTTGCGCTTCTGTTTTTTGATACTTTCACAAGTATTTGTTTGCTTTTCTAGAATCTAGAGCAAAAATAAATTGAAAACAAAATAATTACTGGTTGTAGAAAAATATCTCCGAAAATGATATGTTCTAGTTTCTTTTTTTTTGACAATAGTCTTGTAGATACGAATGCTTGTTCTATTTATGCTGACCTAGAAAATACTATGTTTCATATTTGGATGGGGTTCAACAGGAATTTGATCAATCACACAATGAATAATATGATTAATGAGTGATTTTCGCTTTTTTTGAGCGTCGACATTCATCTTTTCTAACAACTCATGCCTTTGTTTGTCAAGTTTTGTTTGAAATTGTTCGAGTTTTGTTGCTTCATTGAATTTTTTCTTGTATTGAGCTTCGCGTTCTCGTCGAAATGCTTCTATTTCAATTTGACTCTCTCGATTCGATTGCCGTAATAATTCATTACGTTTTGTACGAGCTGCTACAATCGTAGCGGCAGCTCGACCTTCTGCAACAAGCAATGCTTGAAGGCCAGGTTCCATTTGAATAGTTGAATGACCATGTGAAGTATGTTGAGCTCGAGAATTCGACAAAGTTCCACCAACTGTTGATGGTACGCTCGTACGACGAGCATGATCTGTTGTATACGGATGACGAGTTGAAACAAGGAATTGATTAGCTGCTGTTGCAGGTGATGATGAACGCATGGGTCCTTGATAGAAATTTTTATGATTTAAATTGACTATTCGTCCTGGTACATTGTTATCGGTCATTTTATTTACAAATAATTTACACGATTATTGAGCGCGCCGTTCAATATACCTATGTTACTATGAAGAATGACTATTTCAATAGATGACAGTATTAGTCAGTCTATTTCTAAGAAAAGTTTTCTTTTTATTGAAATAGCTTTTGATTACTTTTGAGTGCGAGTATTATTAGATTATAGTCTTTAATATAGTATACATGCTTGCTTGCTAAGCACTAAACAAATAGAATCCACAGTTTGTGTTTCTATGGTAACATTTGATAGCAATGAATTTGATGACAAATGATAATAGAAAGAAAAGTAAAAATCAAATTTTTTAATCCTTGAAAATATTAGATCAAGAGTAAATAATTCAGTTAAATAATGGAAAAATCAATTGAATATGTTCAAGTTATGACTAATTTTGAGTCAGCTTACAATGTTTCATCAAATCTTATTCAGCAACCTACCATGTATATTCCCGTGTCTTTATCGTTTACTTCACCGATGCTTTCAAATCGACCATCATCACCATTATTTCATCGTTGTAAATCTCCTACGTCTAGAATACCTTTACCGACGGGATCTGGTCCTAAATTTAATTTTGACTTATATAAAATGAATGAAAGCAATTATGAATTTGATCGGGATTCTCTATCTTCTAATCGTTCAATATCACCATATTCGTCAAGAAAAATTTATCACAATCCAATATATTCTCCTCTATCATCTTCGATTTCTAAACAACCAACACTATCTAAATTACAACAAATTAATGATGAACTAAGTGAAACATTAGCTCGGTCTGAATTAACCGATCGATCACCAGTACATTATCATGTTCATCACTATCCATTATCTCAACATACATCAAGAAAATATCGTTCTCAATCACCAACTAAAGAACGTTCATCATCAACTGAAATAGATGTGGTAACTTATGCCAGATAACTTACTGAACACTGTATAAAAGAGAGGAAACTTTTGATATTTTTTGTTTTTGCCGGCGAGCTTTCGTTGCAGTATAATTGATGCTTATTTGCAAAAGATCGTGCCTTTGAATTCCCTAGAAATTTACTCCAAAACATTCAGTTTAAACTGAAATTTTAACAAAATACTATATCATCATGCTAACCTCTTATAATGTGTGCAACTTTTTCTTACATTAAAAAAACAAAAACGAACTGCTCTTTTAGGTAGAATTTTTATCATTTAAATTTTTACAAGTAAAATTCTTACGCTCTGGTACAGACTCATCAAACGAAACTCAATCGTTTGGTCTCATAATTTTAATATTTGAAGAGTAAGGTCAGTCGAATGTTAATCATTGAAATATCATGTTTTATTTCGATGAAATCAGAAAAGACAACATCATTTTTATTCACTTCCTAGAAGTCAGTCTATACGCACAGTAATTACTTCAAATCACCTTCTGTCTATATGAAGAAAAAGAGCTCAATTGATTGCGTTAGTAAGGTATCTTAAGTAGGACTTATATGTTTGTCTAATGCTAGGAAAAAATCCAAATTTTAGAAAAACTAAAATGTCGACTATGAGTGAACTGAAATATATAAGGTTTTTATAGAATTAAAAAATGAATAATTTAATATTAGCCACACCTTTTCATAATTAATACTAACTGAAATAAACATGAAATCCAAATAGTGTCATAATTTATTTTCCTTACGTAAATTTTTCTTCATAGATTTTGCTGTTTTTCTATTTAGTCACCTGAAATACATAAGGCTCGAGTGACGTACAAAGTTCATATGCCACGACGACATCAACAATCGTCTCGTCATATGCCAACATCAGATATATATTCTAGTGATGATAGAATGACTATTGATTTGCATCCAACACGAGATCAAGGTTTCGTAAGACAGAGAAGAAAAAATCCGGATCATCAAGATCTATGGGTTGTAAATGGCACATCGGTACGGCGTAATTCTTATTCGGATACAAATACATCGCAATGCTCAGAAACGCCAAGATCACTGCGCTACAATGATAAACCAGTTAAATCAAACCGTCGATCGGTTCGTGGCACAGGTTACTATCGGTATTGTAATGAAAATAGAGAAATATATTTTATTCTAGAACGTTCCTCGCCGGCTGTGCATCATCGATCACAACATGAATCTGCTCGTAGTCACTTATCTTCATCTCGAGCAGGTCGACCTGAATGGCATCCTCCATCAAGAATCGTTTCTGAAAGACCACCAAAATATTTCAAACCTAGTTTAAAACTAGAATCTGATATGTCAACAGAAAAACATCACATGGATGGAGCAGAATCAGAGCCAGTATCACAACGAGAAACACGTTCGAATCGAACAAAAGTACGTACTGGAGGTGAACATCTTAAAAAGTCTGCTAAAAATTCTGAGAACAACGCAAAATCAACATGGGAACCTACAGTCATTGGTTTATCTAAATCACCTGTTGAAGAACCAAAACCGCCAACAAACACAACTACTGATCGACATTCATTGCATAATGAATCAACGAAACCTACAGTAGAAATAATACCAAAAAGTGATAGGGTTATTGATGAAAATCATAGTAGTCCTCGGCATGATTTATCTGGAAATCAATCACCAACATCACAAAGAAAGAAGAATCAAGATTCATCTCATTCATCCCCTCGTGTAGAAAAAGTATCAACACCACATGAATCACGAAAACCATCAATAGAACTTCGTATGTTTACTTCTATCTTAATATTTCTATCAATAATATAGGACTTCCTTTTAGCAAAACCGACTAACAATATACTAACACATGAAAATGATCAGAACAATAGCCAAGATAATAATCACAGTAAATTTTTGTTTTTCATAATTTACGGATAAAAATAAATCCTCACTCTATTTAGCGTCTTTACCTACATCTGAGGTTAAGAAAAATGAAAATGATAGTAGCGATAACAACGAAACATCAAAGAATCAAAATTTACAGCCAACAACACCACCACATTCTTCTGCTGAAGTTTCAAAATCTAATCGTAAAAGTAATATCAGCTACCTCTATCGAATATATATGTTCTTTACAAATATTATTTTAAAAAAATTTCTTTCTAGCACCATCACCACAGCCAAATAATAATGAGAAGCATGAAGCAATTATCGATGATGATACAGACGAAAATGATCAAGAGGTTGCGGATAGTTTCGATATTAATAAGTTTCTTACCGATGCATCAAGAGCTATCTTAGGACCTTCAAAACCAGATGATACTGCACCTGCTGCTCCCCGATCTCTTCCTAAACCTATTGTAAAAAGTCCACCTCGTCGAAAAGCTCAACCGCTATCACCATCCTCTGTAGCTTCCGATCAGGATCTATATAACCCACCATTTGGTCCTAAGCGAAAAGAGAAACCGCCTGCTATTCCTACTCCTTCTTTACCACCACCACCACCACCACCACCTCCACCACCGCCAACAACAGGATCAACAAATGACGCTGAAGGTGAAGATTTTTTTAGTTAATACTTTTAGGTCATTGGACAAGAGAAGTTTTCTTTTTTATTTTTCAACTAAATGTGTGCAAAATGTATGCCAGACAAAAATTGGCTACAAATATCATTTTCTAGAGTTTAATATGACAAAAGAAGCAAAAAAAAGTAACAATAATAAATTGAATCAATCTCTGTGATATATTTTCTGTATTCTAATGCACAAAATATGTTGATGATTTATTAATTTGAAAAGCGTCAAGTAATTGTTGAGCTTCATTATGATAATGAAATTTCGCTAGAATACCACCTATTTGCGTTGGATGCATTGTATCAGTAATTTGAATGGTCGATGATGAACGATTTGCTCGTAATGTATCTATAGCTGATATAATTGCTAGTTTTTGTCGACATTCATCAATACCAATAAGCCGAGCAGATTTATGATCAATATGTAAAGGTGTTAATGACTAATTTAAAAAAATAAATAATAACAGAATATTACAAAGAAGAAAAAGAAGAAGAAACGTTTTTGCATACATTATATTCGTAATTGATTGGATAAATAAATAATCGTTCCGTTGAATCATTTATTTGCTTCATCGATGATAAAGAATCAAAAGCTAATTGAAATGCTTTCAACTGTTCTTTTATGTCGCTTATTGAACAGCCATAATGATACATTATTTGAGCCACTTAAATAAAAAAAACATTTTACAATGCAAATAATGATTAAAAATAGGAAACTGGTAAGAGACATCACGTAAGATAGAAACGAAACTAAGCATCTTACGTAGAATGATCCTACATCAATCGTAAAAAAAATTTGATTCTTTTCCCAAGTAGTTCCGTGTTGTTATGTTTTTTTTTTGACACTGTTTAGTTTCAAAATACGATTAACTTTAGCAAAACTTTTAAAAATAATCTTTTAAGTGATCTGCCATTTTGCTAGTCGAACTTCAACAAAATAAATTCTCAGTTAAAACCCTGTTCCCTTAATAGTACTCATTTCACGATTCATTTTTGTATGCTTTTTCTCGCTTGACATCTGTAGATAACACAGAAACTTTCTTAAAATAATAACTTTGTATAGCGTTTCAATACTTATCTGGCATAGACATTACTAACTAATGGTACATTTTGAGTGTTTCAATATTATAGCTATTTCATAAGCTTCGTCGAATACAAACGTTCTGATGTACGCAATCGCCAACATCTTTGACTTGCGAAAAAGTAACATTCATTAATACGAATTCTGACGACAAGGTATTGTTTGCAAAAACTTATGTTCAAAACTCTGTTTAAACTTTAGCTGTAGACTTCAGCCTTTCACTTGATACATGTCAAATCAAATAGCTAATCAAAAAGTTGAGGGTAGGACTACTGGGATACTTCGATGTTTGTATACCTCATAAAGATATATCGATAGGATCATTACTGATTAATTTCATTATGCTAAAGAATCTATTTTTAACAATAATGCGCTATGTGTTCTCTCGATCCAGCATTTTTTCGTACTGTTGTACACTAACTTCGTATTATCGTATTCGAAGCAAAAAATTAACTTCTTATGATCAACTAAATCAATACATACTCTTCAATGGTAATTTCATAATTTTATAAATTTCATAAAGTGTGTATACATTTGACGCTTGAATCTGTTGACTTTCAACACATGTTCGTTCAAGATGAGCTAATAATTCAAAATCTAAATAACCTAATTTATCATGTTGATATTGAATAAGTGTTTCAAGACGATATAACGATTGATCATTCGACAAAGAACATATTGCTGATGCATAATCAAATGTAAATTGTTTTTGACTAAAATTATTTTATAAAACATTTGACTACCAAAAGAAAATAAATGAAAAAGATATTAACCTTAAATAATCATTTGTATTTTGAATACACCAAAAAGCGTCATCAAAATTTTTCAAATCAATACTTGTTTTAAATAATTCTTTAATGATCAAAGCCTATAGAATAAAAAAAAGAAAAGATGTCAAGGATCAATTATCTTGACTTTTTTTATGATTGATAAATACATACACGAATATCATTCGAATGTGAGCTTTGTAAAGATTGATGGAGAAATGAAGCAACATGTTGATTTTGACCGAAATATATTAAATACTCTCGAATCTTAGAACAAAAACAAAAATAATTTTTATCACGATTTGAAAAATAGTGCGGCGCTATTCATAATTCTAATGTAGAAGAGGATAAAAAAAACTCTCGAAAATCTTAACTCATTTTTCAAAGTACTTTCTCTAGTAAATGTTGTTCATCTTATCAAACATACCCATTCAATATAAAATAATTCTGGTATTGATTGTTTTCCAAACATTTCAATCAATAATGGATCCGTATGAAGTTCTTTTAGTACAACAGCCAAATGTCTTGTTGCTGTTTCAATATTTACACCGGATCGATAAAATGTTAGTGCATGAAAAAATTGCCTAAAAGCAAAGAAAAATGTTTCATTGAAATTTTAACAAAATCAAATTCTAACCTTGAAGAATTTAATTCTTTAAACCAATCAAGTTTTCCACAATATTGATCTAATATTGTCCATTGATGTCGGCCTGGTAAGTATTTTAATAGAAACTCATTACTGGGCCATCTAAATATAATAATCATAAATAAAATTTCCTATTTAAAAATTAAATCATACAAAAGTGAAAATAGATTATCAGCAGATTTATTAATTAATTCAAGCCAATTATCTGAATCCGGTGCGATGTTTTCTGCTGGAATGTTATCTGCAAGAATTTGTTCGAGTAACGATTGATTTCCTATTCAACAAAGAAAATTTCTCTCATATAACAATGAATATTTCATTTCTTGTCTTACCAATTCGCGTTTTATATGGTTGTTGATAAACAAGATTTTCAATGAATAGATCACTTCAAAAAGAATTAAAATCTAATTTTTATTTTCGATTTAGTTTAACTATTTTTACCGATCATTTACGAATGTTGTTGATAATTCAATTCCACATGAGGAAAGCCATAGAAGTACTTGATGAATTTGAGATAAATCTTGTAAGTAAGGTAAAACTTTTTCTTGAATTTTTTCTAACCGATGAGCACTAATGCGAGTCTAAATATATAATAAATAAATATAATTAAGGTAAACTAGAGAGAAAGATACAAAACTATCTCTAATTTCTTATAAAATGCTTGAACTAATGTTCGGTCTAGATAGATTGATAGTGAAAACAGTGAATAAAATTTCTATTAGAACTGCTCGTTCTGATATATGATAGTAATATAATATCAGATTATTTCTTCCCAGGATTCTCATTTTTTTCAAAGTGTAACCAACTTTATATTACAGTATAGGAAAGCAGAATCAAGCGTTCACTAAATGAATCCTTTATCGAACAAAATACAAGTAATTAAAACCATGTTAACTCCTTACATCATGATGATAAGAACTCTTTGGATAAAGAAAACTGTTAGATCAATGGTTTTAATGGATACAAGAATTTAATGTAATTGATTTCGAAAGTATTCTTAATTAATCATTGAGATGGATTGCTCGAATTTTGTGGCATGAGAGTCTATATGAAATTTGAACCGGTGTCAAATCCAAATTTGCTCTTATTTCAGTTCTAAAACATTTTTCGATCGGCATCAATAGGGGTAAGAATTACAACTGAAGAAAGAAGTATTGAAAAACTTGAGCTAGATGTTATTGTCGAAATTGAAAGCTCTTTACTAGGATCTCAGTGAACTATAGATACTATTGAAATCATCGTATACAAATTTTGATCGAGTATTACCATGGCATATGGGCAAAGAAATCATCAAATATTAGACAAATAGAGAAATTCTCGAATAATTTTAGCATATGTTAAGTAGTTTAATAGATAATTAGAAGAAGAAAAAAAAACTTTACTTGATTTGAACGAAACACAAGAGGAATCAATTTGTTTAAACGTTCAATTTGATTAATTTTTTCATGACAACGTTGAATAAATACAAGAACAAGTACACGACGAGCAATTTTAGATGTAAATACATTAGTGCTGTTGTCATTTGAACTTATTTTTGTCAAATGTTTATCATAAAGCGATTGTAGAGTTTCAACTAGTTGATCATTATTTACAATTGGTTCGAGATGTTTTTGAATACGATTTAATTTTCTATGTTAGACAAATAAATATTAAATGTGCAGTTTTTATTTAAAGAATTCTACTGTGTTATCAGTTGTCTATCGTTTAAGGATATTTCATTTAACACAACATCATCAATTTGAGCAATTGTTTCTTCGTCTGATATGTTCATTAATGTTTCAATATCATTTGTATAACCTATGATAAGGAAATCATTTTTTGCATACTTCTTACTTTTATCTGACTTACGAGAATATTTTAGATTTGATGGTAATGCAGATTTCGATGTTGAATAAAGTGATATAGCAGACTGAAACATTAACAATAAGTATTTGAAAAAGTAACTGACTTTTCTTTTGTTTAAATACCTTATGAATGAGAATGATTAATTGTCTTTCATCGAATATACGACAACCGAGTAGAACAAGAGCATGAGCACGAAGATCGATTAATGTACTATAAAGGTTTTGCCAAAATTTAGTTAATATCTGTAGACGATCTTCATTACGAATGGAATTTTCTTCACAATGATCATTACACTAAAAACGAAAGGAATTCAACCGATCCAGACAAATGAAAACGAAAAAGTAAACTTCTATTTACCAAGCTTTGAAGAATAATTGGTAATTGTTGAAGAATTTGTGTTAATGATACCCACGATTGATTTAATTCATCTAGATTAAGATTAAATGTAATCCAAAATGCGTCTTTAATCATATCAATAGTAAATTCTCCTGGTGAATTAAGTCTTCGTTGAATATCATCAATAGGTGTCGATTCATCATTTAAATATTTCACATTAAAATCCATTGGTAATTCAATAAATTGTTCACGATGATTTGATTTTAATTCATATTGTAACAATAATAGAATTGAACGATTTTGATTTGTTAATAAGTGTAAGAGAAGTCTATCATTTGTACATGATATTGATGTTAACGATGAACCATTTGCTAAATGTGAATGATCATTCGATTGTACACTTTTTGTATAAGATTTATTTTGATATAAAGAATATTTAAAATTATTTGATGTATCATATTGAAATTCATAAATAAGAACATGAAGAAGATCATTCGAATCATTAATAACAAATAAACGTGTGATAAGTTCATCAGAGAATGTTTCATATTGACAGTAATCTAAGAACATTTTTGTTGAAGTTTTTGATGATGAACGTGATAGATCATTCGACAAATTATATTCATATAGTACTGTATCAAACTGAAAAAGAGAGCATCAGAAAAAAATTTCATTACTAAACAAACGAAAGCTGGAAAATCAAATTAAAGAAAAAGGCTTCGTAAGCATTCAGTATGATTAATTCTATGACAGTCTATTATATTGAAGTGAAAAGTTTAGTCAATAGCTGGACAAGTGTTCTGATAAACGAAAAAGTTCCACTTTGAAAACTGTATTTATCTACGATTCAAACTTCTTCATTTATCAACGTTCAAATCACGATCGAGATAAATGAATCATATTTTTCAATGCAAAATATAGCAAAAAAAAAGAGTTAGATGAGCCTTTCGGTTTAACTGCTTACTTGATCGGACAAAAATCGAAGTAAACCATTATCGTATAGAATAATTGTCATTGTCATGTTACTGTAAATAATTGTTGTTTGACCAGCAATAAACGGTTGAGTTTGTTGATTAGATGATAATGATTTACTTGAATAAAAATGAAAAATAAATAATTATAGAATTCATTAATTAGTTGATGTTTACAACTTACTTCGGATTCCAAAGGAAATTAAATAAACCCCCTGATTGTCGTTTTGGATATGTCAATTGTTGTGGTGAATCTTTGAATGAATGAACTCAAATTTAAATCAGTCTGTTCTCATCAGTGTATGCTAACTTACTTAAATAGTCTTGATTATCAAAACGAAGAATGATTGTTTCCATTTCATTATATAAAGCATAAATAAGATGATCATTTGTATAAGCACAGGTAACTTGTGAATATGATTGTAACTCATGTCGATAAAAATGATTTCGATTGATTAAATAATCATCTGTTATATCGGCAAGTATTGATTGGGATTGGTCCTTAAAAATGACACAGTATTTTTATTTTTTGCCGAGAAAACTTTAAAAAAAACTATGATGCCTACCGATTGCGTGTTGTTGGATCCGATGGGATATTTTAAGATCCAACGATATACGCCAATGTGTGTTGCAAACATAAGACAAATTTCTTGACGATCCGGCAATTCAACAATAAAAACATTTGGTAAAACAGTTGTTGGTACACCGAATTGAATTTGAACAGCATTTTGTAGAAGATTACGTGACATTGAGTATTCAAATAATTGAAATAAATTATTTTCTATTGTACGCCTAAATAAATGAATTATTGAAGTTAATTTTTTTTAAACTAAACTAATATTACCAAAATAGAATTCGGTCGAATGAACGATCGGCTGGCATCCAAGCACCACCATGCGGTTGAATATTAGTTGTACCTCGTGTATCTGAAAATTTATTTCAAATTTTTATTATCATTTCAAAAATTTATCTTACCTGACGGTTTGTTGCCAATAGTTCGCCAGGTAATAAGATCATCAAGAAGAGTCGCAACATGATTTGTAACAGGAATATTTGATGAATCTGCTGAAGTCATTTTCGCTGTATTTCACTTGTGCATGAAGTCTTTTTATTCTTTTCATGAAATTTTATCATCGAATGAAGTTCACAGCCAATCATAATTTAGATAGTGCCCTCTTTGATGATAAATTATATATGTATATATATTTTTCTTTCAAGTCAATTCTATTGTGATTTTTTATTAGTAATATTATTTTCATTTATTTTTAAATATCATTAATAGGAAAATTTGATCATCCTACGAAAAGAGCATAGAATATTCTAGTAAATAAACAAATAAAAGTACAGTGCAAGTTATATGTGTATCAATCGAATCATAGAGCAGCATGAGTCAAGAAAATTGCCTTCTACTCGTTGCATCACTTTTCAGTTGTTTTTCTACTTGTATTTTGCTAGTTGTTGCACACTTGATTGATCCAAAATTATTCATATAAAAGTAGTCAACATATTCTCATTTATGTTATAGATTTTTTGTTTTCTTTATAACCTCTTTCAAAACAATAAAAATGGGTCGTCGATCTGGTGGTGGTGGTGGTGGTATGCGTTCATCGTCTCCTTCTCGGTATGTCCTTATTTAGTTATGCATATTATATATTTTAAATTATTCGTGTTTTCTCAGAGCTCCTCGGCCACCTCCGCCTCGTGCTGTTGCACATCCACCTCCAGCTGCACCAGCTCCAGTCATGGCTCCTCAAGGTCGTCAACCTGGTCTATTCGGACAAATGGCTGCCACTGCTGGTGGTGTTGCCATTGGTTCAGCCGTTGGACATACAATTGGTGCAGCAATGACTGGTAGAAACAAGCAAAACTGTATATAAAATAAACTAAACAGTATTTTTTTTTATTGACTAGGTGGATTTCGTGGAAATGATCAAGCAGCTGCTTCCCAAGAAGCAAATACTCAACAGTCGAATCAAACACCAAATGAACGATTTACTTCTGAGCGATGTAATTTATATCAAAAAGAATTCATGAAATGTCTTGACCAAGCTAGTGGTGATTCAACTCAATGTCAAGGCTTTTGGGAAGCATTAAAAGTAAGCTCTGCTTTTTTTCTTTTGCGTTTCTAGTTATATTGATTATATGTTTATTTATTTCATAAAGGAATGCCAACGTTTTCAAGGCTCTAACGGTATGTTATTGAATTTTTATCAATGTTTTTCCATTATTTATTCTTTTCTTTTCATTTCTTTTTAGCATCACTCTAAACATGAAGAAAATAGAATATGCTAAGCAGCAGCCATCGTCCTTCCCTATAATTATTCTATTTCCAACGTGGCATTCGATTGTATTCCGGTCGAAATGATATGATTTTTTTTCTTTGTAACTTTTTTTCCTTATTAGTCCAATAAAATAGAAAAAAAAAATAAGCGAATTTGAAAGTTTTAATCCTATGAAACTTGAAATGATTCATTGTTCATCTAATTTCTAATTAAGAATCCAAGCGCCAGATAAACTATTGTTTTCAATGGATGATTTAAATTGTTGTCTTTCTAAAATTCTTCATCTATGTATTGAATCAAGCATTTTCCTAAACCAATTATATAAATTTGAATATCAACTTTCAAAATTATATCTATCATATTATAATGCACGTAGAAAACTTTTTTCAATTCTCGATCATTTCACTAGCATAAATAGAGATTTAAATCTTTATTATAAAAATTATTTTTTAACAATGTATTCAAATATTTTAAATTATCTTTCACGACAACGTTTTACTGTAAATTGTTCAAATGAAATTGTTGATGATTTTCATGACGATTTAAATCATTTAAATTACATTCTTAATCATCATAAAAGCTATTATAAAGATATATTTTATTATCTACATAAATTATGTATAACTTGTTCATTATGTATAGAATATCGTCAATCATGTACAAATTTAGAACTAACCAATCGGTTTATTTATATACGTATTGATTTATTAACGAATTTAAAAAAATTAAATGAAAAAATAAAAAATTTATTAATGAAGATAAATGCTAATTTTGAAAAAAGAAAACGACACTCAATAGATAATACTCGTCGGCATCCTAAGGAAAAAGCAAACATCGACAATTTATTTCGTACCATTTTGCTTTGGTGCATAGTTATTATTTTCATTAGATATTATTTCATATGGTCTCACATATATGAAATTAAGTCTAAAAAAAAAGGTTGGCTTATATGATCTTTACCTTGATACTATGTCCTTGTGCTGACGTGGCTTTGATGCCACGTAAAAAATACAGTCACAGCTGGTCACAGATCTTCTTTTTTGACTTGCAAATTTTCTATAAGAAATCGATCTATAAATTCACGTTACAAATCAAACATTTTCCTCACACAATTCCATCATGATGATCAAATTTTTTATCTTGGTTGCTCTCATTGCTAAATATTCATCGAAACACACAGTAAATGGTGTAGCTGATTCAGATTTTCCATCTCAATTTACAATTACTCATGAAGCTGTATTTGATATTGTTATCAAAGAACATATGCATGCAAGTGAAGTTTTAAAACAAGGAAAAGTTGTTATTGGACTTTTTGGTAATATAGTTCCAATGACTGTTTTAAATTTTGTTACAATTGCAAATGGTATTGTTCGAAGTGATGTAAAACGAAAATGAACACACAAATAAAAAGATTTCTTTCTATATGAATATTTTTCATTTTCTAGGTAAATTTTACGTACAATGGTGTGCCATTTCATCGTATTGTAAAAGATTTCTGTATTCAAACGGGTGATTTTATCAATCGAGATGGTACAGGAAGTGAGTATTAAGCTTTTAAACTGTAGAATAGATCGAAAGGGAACCTTTTTGTTTTTCTAGGCTTAAGTATTTATGGTCCAAAATTTGTTGATGAAAATTTTCGTCTTAGCCATAAATCAGCTGGATGGGTTTCAATGGCCAAGTAAGTGCAAGCGATAGAAATTTTAAGTATTTCATTACTATTTTTTTGTATAATCAAGTTATGGTACAGATACAAATGGTTCTCAATTTTTTATCACGTTGGTTCCTGCTCGTTGGCTTGATGGACATCATGTTGTCTTCGGCCGAGTTGTTCAAGGTATTGATTTTGTTCATGAAATCGGCGAAGTTGATACATTTCCTGGTACATCATTACCCAAAAAATATGTTGGTATTCTCGAAGCTTCAGCTAAAGAAGTATCACGATATGATCTTGCTTTGGAAGATCTTATTTCTACCGAAGACATTATTGTTGCTTAGGTTTTATTATATAAGATTTTTTGCTTTCTTTTATCTAATAAATATGATATCCCGTTTACAATTTGGATTTGGGCAGCCTATTAAAAAATGTTTTATGTATATTTCAATGCATTTTGACTTCAAAATATTCTGTTTGTATTGCAAACATCGCTGATAATAGCATACTTACATTTTGAAAGTATTTTAGTTTATTTGAGAAAATATTCAACAAGAAAGAATTGTTGAATTTTGTTTTTCTAATCGTATTCACTCTGATCTTGAACGCACAGTAGCGCTTCTGTCTAACATAAAAGAATATAACGTATAAAAACATGAAGATAGAATAATGTTGAATATTTATCAGTCACTTTTAAAACTATATTTCAATTAGATTCGTACCATCGTATTTAGAACATCATAAATTTTATGCATCACAGAATAAAAATAACTTGATTATGTAATGGCTTAAATATATAATTGGTTACATACTATGAAGTATAAATATGAAGAGAAGAATTTCACCAAACGGTGGTATATTGTATATATTTTATTAGCGAACATAAAACTTTGAAAATAAAATATCTATTAAATTGACTGCATAGAACACTTTATAAATCAGTTAACAGAAAATGCTGTTCAAGATCATAATTATCAAATGTACCGATATGCTAAAGGTTTAAATGGGACTCTCATAAAACGAGACATGATAGTAATGGAACTACTGCCGATTTAAAATGCGATTCTATGAGAAGCAAAATTAAAAAATCAGAAATTAGCTAACTTGATGTTGTATGAGTATACGTTTGGGTTCGGGTTTGGGTGACCTTAAGAGTGTAACAATACGGGGCAGGGGCGGCGGAGCGTCATTAAGCTAGGTGAGGCTCATAATTTTTTTTTTCTACCGTGGAATTTTATGAACGCATCAAGCAGAAAATAAGTCTTCGTTTTATTGAATTGCAGTAAAAATAAAAATGGTCAGTACAAAAAAAAGATGATTGGAAAATACCAAAAAAGTTTTTTTTTTGCTCCTGCTTTGATGCAAGAATAAAAAATAACAATATTCAGTACAACAGTAAGTGAGGCTGAGCCTCATCTTGTGAAATCTAGGCGAGGCTCAAGCCACATGGGTCTCAGTGGCTCCGCCGCCATTGATACGGATAATGGCTGAATATTGGTACTGTAGTTGAAAAAGTACGAGCGTCACTAAAAGAATACGTTTTGTTTTTTAATCTCTAATAACTAATTTCCTAGCAATAATTATTAATGGTGTATTATTATAAAACTCTGAGGGGCGTTAGTGCGTTTTTTCCCAGAACTCACGTTAGTTGTATCATAAAATAGGTATAAATAATCAGATGTTTAATGAACTTTACTAACCACTTGCGATTTATTTCAACACCTTGTATTTTCACTGATAATAATTTGTGATTTGTAGCTAGGTTAGTTTTCTTGCAATTTACTTCTATTACTTACATATTTCCTACTATTTGTCTCTATTCTGACAACCAATTTTCGTTGGATAAAAGTAAGAACTATAAATTACATAGCTAAAGAGGATACTCCAAAATTCGGCCATAAAAATTAAATTGATATTTTTTCAATATTTTAATTTTTTAAATATTCAGTTCATATAATTTGATCCATAATGAACATTCAAAATGATAACCATGATTGGAAATATTTCATCGAGAGTATTGGAAAACTTTTCTTTTCGGGTTGATGCACTTTCGTTGTTGCTTCTCATATCAAATTTGTTTCGATTTCAATGAATGACTTTTTATTGTGAGATCTGTCTTAATACTTATTTGTGAGGTATTTTCATGAAAACAGCTTTGCGAGTAAAAACATTCTTTTGAATTACTACCGAAGTTAAACAACTTGAAATTAGTCTTCTTCTACTTTTCTCTGTATCATTATTTGAATTATCTTTCAAGAGAACTCATAGCTGATAATTGGGTCTGTTTAAACACGTAACAAATTCGGTGAACTTTTTCCTCATTAATTATTGCATTTTTCTCATAAAACCCTGCATTTTCTAATGCATTAGTATCATAGAAGAGTTGACAAACATTCCAAAAAGAATCCAAAATGTTATTTCTAAAGCACATTTCCTAGCAGCGCATGATTGAAATAGATTAGTATCAATAACTAGAGCATATCGTAGGATATTTATAGAAACTATTGGAATGTAAATCTCAAGTTATCCATCATCAAAAAGAATTTATGCTATTAATAAATTTGTCATATTCTTTTCAATCTTCAAGAAACATGATTCATTTAGTGTTTCATTAAATTGAAATGTTTCGCTGTTATATTTTAATTTTTTTTGTTCCTGAAAAAAGAATTGCAATAAAGCGAGCCTTTGTTTACATGTTAATAGCATGCTTAACCAATATCCATGAAGTCGAATATCCGAAACTAACGTTCATGATGTCAAGGGGGAAAGTGCTGACTTCAAGCACCAAATTTTACTACAGAGCGCCTAGGGTGTTGAACAGGTGCTGAACATGTGCTAGAGATGCTGAAACATGCTAAAGATGTTAGTAGTTGTGGAAAAGGAACAGTTTAATAAAGGAGAAGTATACAACAGGATGACATAATTCTCTGTTAAACTCATTATTTTCCCTCAATCTTGGTGAATACACTAATTCCACAACAAAAACAGAGCTGTGCCAAATTAGGAACCTGAATTAACTGAAAACTTGGATCAAATTTTATTAGCTTGAGAATCATCATTGAATTTTGATTATTTCCCACGAATTTATTGCGTATTTTATGGAAACTCAATTTTTAACATCTGGAGTGCCCCCCAAGGATCGAAAAAACGTTTTGTTCAGATTTTAGTGCAAGTAGTTATATTTCGATAAAGTTAAGTTCCCTGATCACAAATATCATTTTAGATTCTAAAATTCATTGGATACTAAGAAAGATCTGAAGCACTCTCGGGAAGACTTAAAAACAGCTATTGGTCCAAACATGAATATTTGATTTATACTGTTTGAAAATAGGCCCCTTCGAGACAGAATGTTTTTGTCTATCAGAGTATATAAGAACGACTTAGCTATTCAAATTTTGTTTTATCGATGAATGCTAAATACGGCCCCGATTGTGTCATGCAGTTAGAAATAATGCTATTCTCAATTTTATGAAGTGCAGCTTTTCGAGGTTTACCAGGAAAATTTTCTTACCAAATACGTAATTGAATGTGCTCTTTCTAATAAAACTGTTTTCAAATTAAAACGCATTGTAATGTGAAGTGTTTTTGCTGCGATACTACTCTTGAAGCCGGATTTCTATCATTTGTGACCGGTATTCGATAGTTTCAAACAGATTAATTCTCACTGACTGAATTTAAATATTGTGTTTGTTTTAAGCACAAAATCTAATTCGATTTAATTATTTCTACAACTTTTATTTTCGGTCAGATTTTCATCCCTGGTCCCCGTCCTGGATAACGAAAAACAAAACTTACTCCAAAAGCCATGTGGACAATGTTAAAAGTTTCCAAACTTTGGGAGTCATGTTTGAGATAAAGTAGATCAATTAATAATCAATCAAATAGTTGTTTTGAATAAAATATTTTGTTTTCATATGATCCTGAAGGGGGCCAGACGTAAAAATCTGACCCAAAAACAAAAGTTATAGAATTAATTAGATCCGCTCAGATTTTGTGCTTAAAAAAATATAATATTTATATTCAGTCGCATAGGAACTATTCTGTTTGAAACTATTAAGTAGCAGTCAAACAATGACAGAAGTTCGATTCCAATACTAGTATTGGAGCAAAAACGCTTTACATTGCATTGAGTTTTAAGTTGAAAACTCTTTCACTAGCAAGAGCACATTTAATTACGTATCCGGTAAGAGAATCTAACTGGCACACCTCGAAAAACTACACTTAATAAGACTGAGAAAAGTAGTGTTTGTAAGTGTATCACCCGATCGGGATGGTATTTGGAATTTATCGAGAGAAAAAAAGATTGAATATCTAAGTCGTTCTTATATATTCCGATAGAAAAAAAAACATTGTGCATTGGACGGACCTATTTTCAAACAGTATAAATCGAGTGTTCATGGATCTTTAGGTCAGTAACTGTTTTTTAAGGCTCCGAGAGAGTGCTTCATATCTTTCTTATTATTCGATGACCTTCAAAACTGAGACCATACTGGTAATCAGAAGGCTGAGCTTTATGGAAATATAACTATCTATATTAAAACCAGCACAAAAAAGGTTTTTCGACCCTTGACGGGGCACTCAAGGTGTTAAAAATTGATTTTTGATGAAATACACAACAAACTTATGAAAAATAATCCAAATTCAATGATGATTTTCAAGCTAATAAAATGATGTGCAGGTTTCTTTTTACCAAGGAGTATGGCATTTCGCACAATATTTTTTTTGATACCTGAGAAAAAGCACAAGCTGTACAAATGCATTGGTGATATAATGAAAAATAAACTTCTGAAAAATAATCAGAGCTTAGTGTTAGTTCTCACACTGATAAAAGAAAGATCAAACTTTTTGGTATATCATTTTGCAATTTGATATGCGGTTACTTTCGAAGGATGCTTTTCTTTTTTCTGTCGGTATTTTTTATTCTGACATAAATCTCATTCAGATTCTGTGAATAATTCAAGAAAAAAGTCACCTCTACTATTGAAAATGAAGGTAGTTTTCCCGATTCATTTCCGTACGGCTGAAGTAAATCTCACTATCGAAAAGGTGCTGCAGGTGCTGAGATGCTGGGGATTCCAAACCTGCACTTTCCCCTTGGAATATTTATGCATGGATATAAAATGTACGCACTAGATTATCTCATATATTCTATTGGACTATCATATTAGGTCAATGAAGTCAAAGTCCGTGACATAACGTTAATTGATAAAAATTTTAAGGAAAAGGAAGAGAAAAATAAATAATTAAAGATCTAATTGAAAACTTTAGGATTTATATAAGATTAGCTCGGGTCAAAGAATTTATACTTTTTAACGATGAATTCATCGAGACAAAGTATCCTGTGGTCCAAATTATAGCAATTAGAAAGAAACGATTGCTAAATAAAAAGCAAAGAATCATGAAATGATAACATGAACAGTGAAATATACTGAAAATTGTAACAGCTTTTAGATTAATCTGTAGTTTCATGTTAAAGGTTTTTTTTTCAGAGGTAAATTGATATGATATTTATGAAATCTTCACAATACAACAGATTTATATAAGTGAATTGAAAAAATAAAATCCTAAAATTAGAATTAATCACAAGAGATATTCCGATGCTTAAAAAAAATAACTAGTGCCACGAATCTTTTGGTCGATTGCTAAATCAGCGATAGAAATACTGATATGATTCAGAAATATTTGTCAAAAAGCGAATTGCTAGTCAGTAACATCCTCTTAACATAAAATAATAATTGCTCCTCTATAAAAATAGTTCATTATTCTATAACTCTATTGTGAGAACTTCATCTTTACTATTTCGATCATATATGAAAATTTCTATTACTATTTGCTAACTTTTCTTCTTAATCGAGTAAAATTTTGGTACTGTAAAACACTATCAAATTGCATTCTGCCATAGAAATATTCCTTTTTTTAGATATGATAAATGCCATAGTGTGATAAATTTTCAGTAGACACTCGTGTATTGTCACATTTTGATAATCAATTAGTAAAGCGCAAGAAAAAAAACAAATTATCAGTAAATTAATGTTTTGCAATTTTCAGACAACCACTCGCTGCTCATATTTTCTTTTACGTGTAATCAAAAGGTTTGATCCATATTATACTTTCATCATATAGACATGACTCTATTCTGAAGTATTTGTAAAAAAAACCATCGAGAATCTAGATGAAGTATTAGGGCAGTTTCGATGTTCTGGAAAAAAAACTCTGACATATTCATCTGTTATGTCAGTTTGATAAAAAAGTTTATGCAGGCATCTTATCTTCAACTAATGTTAGAGAACAGTCATGGTCTTATTGAAAAAATGTCAAAGGATCAATAAGAATTTATGACCTGAAATTAATAATATAGATTTTAAATTGAATGATAACGAAGTCCTACACCAGCTAACAGTTCTGTTAGAAAATAAAATATGGAAAATTCAGCCTGTAAATTTTTATTAGATTGTTTGAAGACTTCATGCCAAGTGACGATCTTCGAGGTACACATCGAAAAGATTAGATTAGTTGAGTTCTTTATAATTAATTAAGCTTATACGTAGCTTTTTTCTAGCGAAGTCGCAATGAAAATAATTCTATTTCATACATAAACATGATACAATTAGTTTATTTATTGATCAGTTTACATAGTACGCAAATATTTTTCTTTATTACGAAACAAAAACAAAAATAAATATTATGTTTAAAATATGACAATAACTAGAGCACAAAATGTTTCATTATAAACAAGTTCGATTTTTTTCCTCGATAAAAATTGTTAATGCCATTGGTTTTATGGATTCTCATGTGAAGTAGGGGCCACTTGATTAATCTGTATTATGGGTCGTTGCCATCGTTTGAGATGTACATTCAATAAAACATAAATTATTTGTTGACGAAATCGTTCAGATGTACACGTATAAATATAGAAGGGGCCCTGTAAAACGAAAACAAAAGAGATCAATATAACTTGCTTTAAAAAGAAAGATAATGTAGACATACTGCAAAGCTTAAATAATAGAAGAGAATGGTTATAACATTTACAAAATCTAACTTTGCCAGTATATCTGGATCTTTGATATCATATGGAAATGATGTCAAAATTGTGTGAAAAGTATATGGGAATGTAAAAATGAAATTAAATAGAATTTGATGAAGAACCATGTTGGTTAATTGTTTATCTAAAGAACGTTGAACAAGAGGTACTGTACGATGTGCTAGCTGATGAACATTATTACGAGCTAACAGTCCAAAAATACAAGTAATGATAAGAGGTATAACACCTGCAAGTATAATAAGATAACCATAAGTATGATATTGTTGAAAGGCTAAATTATCACTGGCGCATGAAATTCCGCCAGTAATAGGTGCTTGAACTAAATTAAAATATATTAAATATGGAACTCCGTGTAGTAGCCAAGCAATAGTCATTATTAGTATTAAACGATGAGCTACGTTCGTAGTACTCCATTGACGCCATTCAAGACGAGCATTGGTACACATATATTGATCAATAGCTGCTAAACATGTACATGTAAACGAAGTCAGAACACCAAATTGAAGACCATACCATCTTAATTTACAATAGACGGGTGAAATTAGTGTCCAATCAAGTTTAAATCCACTGATCATGATGCGTGAAAGTAGTCCTGCCATTAAATTACCAATATTTACAAAGGACATGAAAATTAAATAAAATACGCAGGAATTTTCACGAAAGGTTCGTAGGCCAAGAAATATAATGATATTGAGAAAACTTCCAATCACACCAGCAATAAATATAGCTGAACCAACGTATAAAGTTATATATTGTGAAATAGAAACCAGTGTTGGTATATTTTCTGTCGTCATTTTAACTATATTGTATGATACAAATAAGCTTAATTATTGTTTCTCTCTTAATTGAAACAATAGTGCATTTATCGAGTTCAGTAGTTATAAACGAAGTTCCTTTAGTGTAAGTTTAAGATGCTAGTTAGATTTGAATCAAATGAACGCTCTTATTGTTAAACTAATTTGTTCAAATTATCAGCTGCCCGTACCATGCACACGTCGACATATTCGAATGTCGACGTCTTCATATTCTATATTATGTTAACACAAGTGGAAATTTTAGTCGCAATAGTTTCTCTGTTCTAGGTTAGATAGTCATCGAAAACTTACGGAAGTAAAAGAATATCGTCGATAAGAGAAAGTTATTTCAAGAAAAAAATCTAAAACACTACTATAGTTAAATTCAAGGACCATATATTCAACGTCTCGACTTAAGAAAATTTGTTTTGTTATTGTTGAAGATCTTTGTTTTCTTATGTAACTCATCGAAATCTATGTCACCATGAAAAGAAAAATTCAATACTACGAAAACAATATTCAAGAGTGCTCACACGAAAGAAAATTTATAAACCCTAACACTTAAATATCTCGACCTGCACACACTGTGAACAGTTAACCGTTTGAATTATCTAGTTTGACAGTGCATGTTTTCATTTAATCCAAATATAGGCAACCTCTTCAATTTACAGAAATGATTGTTGGCTGCTAGTTTTTCTAAAAATAGCAATACCATATCGTTGCTACTAATCATGTACTGCAGGTAAAAGAAAACAAAAACGAGTGCTTTTTTTAAAGTCTTTCTTGAAAACTTTTCAATCACAATTGTATATAATCTAATATAGCTCTATGAAATGTTGATTTTTTATTTCAATGACAAAAAAATATAACATAACTGACAACACCTACAATTTTCTAACATTCTGCTTACCTGTGATGATGACATTATACTTCACAGTTCAACCAAATGAATATTAATTTTTTAAAGAATATCAAATGTCTCGTTCCCTAAAGTTTGTACTATTCAGAGAAAAGAACGCATTAAGTTATACCATTTTCTTGAACATTCATTAAGAAAATTAATTTCTATGTTATTAACGTTAGAAATGAACACGATAATAATGAGTGGTTGAAGACAATAAAGTTAGCATGAAGTGGCAGAATGGTCGGATTTGCAACATTAAGCTGCATATTTATAGCCACATGTTATAGAACAACATACATGCTCATTAATTTTTCTTACTGCTCATAATTAGATAGCTCATTATTACTCCTTTTCAACAGTACCGGCAATAAATTACTGTTTGTTAAATGCTTAGTATGTTTTCTTCACAGTCAACGTCCTAAAGTTGTCAAGACATTATAAGATTCCGAGTCTTCTATTATTTCCTATCGTTATTATGATACAAGTTGTAATTAGGGTTTTCCAATGTGTCGAAGGGTTTACATTTCTGCTTAGAATTGTTTGCTATATTGTTCAAAGTCATTTCTGATGAAGAATAATATAAAAGATTAATACCTGCGTTCTAAAAACGAGTTATTTAAGTCAAATGCTTTGGTATTATGTTGGAAATTTGTCTGAGATATAAAATAGATATTTCAGGGATACATCTACAAATATATATATCTATATATTAATGTATTCGAAATTTTCGAAATATTGGCACCCATGTAAAAGTAAAATTTGATAAAAAAATTTTGCCTTGCTAGCAAAAACTATTCTACTGCATATCCCTATTGCACAGAAACAGCAGTAGACAAAAAATCGATCGGTGAGATAAATGCTCATTTCAAGCGGAAAAGTGTCGTTCAAGTCAAAAATGAAAATTTTCCCGTTCTGTCTATAACAGAAGACAAACTACAAAAGTACAAGTCATCGCGTGTGTACGAAATTTATGTCGACCACTTTTGTCGTCACTGTTCAGAAAAGATATCCGTACATTTACAACATATTCCATGCTATACAGAACTCCACAAACATCAAATTTCAGTAATTTTCATTTTCACTTTCATCCTTCACATTTCATCTTTCCCAACGACTCATTGAAAACAACCTTATTGCCATCTCTTTCACACTCGTCACGCATCACCACAAACCTAACAAAGCTTTCGCTTATATTGTAACTGATTTTCAGGATCCCATCTTCATGCAAATTTACTCATCATTGTTTTCACCAAAGTCAACCATAATCTAACCGACAGCAATTTTTTCCAACATCATTAGTATCGTGTAAACGCATTTTTCTCTTATTGCGACTACATGTACGCTCATTTCCATTACATACGAATCCATTTTTCTTCTACAAGAAAAATGACGTCTCATTTATCCAAAGCATTTTTCTCGATGAATTTTTCATTTTTCCGCTGTGAATTCATTTTTACAGTGGTGTGAGGTATTGGGGAACGGCTTATTCTCGTTACTATTCGTTTGTTTGATGTGTGCATCGTAAGTTTATTTTTGAAGCACTTTTGACCTGAACGTCATTTTTCCGCTTGAAACGAGCATTTATGTCACCGATCAAATATCTGTCTAATCCTCATGAAGTTTTGTATTAATTCATTCCAAGCATAGTTGAAACCTGAATTTTGAACAAAACAATATATTTCTTTGAAACACATGCATTTATCATCAATTCATTTGGATAAGAAGAAAATTGAAACAAAAATAGAGCTTCTTTAAACAAAAAATGAAACAGCTGTCTCCTTTATCGTATTTCGTAAGATGATCGCAAAAAGATAGAATAGTCGTAGTCTTATATCGTACTGCAAATAGTACAGATTAAAATAACCAGATGACATACTTGCGTGTCTGATTTCATATAAAAAATTCTGTATCCGCCAGCAATTTGTTTTTGTCTAAGGAGAAACTAGTTTCATAGTGCAATTAGTGGTACGTTGCATTGTATAAGATAATGATTTATTTTTAAATTTAATACATGTTGCAGCATAATAAATTTTTCGATAGACTATTTTGCAAAAGAAAACTGTGTGACCGATTTGAAAATTGATTCTTCCAATAATAAAAAAACTGTTCAACGATAAATTCATGTATAAAAACGCATAGCCAGTGAATCTTGAATGAATTAGGTTTTCTTTCAAAAGAAATCGTTTTTTTAATATCCCTCTCTAATTTACTATGCTGATGCGACTGTATTTCTCAAATCTTTTTAAAACTCTAACAGAATTTTAGATTTAATTTGAGAACGCTTTCAATGTTGTTCAAAAAATATTGTCTGACATATTCGTTGTATTTGTCTGTGTCGAAAATAATGATATAAGCATTTTATTTTTCATTTATCGTTGAAAGAAGCGATTATCTACTGAGTTTTCGGAAATTGTAGCTTTATTATTGCCTTCAACTTGAGAATCCACAACACGCACCGATTACTAATTCAGTTCTCCATTAATGAAATAGAATATAAACTGCGATATTAACAATTGTCATGCTCTAATTAGTATAAAATCCTTGGAAATTTTCAATTGCCTCTTTAGACACTTGCTGTGACCACGTATCAAGTAGGTACAATCTCCCCGCATAGTTGTAGAATCAATAATAATAATAATAAACTGAAAGAAACGTCTAGTTTCTCGAGTGGAATATGGCCCAATGAACTCGGTGTCATGCAAAAAATAAGTATCATAAATTTATTTTATATCGAATTTTTGTCAGAATACACAAAAACTTCTCATTTCATACCAAACAAAAATAATCACTATATTTTTAATATCGTACTGAACAGATTCAAACATTATTTTGCTACAAACAAGTCCTTTATTTTCACTCGAAAATAATAATAAATGGTATTCACTCAAAAAGGCTTCTCTCACTCTTGATATAGCATTCATTGAAGTCTCATTGCACGTTCATGAAAAAAATAAATAAGATATTTATGTTAGTATTTCAGAATCATACGAGTGTTCTTTCTAGTTAATACACCACTGACTGTCCTCAATATTTTTTCATATTTCATTCAATAAACATAGTCAATTTAGCTCTATTAGCTATATTGTTCTTAGTAGTAGAAGTTTTTGAATAGTCTAAACTTTGGTTTATAAACTATTTCTGTACAGCAAAGAAAAAATCCATTGACTCCGTATTTTTAATAAAAGCTGACTTCCAAAAATACGTAAAAAAATTCATTTTTTCATATTTAGGGAACTTTTTTTTTGTCTTAATTTAAAACATTCTTCTACATATCGTCGATAACAAAAATGCATTTATAATTCACCGATTTCTATCATATCAGCATAGAATAAACGAGATGTCGCACTTTCTTTATTCAAGTGATGAATTGTTCATTCAAACTTCGTTAAAACAATTCTAAACAATTTTTTTTCGAATAAATCATTTGTTAAGTTTAATTATATTCACGTTTTAGAGCAAGGAAGGAAAAATGCATCCTGAAAATTGTACACCATTGCTCAAAGATTTACACAATCAAGTAAAATTTGGCCAATATCATGTGAATCGTTATAAAATTCGTTCAATTTACTGTGCCGCCAAACTGTTGTATTAATGTTAGATGATATTGTTCAATATTACTATTTTGTCTCATGAATTCTCATTATTAAATCAGCATGTAAATTTCTGTGTGAATTCGTCAACTCATTTTGATCTATTATTAAATGAGTTCAATAATTCAACGTGATCTCCTGATGTATCATATTTATCTGAGAGATTCCTCAAAATGATTATTCGATTTAATTCACTAAATTTGACAAAAATATCTCTAATTGATGTTAGTTTTTACCAAGACAACAATAGATAAGAAATATAAATATACGATAGACGTATTCAAGGATTTAAGAAAGTGCCGTGTTAACTGGCAAAATTTATAGCTAACTAATTCTTGCTTTCCTCTTTTCTTTTCATATCATATCATAGAAATATGTAGCTGTACGAATATTTATTCCATTAGGATTAATGTGTACATTTGTTGGTGTATATTCCAAATCAAAACAACAATTATATAGTGAACAAAATTAAGACATGTTTCAAAATAGTAAGCACTACTAATAATCTATTACCCTTTAAACATACGTATATATGTCGTACATATTATGTGTGAATAGTGGTCTTCAACAGTATGAGAATATGAGAAAAATCTTGTTGACAGGCTCTAAAACAAATTATGCTGATTATTGATTTGTTTTATAGTATATTGTACGTTTGTATGCTACGACCCTCTTGATTATGACATTGCCATTCGCACGTTATTTTTTCTGTTTCTTGTGTTTTTTTTGCAAGTTTCTTGTTCTTTTTAATTTCTTTTCCTTTAAAAAGATGTATTGCAGAGAAAGTAAAATACTCCGTCGTAAAATCAACACTCCTATACTATGAAACTATTGTGTATATATATATTTTTCATTCTGATTACTTTTTTTATTTTATCTTATTTTGTAGATTGCATCTACGATGTCAACACAAATTCGTCATGCTCTTTTATTTTTAGCATAAAAAAATGACGAGCAACGACAATTTAAACCTTACACTGACATGTGCAATTTGCTTGGATATTGCCTCCGAAGAAAATGCAGTAGAGACATCTTGCTGCCACAATCTGTTTTGTTTACCTTGCATTGAAAATGTCGAATCATGTCCTACTTGTCGTACTGAAGATTATCAAAAGATTCCTGCTTATTTTGCCCGTCGTCTGATTGGCAGTTTAACTGTATCATGTCCCAATGACGGTTGTACAGTTCAAGTTACTCGTTCAAATCTAGCTAACCATCTTGCTCTTTATTGTGCTTTTAATCAAATCACTTGTCCGGATCCAGAATGCAAGAATTTTAAATGTACAAAAAAGAGTTTTCTCAAACATTTAGAAACTAACCACGAACAATTTTTACTTGATAACTATGTTAAATTATGGCAGAAACAAGACGATACTAAAAGAATGGTCATTATCAAATCCGATGAAGAACCAAATGGTAAGATACGATATATATTTAATATTTTGTTTGCTTCTATAATTATTATACTATTTATCTAGGTCGTGTCGAAGCTAGTGCAACTAATATAGATAGTACATTTGATGATCGAATTGAAAAAACACGAAATAAATCTAATCGGTATGCACGTTTAGGTAGTACAGGTAAATTTTATTGTGGTGGTCCATTAGATGGTTTACGATGTATGTGCTGCAATAATCGATGTGGACCATCAAATGGTTGTAATTGTTCTGCATGCATGCTGCTTGATGTTCAAAAGCGTAAGTTACCACATGGATGGTTAGTTAATTGTGACGGAGCATCGGCTAGATGTAGTACCTCAGAACCGTCAAAATTTTATTGTGGTAGAATGGTAATGGCGCAGGATTCAAGAACCGATGGATATTGTGGACCTACAAATGGAGAGCAGTGTACAGCATGTCAAAAACTCAATGAACAACGATATCATAGATATGGACAAATTTAAATATATCTATTTCTTGTAAAACAAATTCTGTTTTTTTTTCCTGGTACAACAAGGGCAAAACTTCTTTTTATGTTAATAAGAGTTTTATCAATGGTGTCATTTGAAAAAAAGATGAATAATATTTAATCTACTAGGCATGTCTATACTATTGTCTAGCTCTATTTTTGAAATGATCACAATAAATATCTATATGTAGAAGTAAAGTATTTAGTTTATCATTGCAGATCTCAGCAATGATACATTATCTATTTTAATTAATGCCATCTTTCAGACGGCCTGAATGATGGACCAAGGAGAACGCAGAAAACGAGAACTTCGTGGGACTCGAACCCACACCTTCCGCTATCTGGACAGGTGTCCTAATCAGTTAGACTAGAAGAACATCTTAATATTCGTTTGGCGTTAGCAAGTTACATCACTGACGCTAACTTTTTTTAAATTCTCTTCTCTGTATAAATGCTACTACAACTAAATAAACATTTAATAGATGGTAACGATTAAAAACTAACAAAAATAACTTCGAAAATTGCCGAAATTACGCATCCAAACTACACTTACTGGCACGCGTATGAGTCTTAACTGTGCCTAAACACGTGCAACTGAAAAACATCTTGATAACTTCGACGTATGACTGTCCATCTTCTTAAGCTTGCAAACATCTCCAAAATCTGCGTCGAAGTTTCAGATGAATCGCTTTTTCTCGAAAGTTTGATTCACCTGAGTTCAGTAGGAAAATACCCCCAAACCCTTGAAAACCCATTTGGAGACCCTTTAGAAACAACTTGAAGATCTCGATAGTGTTTCCGTCGAATTCTCCATCGCTTTTAACCTACTCGGCGTTGTTTTAATTGTATTATTGGCGAAACTTCCAAAAATCCTCAAAACGGATTTTTAGGTTTCCGCATAGTTCTAGATAAAACCCAATTTTCTATACGAAGAAAAATCATTTCGAAAAACTGCTCGTATACATTCGAAGAGGAACATCTGCCGAATCGAATCATGCAAACAAATCGATTCTAGCACCTGTGAAAAAGGTTTTTAAAGGTTTTTAATGCGATGCGAAGCAGAAGCCTTTCTGTAGTCCTTCGCGAACTGGCACGCGTATGAGTCTTAACTGTGCCTAAACACGTGCAACTGAAAAACATCTTGATAACTTCGACGTATGACTGTCCATCTTCTTAAGCTTGCAAACATCTCCAAAATCTGCGTCGAAGTTTCAGATGAATCGCTTTTTCTCGAAAGTTTGATTCACCTGAGTTCAGTAGGAAAATACCCCCAAACCCTTGAAAACCCATTTGGAGACCCTTTAGAAACAACTTGANTTGATTTACAGCTGATCTAAGATAATGAATCATGGAGATAATTAATCGATCAATCGAAATCGATCTTTAAGAATATATCGCTAAGTAAGAATGGAGTTTTCTCAGTGATGAATTTCATTATATCGACATAAAAAAGTATTCAAGATTTCTCTGAATTGAAGATTTTTCCTGGATCGAGATTCCTGCTTCGCATCGCATTTTGTATTCGAGTAAAACTTGAATACCATCTAGTTTTTTTCCTTTCTTTCTTTTTATTGCGATGCGAAGCAGAAGCATTTATGTAGTCCGTCGCGAGTTTTTTAATGCGATGCGAAGCAGAAGCATTTATGTAGTTCGTCACGAGTTTTGTTTTATTTTTTTATTTTTACTTACTTGACGTACGCATCAAAAGTCGCCTTTTTGTGTCGCGATGATCTCGAGAACCGAAAATCGTAGGAAACTCCTTGAAACGTGACATCGAAGAATCAAGATCGAACCTCTTACATCTCTTTTCGAATCTTTAAACTGAAGTTCCGTTCACTCACAAATGTGGTTCCAAAATGACAAAAACGAAAGAAATTTGTTGCAAGATAATTAAAGTGACGTCATCAACATATGTTACCAACTATAGTCTATTCATTTACAGCTGATCTAGGATAATGAATCATTGAGATAATTAATCGATCAATCGAAATCGATCCTTAAGAATGTATCGCTAAGTAAGAATGGAGTTTTCTCAGTGATGAATTTGATCATGTCGACATAAATAATATTCAAGATTTCTCTGAATTGTAGAATTTTTGGGAAGATCCGATTCGAGCTTCGCATCGCATTTCGTATTCGAGTGAAACTTGAATGCCATCTAGTTAAAAATTAGTTTTTGGGCTTTGAAAATCGCGCTTCAAGAGACCTGAGCGGGCAACGATTTAGGTGAAAAACAATCTTTTCAAGATATTTGCTGATTCAGTTTTTCGAACTGAACAACAATATGTCCTTTTTCGAGTATCTAAGTAGATTCTGATGTTCAGAAATTCAATTTTACAAAAACGATGCAAAAAACCAAGTCTTTTCGATTTTTCGAACTGAAGAAAGCATGGCAATAACTTTAAAAACATATATTCGTGATCGCCGTAAAATTGTCTTTCAGATAAGACGTAATAGACGAAATTTTAAAATTTTACTCAATGTTCGCCTTGCGTCAACCTTATGTGAAGGACCAAAGTTTAGGAAAGTTTTATCAAATGAAACAAATTATGATCGTTTTCTATTCAGTGTTAACATTTACCTGAAAAGTTTATTTTAATAACTTTTTAATGGATTTGAATCAAATGGAATTGATAAAAATGTATGCCCCATACATCGCAGTGTCCTGATAAATTCCGAAGGAGACGTCCTTTGGAAATAATTTTGTCGCTGGAATCCTGACAAGCACTGCGATGTATGTCAGTTAATCCAACATTTCTCATATGCAAATGACTTTTATACTATTAAAAAAACGGTTAGCTCAATTCTTATGGGATTACCATGTAAAACAAGACGTAGCTGTTGTTACTAATCACAGAAAGATCGTTGCATACTTTCTATTTCGGGAAACATTCATTCACCCTCGTGATAGCTAATGTTCGAAAAATGAAATTAGGAAGCAAGTTATATCTAATAACGAGACGTTATTGATATATGTATATATATATATATATATATGATCAGAAGTCGTATATCAATAACGTCAGTCATGTTCTCTGAAAATAAGAACAGAGAAACGCCAGGATACTTTCATTGTGTGGACTTCAAGAAGTGTCTTTTGATCTTATTTCATAGAAACAGACTTTTGTAATTACATCAATAATGTTATTCTTATATTTGAATTTAAAATTTCTTTGTAAATTAATTTTCTTCCTTGAGCAAAAATCCGATTATATATGTAGGATTATAATAAATAGCAAAAACTGAATGTAGTTTGTATTATTCTATGAAGCACACTAATTCTTATGACTGCATTCAAAGCTTCAGCTTGCATATATAGATAAATAGGATAAAAACAATTAATATAGAGTCGAGTAATCCTATTTCTTTATTTAGTTCCCGTTTATCGAATAAATTGGGAACTTAAAATTACTTATGTATTTGAATCAATAATTGTCTTTTTTCATTGTCAACCATGTACATGAACACAAAAAAAACAGACACATGATGAATTTGATGCACGGATTTCTTAGATTTCACAAAAAGGATATGGATTTGAATTTCTTTTCTTTTCTTTTCTTTTTCTATTTGTAGATGTCTACTTGCAATATCATGGGTCTATTTGTCTTTCTGTTTTATCGTAGAATATTTCTATACTTTTTTAATACAATGCTTTGAGTGAGTTTTAATATTCATTTCCTCTTATCAGTATAACCAGCCCTACAGTCATATATTTGATTAAAGTCTCACTATTTTGATTAATGTTTTTTCCTTGTCTCTTTTTTCTTATTCTATGCAATCTTTCATATATTTCAATTTTGACATTGCTTTCTTGATATTTCATAATTATTGAAAATGAATATTTATATATACGATTATTCAATTAATTGTAAACGCTAAGAAAAAAAGAAAAAAAGAAAGAAAAGGAAAGGAAAGGAAAGTATTTTCATGATTATTTAAAATCTACCCATCGTCATATTTTTTTATTTATCTCCTATATAGTATTTAAACTGCAGTAGATTTAACAGGATATTGACTAGTTTCATCCGATGGTTGTTCGACTTCCGACATACTTATATATTCTTTGTTGTGAAGTGAAGTAATAATTGAATCTATCGATGGTTCATCTAGTATATCATCTAGTTTACTGTTTCCATTTTGTAATGATGGTAATGATGATACGATATGATGAGGTGGATTTATTCTTGAATGTTTACGAATTCTTTTATGTTGACTTGATAAATTTGCTTGTTGATATTGTTGTTTTCTTGGAAAACAGTTTTTCAAATTAAGAATTTCTATAAGTTCATTACGAAATTGTGCGCCGCATATCATCAAAATTAATATATTAGATGTTGATGTAAATAATTCAAGTATACTACCAAGAAAATTTGGTAAAATATTATTACTTGATTGCCCGTAGCAATTGTCCGATTCCATACGAAATAATAAACGGTGACATGTAAAAAAATTAATTATATACGATTGTAGAGCATTTAATAAACTTAATAATATTTCAACTAATATAAGCGATAATGAACGAAGTTCAGCACGTGAATGACTATGTTTACGTATGGAAGGTCGATTTGCAATATAATAAAGGCAAACAAATGATGATATTACACAGATGCATGATGGAATAAATGTACCAATAATAAAGCCAATTGTATAACGATTCTTTAATGATAAACGACGATCATACAAGAATTTATACCAATTTCTAAAAGTTGCAGGTGATAGACGAAATGAACAATTAGCATATGAACCAATAAAATGATATGCTTGTGTACAAAATTGATGTTCATGAAAATAATCTTTGCCAGGACGTGATTTCAATAGTGGCCATGTTAAATTATGTATCGATGTAAGAAGATAGGGAGGTAAAATACTTTCAAGATGACATGTTGAACGTTGGGCATGTTCATCGGTCCAATCAATTGACATATATGATTGAAGATAAACATAAGCTATCGTACGATGACGAATACGATACCAATCGGTTTCTGAGTAGCACATTGAATTACTATTAACATCAATTGAATTGTTGTTATTATTAATAGTTGATGATAAAGATGTTTGCTGATAATTATATGTAGATATTGTTGATGTTGAAATAGAAAATATGGTTGAAGTAATTGCTACAGATCGAGGAAAATGTGTCGTTGTATTAGTGACTAAAATAAAAAATTTAGTCTATGAAACTTGTAAGTTTATCTATTTTTCATCATACCGAAATTATTTATAAAGTCTGTTACAACAATAGCTGTGTTTGTTGTTGTTGTTGTTGTTGTTGTACATTTTGTATTCGTCAAACTTTTCGTATTATTTATTAATAAATCAATTTTTAATGACTGATTTTCTGTTAAATTTAATTCTTCTATACAAAATGCATCATATAATTGCAAATATGAAACAATAGTTCCATAAACAAATGCAATCAATGTTAACATAAGTGCGCACATCCGACTTTCACGATATGATATAGATGAAAATGTTCGTACGCGCTGTATAGACATAAACATGAAAATAAGCATAGAAATTTGTGTATAAGTTGTATTGTACGTTAGCACCGCTAAACCTTGTCGATAGATCATTTCGCGATAATAAATAATATCGATAAATTTTGATAAAAAAATGTTAAACCAACATGATGATGATGCATCAAATATTAACATTTTAGCAATGTGAGATATAAATAAAAGTAAGCAATCATTAAAGAATAAGGCAACGAAATAAACACTTATTGAACGTGTACGAAAACGGCGACGAAGGAAAACTATTATACAAATAATATTACCCAAAAAGCCACATATAAATATTGGTGCCAGAACGTTGCACAATATACGTGGATTAACACTTTCTTTACTTAAAAACATTGTCTTATTTTCTTCGATCTATCTAAAAGCATATAAAAAGTATGTTTTGGTGTGCGTGTGTGTGTTTTAAAGATGTTTAATATCTCTTTGTTTACTTGAAGCCTCTTCAGTTACTATTGAGAATAAAGAAATCGCATTCATTTATGATGTCTTTCTATCTCTATAGGCTAGTTATGTTCTTTTATGTGTAATAAAATTTTACGGATTGTTGTATTGTTCTATCAGAAAAGAAAAAGCTTATTATAATAATTCTCTTGCATTAAATATGTTAATATTGTTTATGAAGAAAGAAAAAAACATAAGAATTGTAAACGGAAAAGACTTACAATATGAATTAATCAATAAATCTCTCATCATGCATTTGAGAAATATATTTAATGAATTTCGATTTGATCCAACAAATGTTAACATAAAAATCACACTTCTATTGAAGATTTAAATAAAGCATTTTAGAACCACATACATATATGCATACAACTATGTATGCATGATATATAAATCCTATTGTAATAATTTATCGATAGACTTTAGAAAAAAAGAACGCAAGTGCTTTTAGATATCGCTACTTCATTATAAGCTACAAGCTATCTATTTCTTTTCTCTGAATTTGTCACGCGCAAAACGGGGAACTAAGATATAAAGGAGTAGAAGAACTAGGAGGAGAAGAATAACAACGATGAAAACAGGATGAGATGATGCTCCAAAAAGTGAGAAAAATACTCTCAAAGGAAACACAGAAGATACAGCGAAAAAATTTCTTAAGTAAAAAGCAAAAATCCTAACAATTTCTTAGATTAATCATGAAATCTTGAATAATACGGCCTAAAAATAGAATAAACAAATTATTACTTTTGACGGAAAGTTTTGATTTACACCAACTCATAGAAAGACAACATAAGACTTACTTATGCATGAGTAGATGACAACTTACTTGTTTCTCATTAGATTTAGTAATTCTAATGAATGACTTTCGAAAAGTTACTATAATCATGAAGTATAGGCGTAGGAAGTACCAAATGAGAAATGTATCCTTCTGTTTTGCTCACTATCGGCTATACAAACGCATACCGTGTTAGAACAGCGCGTCAGCATATCAATGTATTTGTCAATCTCAACGATATAGATTGTTAATGTCTGATGCATAAACAGTATAATCGTTAAATGTAAGTACCAATAATATATCAGAATTTTGGTAGAAAATATTTATTCATTATCTTTGCTGTTTCTCTAGATTTCTTGATTTTGATTTGCTAACGTAGGGCAATAAAACTTCAGGCAGTATTTGTTTTTCTATGTTTCGCTCTCATTGATTACTAAACAAAAATAAAATGAACGTTTTTTTTTTTACAGGAAATTGTATCTAACTTTTATAAAACTTACTTAATACAGATTGCTATTGTTCAAAATATAAATTGATAATTTATTGGTACTGCATGGTTCGGTAGCATGATACAATTACTGATTTCCTACTAGTATGCACGGCATTCTCTCAATTAGGTTTTGGTTTTCCTTTTTCTTTTTCTTTTATTGTTACAAATATCTAATAAAAGCAATGACGATAATAAACTACATTGGTTATATCTATTATTAAATAAATCGTTCGGTCTCTGGTAATCATTTCTGACAATATAAAAACGACGATTGAAGAGCATTCTTTATAGCTAAATTAGTATTTATTATTTTCATATATTGTTAAATATGTTAACTCAACTTAATTTGAAACTGGAAATCATCGTACAAGATATGAAACAAAAGTTCTTTTTTCTTTCTACGATCGAAATTTAACAACAGGAATAGACTCTCTATAGAAATGAAAATTAGCATCCTTAAAAGCATCGAAATAATGAGACTTATTAAGAATTCAAAACGTTTTTTATTTATAGAATTAATATACTATACTAGTTGAAACGTAATCTTTCTATAAACTTATAGGTGGAAAAAAAACATGCAGACCTGTTTTTACATACAATAATGTTTTTCGTTTAGCGAAGTAAATCAATATTATTTTACGTCTTACATTATATATGTCATTCTTCTAGTTCTGCTACATCTATCGAATGAGAGAATTCTTTTCTTTTATTGTGCTAGCTCGCCCGGTTCTCGTATCTACTTATTCATAAGGTATGAGAATTAGTTTATTATGACCAATGCTATTCTTTTTTATTTACTCAATTTAATAGCTCATGCAAAATTCATGAACAATGACTACACTACCTAATAGTTTCTTTTTTGTTTTCTTCTATTTCTACGGAAAATTTTATGAATTCAACATCAATTGGAATGAAGACTGTTAGTACCCGTTGAATAAATGGAGTACTGATCGAATCATTCTCTTTTCATCTTGGTTATTCTTCTCAATTTGTTTCTCTTTTCGAACCGAGTGATGATGAAAATAAGAAGAAAATATCTATTATTCTTGATTATCATATTTCTGTTTTATTCTCATTTTTTCTCGTTTACAATGGCATAAATGGTTTCGAGATGATTTGATTATAAAGAGAGAAAAGAAAGAAAACAGACCGAGATAATATAGATTTCAATGACATTCAAAAGCAAGAACGCTTCTATTCATCTTATGTTATAATTGATGGAAAAATCACATAATGGTTCATGTAATTTAAATGATTGATAAGAAGTACTTTACAAACGATAAAGACTATTTAATGCTAAATTATCTTGAAGTTATTTTCTTTACTTTTTTTTTTATCAAACAATGATATATATATATATATATAGGCAATTATTCTGTTTGGCCATACCACCAACAAATACATCAAAACCATAAATCTTAGCATAATAAGATTTCTTCCTATTGGTCACTATTTTTTCTTCCATAATTTTCTGTCTGTTTTTTCACACTTGCCAATCTAAAAAACGAATAGTCTCACCAGATTTTCAACAATATAATATGATTTATGCCTGCTTTATTGTGAAGAAAAATCATCAATGCGAGTGATGATTGCATATGTTGTCCGTAATCAAATTGTAGCTGTGTTATATCTACACAGTTAATTGATGTTTATAACTTTTCATAATTAAATTAAGTATTCGAATAAGTACGGTGTTTAGATCAATTTGTTTTATTATATCTGGACATTTTTCATGCGCAAATAAATTTAGTGCTTCTTTGCAATAAACATATTTTTATTACGTAGCATGACAGATACCACTTGCCTGTTGCACTTCAATCATGTATCAAAGCTACGAGAGAAAACGTCTAGTGGCTCTAGTATCAGAAAATGAAAACAAATAGAGTAGAGTAACATGATGAAACAAAAAGCAGAGAAAATTGATTAGATATTTCTATGTAGAACTTCACTCATTTTTTTGGTGGTCATGATTCTTATTTGAAGTCTAAAACCTGTAGTTTTTTTTCTTACTGATAGATCAATCATTCGTTTTCTGGTCTCTTGATAGTAATCTATTGCTGATATTATTAGTACTTTATTTCTTGTCAGATTTCATTGACATGTCGTTCTTTTCTTTCTTCTACTTTTATCTTAATAACGGTCATGCATAGAAAATAACCTGACATGCGAAAGAATATGAAAATATATTGCAATTTTGGAGAAAAATATGATCGAGCTTTTCTTTACAAAAATGCAAGTGGAGTAAAAGAAAATACAATGGTAATGTTGCTTATATTATGACAACCTATTTAATAAAAAAAATACGTTATTAATATAGTTAAGTTTTTCGACAGAAAGAAATACTTTTGAAATCTTCTCGACTTAATCAATAATATGAACTGAAATGATAGTAACTGCATCAACAAATCACGCATACAGATTTATATTTAATTGTATTAGTATGTTTTCCTCAGTAACACTTTTCGCTTGCATTGTTCATGGTAGAAAATATTCGATTCATTAAACATAGATCTGAATAGTATGAACTCAGCGATTGTCTAATTGTATTACATGCTTTCTGAAAAACCATGGAGAAAAAGATTCTTCCTAATAAATCTCAAGAAGAGGAAGTCTATGCTACGGATCGATTCATTTTCTGGATCGTTAGTTGGTTCGATGAAGAATAAAGAATAACAGTGCGATAGTGAATTTGCAGACACGACAATATTTGTTTCCAGTGATTTTATATATATATATATATATATATACACATCAAACAACAAAAGACGCAAAAATAGTAAAGGTCTTTTGGAATAATAAACAAAAACATGTAACGAATCCTGTACATTATATATAATGATAAACAAACTAAAATAATCATACTGAAGTATTATTTCTATGGCAACTTCATTATACTCTTCCTACTTGGAAATAATCTACTGTATGTCATCATAGGCTAGGCGGTTTTCTCTATACTCTATTTCGAAAACATAATTAGGAATAAAACTGTCATTTATGTATAAAACAAAAGAAGCTTTTATCTTTGTGAATAATCCATCTTATTATGTTTTTAGTTTAAATAGCCATCCAAATAAGCTGTCGATAACGACGAGCTTTTACACATATGCAATTTTAATTTCTATAAATAAAAATAAAAATAAAAATCTTGTGCATTTATAATCTACTTACTTATTAGCCACATTACTGTACGAATTACAGCGATTTAAATTCGATGGATGTTGTGTAGATTTTGAATAAATATGTCAATTATAAAATTATTTAATACGTGGAGCGTCAAAATCACTCTGATTGCTCGTAATCTCAACTGAACTATTGAGTTTTTTCAATACAAATCGATATTTTCCGTTGAAAAATCTAATTAATAATTATTTAAAACAGATGTAAATTCTTTCTGTAATTCTGTCATGCGTATGTAAAACAATGCTAATACAGCATTAATCTATAGATATGATGATTATTGACACATATCAATGGGGCATGCACTATTGAAAATTTCCATTGCCTTAGTTGAAGAAAGATTCTATGAGAATTAGCCGGGATCTAACTTTTCCCCTTCGTTTTATATCAACGTTTACGGTCATATCAGTCCAACAGGACTTTCTTGATATATGTTTATCCGATTCATGAGAAATATCTCTTTCTCTTTACATGTTAGATAGATAAGAGGAAAAGTTGTAGTAATTGCATTGTCACGTATCAGCATGATTTTATTAACAACGCAAAGAAGAAGAAACTACACATGTTCTTGTATCTTTTGAAATGTTTCTCTATAATTCAGTAGATGAGGATGATTCTCAAACAATTTTTCTTGTGCAATATCTAATGCCTGTTGAATATTTTTCATAGCCAGACTATATTGCTGAGTAGCCAAATATAATTTTGCGAAATTATGATACATAACAGCTAGATCAGGATGATTCTTTGACAGTTTATTTTCACGAATATGTAATCCTTTTTGAAAATATGTTAATGCTGTTGAATAATCTTTCATTTCACGATAAGTTTTACCTATATTCGTGTATGTCGTTGCTAATTCTAGAGGATTACATTGAATATGTTCTTGAATGTTCAATGCTTTTGTATGAAATGTGATTGCCCTTTCGTAATATCCCATTAGTCGATGAACGTCACCAACATTACTGTAGGATATAGCTAAATGAGGATGTCTTTCATGTAATGTTTTTTTCTCTATTTCGAGACAGTTCTCATAATACTCTAGCGCCTTTGAGTAATTTTTCATGCTGCGATAAACTCTTCCGAACCAACTGTATGTAGAAGCAAAAGCTGTATTACCGCCTTGAAATGTCTTTTGTTGAATTTGTGACGCTTTTTGAAGAGCTTTTAGAGCTGTTGAGTAGTCACCCATTCTTTCGTAACATGCTGCAAAATCCAATTGACTATCAGCCAAATAGGGATGATCCGGAGGCAAAGCTATTTCTCTTATGTCTTGAGCTTTTTCATAAAATTCAAGTGCCAGCAAATAATCACCCATATTATTGTATACTTGGCCAATATTACTATACGAAATAGCCAGATCAGAATGATTCGGTGGTAGAGATTTTTCATAGATTTCATGTGCTTTCTTGTAAAATTCAAGTGTTTTCAAATAGTCACCCATGTTGTTATACACTGCACCAATGTTGTTGTAGGAAATTGCCAAATCGAGATGATTACTAGGCAAAGATTTTTCTTTTATCTGATGTGCCTTGTCGTAATATTCAAGTGCTTTCGAGTAATCGCCCTTATTGTTATATACTTGGCCAATATTATTGTAGGAAATAGCTAAATCTGGATGATTGGGTGGCAGTGAGTTTTCTTTTATTTTATGCGCTTTTTCGTAAAATTCAATGACTTTAGTATAATCACCTATATTATTGTAGACGGCACCGATATTGTTGTACGAAATAGCTAAATCAGGATGATTGGGTGGTAGAGATTTTCCTTTTATTTTATGTGATTTTCTGTAAAATTCCAGTGCCTTGGGATAATCACCCATGTTATTGTAAACTTGACCAATATTATTGTAGGAAATAGCTAAATCGGGATGATTTACAGGTAAGTGCTTTTCTTTTATAGTATGTGCCTTTTCATAAAATTCAAGTGCTTTAGAATATTCACCCATGTTATTATAAACTTGACCAATATTATTGTAAGAGATAGCTAAATCAGAATGTTGTGGAGGCAGAGAATTTTCTTTTATTCTAAGAGCTTGACTGTGATATTCGAGAGCTCTAGAATAGTTATCCATATCGCAATAGACGACTGCCATGTTATTGTAGGATATTGCCAGTTCTGGATCATTTGGAGACAAGACTTTTTCTCTCATTTTGAATGCTTTTTGGTAAAACTCGAGTGCCTGCACGTAATCGCCCATGTTGTGATACACTTGGCCGATGTTATTATAGGAAATAGCCAAAGATGGATGATCTGAAGGGAGAATTGTTTTCTTCATTTCGAGGGATTTTTCATAAAATGTAACTGCTTCTTTGTATTTTCCTTGACTCCATTTGGCCCATCCAAGTTGATGATAGATATGTGCTGTATCACTATCGTTCGATGATGTCTTGAGGTACTCATGGTAGAGTTCTTCAGCTCGATTGAACTGACCAACTTGGAGCATTAGTTTACCTATGCGATCCCATCCTTCACCATCAACAGTTTCGTGTACATGATGGACTAGAACTGATAATTGAGGATCATTATCGTCTGTAATAGTCAATTGTACTTCCCATAGACGACTATTGTTAACCGTTTGTTTACTTTCATTGACACGAAAAACTGTGTGTATTGAGAAAAGAATTTCTTTTTCTTGTGGAACAGCACTATAGTTGTCGATAAGAGCAAACGGAGTAGTCGAAGACGAAACTTTACTCGGATCGATTGTCATAATAAACAGTACGCCAATAATGTCTTCAAATTTGTTCAATTCATGTTGAACGAAATCCATTGCTACACTTTTTTCTTTACTAGTAGATAAGAAGTTATTGAATGAGATAAATCCACCTTCTGTATTGAGTAGATGTTCAAAATCTCGCTGGAAAAATCCCTGACCACGATAAACAGTAAAAGGTGTCATATTATCATTCCATTGCTCATTATGTAATTGTTCTAATTGTCGATGTACATTTCGAATGAGAAATCCCATTTTAGTTAGACTCTCCATGTCAAATGAACGTATAGCCTTGTTAAGCATGCCGTACAGAAAACTTGTATCAGTATACCACCAAATTGGCGACTTAAAACGATATTCACGTTGTAAACGCTTCACTTGCACGTCGAAGATCTGATGTTGATGACAGTAAGTTGCTAGTTTATGTATCGCTTTCATATCATCTTCGTCGGTTTCCAATATGGTTTGTTTGAACAGAACTGAATACATGTAAGATGGATCTAATTTGTCAAGATTTTGTTTATCTAACACTGATGTTACTGCTGTCATCTCCTTCGGAATAAAGCTGATTGGCATAGCTTCATGGTCACATTCGCGAATAATATTTTTTAATGACTTGCAGATTTGCTCGACGGAAGTGAAGACACCTTGAATCTTCGACCAAGCTGTGGCCCAAGCTTTGTGTCGTGTCGCATTACCACACAAGATGTAAATTGCATGTAACTGTGACATACTATGAATTTTTGGCACGAGATCTTGACCTGAGTATCCTGAAGCAATGAGAAAAACTTTTTCCACAATAGTATTTTTAAGAAACTCGAGACATTCATCGGACTGTGTAAACATGTGCACATCATTGACCATACTTTGTATTTGAGTAAGTTTCGTTTGCCAATCTTCTTCTGATAAATCGACAGAGCCATCAAGCCAGATAAGTGAATAATTTTGAGTCATATGTCGTTTTGATCCAACAGTATTTGATGATAAAGTTGCAGTTGCACTGCTTTTTAAACTTGATGTGGAAATATTTTGTTTGGCTACTTGTTCACTCATCTTGATTACGATCTGTCACTTTGTCGTTAACGTCGAATGATGAATATTCTTTTTGTGTTTTGGATGTGTATAACCTTTTCTATTTATAGGATCGTTTGTTTGTATTTTTTCTCACTTTTTATAACGTTAAATTTAGATATTTTTTTATGTTGATACTCGAGGACGAACTCAACTTAGTTTCAATTGAAACATATGATTGTGAACGACAAAGAAAAAGAAAAAAAGACATTAGTTTCATTTATCGTGCTTTTATTCTTTGCAAATTTTATCACTTTATTTTTACAATAACTTGAACAAAATGGCATTACATACCTTGCTCTATCGTTTTGTTTATTTTTTCTTTTTCTTTTTCTTGTAGACGAGAAAGGAACATCAAGACAGTGCCACTTCGATTTTGTTTTATTTTAACTATGATTTTTCATTGAGGAACAATCGAGCAATTGTTTCTAATTTGTTGACTATGTTACTTATCGTAAACCAATGATTCAAATAATTATTATCATCGTGTCAAACTCTCAGCGAAACGTATTTTGTTTCGTGATTACTGATAGAATGTTGAATTGTCTAAGTGGAGGTCGAATTTCATTGTAGATGGAATTAAAGTATCGATTATGAATTTCGTAAATAATTGAAATAATTAAATAAGAATTTCATGTACAGATGTCACAAACCAGAAATCATCGTATTACATATCGCAAATTTTACTGATCAGGATTCAAAATCATTAGTAAAATGAATATTTTTTTATCGGTTCAAACTTATTTTCGGAAGAACATATACCATATATATTTCAAATGTATATTGTGATGGAAACGATGTTGCACATAAACAGGAATGCGAATCTTCGTTCAACTTAATATTATAAAGGGAGGCATTTCTAATGATAAATGGAAATAGTAGTAAGGATTACAATTCAGGCAATGCACAAGCTAAATAATGACGATAATAGAGATAAAAGTCGATTGTATTTAACCGTTTTTGACTTCATTATGACAGGGATGATTGAAATGATCAGTTACATTGTAGTAATGATTTTTGTTCATATCATATGTGAAGCAGTTTTTATTCAAATCAACACTATTCAGCTATGTGCGTTTATTTTGGCAGATCGATTACGACAACAGAACGATGGTTATTAGCCAGTTTAATAAGTAATTCATACGAATGCGAGCTACCTGCTATAATTGAACATCAACAATATGAGCTAAGGGTAAATGAGGGACACCGCTAACTACTCTCTGTTTGAACTATTTTTCTCAATCACGTATACCCTTGAAAAAAGGACAGCCTCTAGGGTTACATTTATCAATAATATTTGCCTTGAAAGATCTTTTTTTCCACGATACTTTATATTAGATTCAAATCGAAAGGAAAAAATATATATGAGGCAATACTATATTTTCATCATAGCAATAATAAAAGTTACACTTCTTTTTAGCATGATTTCCTAGAATGGTTAAATTCTTGTTGCCAACGTTGCACAGAAACTATTTCTCTGAGTAATGAAACTGCTCTTATATCCCTCTACTATTATGAAGAGAGACAGACTCGAGAGAGCCGTCAAGCTTTGATTCCTATTACTTTCTATATTTTCTTTCGAAAACTATGATGTAAATTTCACAAAAGCAATGCTATCACACACAGTTGAATCATCATCATCTAGCGATTCTTAAGAACAAGAAAAACACATGCTTTCAATAATTACTTGAAATAATTGGTGAAGTACAGAAATATACTTCATAATAAAATTCAAACAGGATTTTTTCTTGGCTTTTTCTTATAGAGTATTTAAAAAAACAAAAGTGTTGAATAGGCGACAAAGAGAAAAGACATAACAGATTTGTTTTAAATAGTTGATTCATTTCCAATAAATCTATCATTTTGTGTTCCATTGAATTTTTAAGAAAGTATATCACCGGCTTGTTGTTCAACCAATGTTGACATTTGTTTAACATCATTTGTCCATTGATCTAATCGTTTTTTCAATGTTCCTACTTGTCGTAAATCTAGAACGCGCGGTTTAACCCAATGCATATTTAATTTTTCATCAACTTGATCAATGCTACCGCGAATTAAACCTAATGATAGAGCATGCATTGCTAATAATTCTATTTGGTCAGCAGGTAGCTTCGTTCTTAAAGCAACATCGTTAAACGTCAATGCGCGTGTACCACCTGCAGCAAATATCATATCCATAAGACAAAGTAATGTGATCTTTTTCTTTAGTATGGCTTCAGCCATACGTAAATCTGGCTGAACTTGCCAAACTAATTTTAGTGCTTCGTATCTTTCAACATCGCCTATATTGAATGCTTGTAATAGATCAATTAACCATTGTTCACGTGTATCTTTGAGTGCATCAAGTACAGGATGTTGTAGAATTTCACCAAAATTATAAACATTTTCAGCTAATAACGCAGCTAATCCAAGATTAAATGCACGTTCAGCTTTTTCTTTCAGCGGAATTGATGCATTGTCAATACAGCCTGAAAAAATAAGATTTAAAACCTAATAAGAAATTTTCCTATTGAAATTTATTTACCAAGATATTTAAGTGCATTTTGATAATATTCACTATGATTTCCCATAACACGATAATAATTTGATGCTAAATCGTAGAACCGTGAATGAACTGTTGTTAAATGATCAAGTTCATCAAATTTTGGTGCTAAATCTTCGATGATTTTTTTTGCTTCAGGTAAAGTTTTCGTTACTAAATATGCTTTACCAATTGTTATGTCACATAATAAAACTGCTAATGAATTTGCTTTAACTTTTTCACGTATTTGTTGAATAAATTGTATAGCTTGATCCATTTGCTTATATGCACGTGTTATAGGAATGATTATTTCCACTAAAGCTAACTGATTAATACGATGTTCGAAATCAGAAAGAAAATTTTCATAAAATTTTATTAATTGATCACCTTGTTGAAGTTCATCACGATGAACGAACGATGTTATACGTATTGTTAATTCATGCCATAGACGACTTTGATAGAGAGATTCTAGTTCAAGCCATTCATTAGCTAACGAACCGCCAGCTGATTTACGTTCATTAAGATAGGTTTCAACACGAGCCGACATTGACTGATGATTTTAAGGACGCTTTTGCTTTTGTTTCCTAGTAAATTCGTTGATCAATGAATGAATGAATGTGTATGCATGTTGATGATAAAGATGAATCATTTTTATTTTATGAAAATTAACAAAACAATAATAAAGAATCAAATTTTAAAAATCAAATTTGATTTTGGTCTGTTTTGTATCGAAATTTTCCATTTTATAAGATATCAAAAGTGACATCTATATCTATGCATATGATTGGATTGGCTTTCCAAAGAAAGATTCTCCCTTATCTAGTTTCATCATAGTTTTAGTGGTAGATATGAGGTTAACATGAAAAGAATAAAACTTTTTTTTCAAATTTTAATACTAAACTAGTGCGAAGATACGTTCAATTATACTTGAATCATATTTTTATAGAACTTAATAATGTTGTATATAATTTATTTTCTTTGTTTATTTTATATAGATTTCTATTTTAAGAATGAGTTCCGATCGTTCATCAACACAAGGAGTATATTATTTTTTTGTTTGTTAAACATTCATCATGTAAGTTTCTATACTATTAGAAAATAATCAAATGTAAAGCAGCAATCGCTTGGAGTGCTAAAAGTCCACTGAAGTTTGAAGAAATTGAAGTTTCACCACCTGAAAAAGGTGAAGTTCGAATTAAGGTATAAATAGTCTATATTATTTTTTATACAACGAAAAAAAACATTTCTCTTTTCATTTTAGAATTTATTTGCAGCATTATGTCATACAGATGCTTATACACTTGATGGTCTTGATCCCGAAGGTGTTTTTCCTGTTATTCTTGTACGTAGCCTGATGAAAGATTAAAAAAAGGTTATGGTTTCCTTGACGTTGGCTTTTTTTCTAGGGACATGAAGCATCGGGTATTGTTGAATCAGTTGGTGAAGGTGTTACATCGATACAACCTGGTAAAGATTATTATTAATAGCTGTTCTATTTTCAAGTTAAGTTTACCGTTGTTTAGGTGATTATGTTATACCACTCTATATTCCGCAATGTTATAAATGTGAATATTGTTTAAATCCAAAAACAAATCTATGTCAAGCCGTAAGGTATGCTTGTTTTTACTCTAGTCAAACTAGTGAAACGTTGAAACATTTTCAGAGCAACACAAGGCCAAGGTTTAATGCCGGATAAAACTGTACGATATAAATGTCAAGGAAAAGATGTTTATCATTTCATGGGATGTTCATCATTTAGTGAATATTCAGTTGTATGTAGAGCAAATATTTTCTCTTAGGCTTTTAATGTTAGATAAAAATTTCTTTTTTAGGTCTTAGAAATTTCATTGTGTAAAGTCGATAAGGATGCACCGTTAGAAAAAGTATGCTTACTTGGCTGTGGTGTTTCAACCGGTTATGGTAAATATAACGAAAAGTCTTCTAGAAATCTTTGATTGCGCATTACTTTTGAGAGGAACACAGTAAGCAATCCGTTAGTTTTCAAAGAATACTAATAATTGTTTGAAGTTGACACAGAAGTGTAGGTTTGAGAAGTATTCTAGATTCGCGCGTTCATGATCTAACTTTACTGCCCTATTTCATACTGTAGTTTCTATAGGAGTTATAAGATCATCGTTACAAGTTGAAGATTTGATTGTATATTGTGAACACTCATGTAAATTAAACTTCTGTGTCGCCTTGCAATAGCCATTGGTATCTTTTTTTTTGAATGCATTCATTAATACTTTCATCATCAACAAATTTTTTCAAACAAACTTTTGTTCCTATCAAAAGTTATTCGCAACTAATGATTCGGAGTTGATTGCTAGATCAACTTGTCTATAAAAGTATCACATCAATTCTATTCTATTCTAACATTAGGTGCCGTTATCAATACAGCAAAAGTTGAGAAAGGAGCGCGTGTTGCTGTCTTTGGTTTAGGTGCTGTTGGTTTAGCTGTAATTATGGTAGGAATTCAAGAAAAAGAAGCTGTCAATGAGGGATTGAAACGCGAATTGGCAAAATTTTCATTCTTTTTTCTTTAAGGAGTGTGCTGAAATTTCATAAAATCGAGTTACAATAATAATTTTATATTGTTTTCGATGCATTCAATAGTTCTCTATAGGCATGAATTCGATGATTGCATGAAGAAGATTGACGTTTTCTGAAGCAATCATTTTCTTGGAAAGCTGTTTCACACCAAAACTGTCTGTTTATATTTGATTTGAAGTAAAACACTCAACGATATAGTCTATTATAGAAAAATACTAGTTTTGTACAGCATTCAGACGAACTCTAGAAAATCTAGTAACTTATAAATGCTATTGAATCATGGTAGACTCCTTTGAAAATGAGAGAAAATTTTGTTGAATTTGTGTTTCAATCACCAGTGACATATCTATTTATTACATAATGTTAAATTCAGGGTGCTAAACAAGTTGGTGCTTCACAAATTGTTGCTATTGATACAAATCCAGAGAAATTTGAATTAGGTTAATAAATTTTTAGTCGAGATATTAAATATTAAAATTTACATTATAGCTCGTCAGTTTGGTGCTACGGATGTTGTTAATCCAAAAGAACTAAAAGATCCAGTATGATATGAAAAAGAAAATATTTTGTTTTTAATGCTGATTTATATTGTAGTTACAACAATATCTTGTTGAGAAATTTGATGCTGGATTTGATTATACATTTGAGTGTGTTGGTAATGTTGAAGTTATGGTAATTATTTAAATTAAATTTTTACTTTAATTATATATTTCTCTGAAATAATCAATTGTTGTTTTTCTTCTTGTAGAGAGCTGCTCTGGAATGTGCTCATAAAGGTAAATCTCATATGAATAAAATAAATCTTTTCTTATTAAGAACAGAATCTTTCATCAAATAGGTTGGGGTGTCAGTATTATTGTTGGTGTAGCTGCTAGTGGTCAAGAAATAAAAACGCGCCCATTTCAACTGGTAACTGGTCGAACATGGAAAGGAACTGCTTTTGGGGGTAAGCAATTGGCTGTTTTGTTTTTGATACATGGTATAACTTGATTATTGAAGTATGGGTAACTAAAATTCGAATTCCATATTGATCTTCTCGATAGAGAATCTGCTATTGATAAAGTTTGATTATTATTATTATTATTATATATATGAACTATTTCTGAAGGCTTGTCAGTAAAATAATATTGAAGAAAACATTCCCTAAATTAGTTAATTTGAGATTATCTCTTTTTCACTATTAATAGCACTTACATTATGTTTCTGATTTACATGCTTTGTAAAACATTTTGTTTTTGAATTGAATTTAAGGTTGGAAAAGTCGTGATAGTGTACCGAAATTGGTTCAAGAAACAAAAGATGGAATAATGAATCTTGATTTATTTATTTCACATAAAATGCAATTTGCACAGATCAACGAAGCATTTGATTTATTACATGCTGGCAAATGGTAATTTAAAAATCATAACTAATAAATGCATATTAATTCATTTCTTTTATTTTAGTGTTCGTATTGTTCTAGACATGACATCTTCTGAAAAATGAAACCTAATTTTTGATGAAATTTTGCTCATGATTTCTAAGAACTTATTATCTTTCTTGAGATTTTCATTTAGTGTTTTATGATTTGATTAGTTTAATTTAGTTTTTTCATTTTCAGATAAATATTTTCGTGATTAATCGAAAAAGTATTCAACATGAGCGGTAAGTTTCATGGAAATATTTTATGTAAATAATTTAAAAGAAATTTTTTGTTTAGGAAAAGCAAATCCACCTGAATTAAAAAAATTTATGGACAAAAAATGTCAATTAAAATTAAATGGCAATCGTACGGTCGTCGGTGTTTTACGTGGCTTTGATCCATTTATGAATTTGGTCATTGACGAGGCTTATGAAGCTGTTAAGACTGGTGAAAAACGTCCTATCGGAATGGTTGTTGCACGTGGAAATAGTGTTTCAATGATTGAAGCACTTGAACGACTTGGTTAAAACAAAATATATTATATCTTGCTTAGCATTATTATTGTTGTTGTTGTTGTTGTTGTTCATTAAAAAAGAAATAGATAAGATCGTTGTTTTTTTTGTACTTTGTAACTTACATATGCATAAAAAATCGAAAAGTATTTCCAAAGATCTTTTTGATACTAACTTGTATAATACGATGATTATTTAAAGTCATACCTTTCTTTATCATCGAGTCTTAACCATTGACATATCGGGGTCTAATACTAGACACAAGATATCTGCCTGTTAGTTGCTATTTATTTTTATTTCGGAATCGATGCAGTAGAAATTCAATGATTGAAACCGAATTGTCATGAGAAATAAATATCAAAGAATATGTCATTCGAATAAAGTTGTTGAAAAAACGAGAATTTATCTATAGCAATAATTAAGTTTTGTGAAAAATTTCTTATTGTTTATGACTATATTTAGAAGATCGAAAATTGATTTGCTTCAAGACTTCATGATATGTGATTAGTTTATTCATCATTTTTGATTCAGTATAGATACTAATCTTGAAAATATATACATAAAACATTGATTATGATTGATTTACAAAGAATAACGATATGTTATATATTTAATAATATATATTGTTCTATCTAATCGTAGAACTGTTTCTACATGAATTGCTTTTAAATATCCATCATTACTGATCGAGATGATTCATTTTCAATCTAAAAGATTTTTGTATTATTATAATTCTATTTAATTATATAAACGAAAGATACGCATACACAAGGAACTGGCATATTTAGAGCGCATATAATTTATGATGTAGCATATCTGAAAGATTGTATCGATTCAACAAAATTAGATTGTGACCAAAAACATTTTCGTATCATTCTGATAGAGAATTCAATATTTAAGCTAACTGGAAATGTCAAGAACACTGATATGGTTTCATATTATCACCATACATAATGAGTGATTAACGCATATAATTCTACTATTTAAAATGAACTTAAATAGAATTCATTTTGTTGCTGGCGACATACGCTATATATAAACTAATTTCCAATACATTGAAAGATATCTTTTATCCTCGTGCATAAGCTTGATGAAGCAGAGTATTTGATATTTATTGATAGATAGCAATATTAGGGCTGATGTAATTTCTCATTGCTTCAAAATATAAATATATCGAGTGTTTTATTGTGTATGACGTAAATTATATATTTAATGTGGGTATTTAAAGGGATGCCACCGATATTTTCTACTTCCTATAAATGTTTCATACTCCCTAAAGTTACCTATGAAGTAGACTTTTATTTTACATAAAAAGAAAAGAATGAGATCAAATGGATGGTTATGCAATATTCTTACGACATCTGTCAATATTATCAGAAGTATTGAAAAAAAATTTTACTGGCTAACTTCCGTTTATTGCTAAAACAGAACATATAAGTTAAGTTGTTGGAGAGAAAAATGTTTAGAGAATGAATATACTTAGGATGTCTATGACAAATATGCTTTCTTTTTCTTTCAACATAAATTTTATTTTCTCTTGTTTTTTTGCTATGCTCTTAATATTGAATTTTCTTCTTTTTCTTCTAGAGTTTAAATATTTTTTTTTATTCCTTTTACTTTCTATTATTTTTTTATCAAAAAGTGTCAGCTAATCTGTTTTTGAATATAAATTAAGTAATGTTAGGATGGGGTGTTAATTCTCATGGGCAACTTGGTTTAGGCCCTGCATCATTAGCAAGCTTCATCTCCGTTCCTCGACTTATACCTTTTTTCGATGATCATATATGTATACAAGTTGCATGTTCATTAACGCATTCACTATTTTTACTTTGTGACGGAACTGTTTGTTCTGCAGGAAATAATGAATATTCACAGTTGGGCAGGGAAGGACGAACGACAATACCAGGTAAATAATTACTAGAAAGTAGAAAGGTTTTTCTGAATAATTTCTTTTATATGATTCAGAAAAAGTGATATTACCACAAAGTGAGGATGCTGTGCAAATAGCATGTGGACAATATTTTTCAATGTGTCTTACATCAAATGGAAATATTGTCGTATGGGGTTCTATTAGTGGAAAAATAACAAATGACGATGGTTTCTTTTATTCTAAACCTGAGTATGTTAATGATTTATATTTAGTAAATCTCTCAAAGAAAAATTTACACGTTTAATTAATAGATGCCTGAAGGGATTTGATAATAGACGAGTAATACAAATTGCTGCAGGATATACTCATTGTCTAGGATTAACTGATGTAAGTCAATAGAGTGGTTTAGTTTCTTTTTTTTCATTGACAAATTCTATTTAGGATGGTACTGTCTATGCCATAGGAATTAACGCTCATGGACAACTTGGATTAGGAAATTCTAAAGATTATAAACTTGCTACTCCAATCACATGTTTACGTGGCTGTCCTATTGTATATATCGCGTGTGGTGCTTATCATTCATTGATAATATCTAAGAGCGGGTTTGTAACATATGAAATAAAACATCGCATTGACTTCTATTTAATTGATTCATATTTTATAGAACAGTTTTTACGTGTGGCCTCAATTCGTAAGTGTTAATATTCTGCTAGCATTATAGAAACTAGAATGTAAAATATGTTTTCAGAGCTGGCCAATTAGGTCTAGGCGATACTGATACTCGTGCATGGCCAAGTAATATAAAAGGATTACAACAACAAAAAGTGACATATGCTGCATGTGGAGAAAAACATTCAGTAGTTGTTACGCTTGATGGTGGAGTATTTTCATTTGGATGTGGTATTCACGGACAACTTGGGCATAATTCAACAAATGATGAATTGTTACCAAAAAAAATTTCTGAATTAATGGGTTCACAAGTGACACAAATAGCGTGCGGCAGGTACGATTATCAAACACGAGATTGAAATATATGTGTAATTTAATTTAAACTGTAAAAAAAAGAATTTAAAATTCTTGGAAAGATTTATTATGAAAACTACTTTCATTTCATAAAGCCACCGATTGAATGACCTACACGAGTCGTACTGAACGAAAGGTATTTTTCGAACTTAGACAGACCGTAGTTTCTACTTCATGTTTCTGAATCAGTATGATCGAAAAATTCTGATATGAACTTTTTTTCTATTAATACACATCGAATCCTTTCATAAAAAGATTGTTAGATTATATGTATCATTCTATAATGATTCTCAATTGTGTGCGTTTATCTCGGAAAAAAAGGAATTTTATCTTGACAGAAAACAGTTTTCTAGAAAATCAACAACTTAATGCTAGAACATTCATAGTAGCTCGTATATAATTACATCTAGATTTCATCATTCAATAGATGTTCTCTGAAACTTTCCTACATTTTAATGTTGATCAAATGGTGCAATTTCATTATATTGTACATATTTTTTTTTACAAAAAACGAACAACCTTATAGAATGGTAAATAATTATAAGAGAAAGCGTTTTTTCTTAATAAACAGATCGATTTAGTGGGGGGAAAAGCATCCTTAGACTGTGTATAATATTGTTGACAAGTTTTTGCCTTATATTATTTATCCATAGTAAAGACAAAAGACAATCAATCGTTACTACGGGCATTTTCCTACGAAGTCTCACCCTTGTTTTCCGACAAATCTGAACTCGAACAGAAAAGATTTTGGTGCCGTATAATTCCCTAAAAGTTAGAGTAGATGTACTTCCTTCTTTTTATCATTACATAGTACACTGTCAATTTCTCATTTAACGTCTCCGTTGATTGTTACAGTGTGTACAGAAGATGATACGAAACTTCTTCATGATGTATATTATGATTCGCATGACCCTAACAGCATTAGTTACTTTCAAGATCGAAAATAGTTGAATTCATTTTCATTTGTATATTTTATTTAGATCTCATACCGTTATATTTCTTCCCAATGTTGGTCAAGTATCGGTATTTGGTTTGGCTTGTGTAGGTCGTCACGACACTAAAATAACATCTTATATCACCATACCACAAAAGTTACCGATACAATTTTTACCATATAAAACTATGGAACAGGTTGATTTGAATTTTAAAAAAAGCATAGCTCTCATTTATCTTAAAAAACATATTTTTTTGGAATTTTCAGCTTGAAAAACAAGCGTCACATGATAATGTTCGATCGCTCTCATTGCAGAAATCTAGGCAAGATGACATAGAAGCCATTCATCAAGACATGCAAGTACTAGGAATTTATGCTGGCGGTCATCATACATTTGTTCGAATTTCCTATCACGTTAGTTAAAATATCTAGATAGAATTCTTTTCTCAAACGTTAAAGTATTGATCGTCTAGGCACAACATCCAGATGATTATCGTATTTATTGCATGAAACGTCCAATTCTTGAATTAACACTTGAGTTTGCAAAATGGCTTCATCATGCTCCTGAATCTGTAGGAGCAATGGCAGCTGTTAAACGGTTTACTTGTGCTCAATAAAACTCAAAAACGTTTATTAATAATTTTTTTCCTTTTAGAAAACTATCTCGCATGTTTAATACTGAAGCATGTTTAAATGGTTCATTTTTAGCTCTGCCAGATACACATTTCCGCACATCACCAAACAATCCCGGTATAGATCTAGATCAAGTTATAGCTGTGATGGAAAAACTACGCTCATGTGATTCAACAATTCAAGCATGGGTCTATTTTATTTTCTATCGACGTATTACTAATACAGTTTTCTTGTTCTTTTTGTATTAATTCTAGTTATTTGAACATATTCAATCGATACTTCTTGCACTACCTGAAGCAGCTCCGTGCTTTGAAGCATTGCGCATTTATCTCATTTTGCCATTTTGTCATATATTTGAAAACGAAGAACTACTCGAAACAGTAGCAGCTCCGTTTGCTCAAGCAACTACGAGTTTAAAACAAAAATTTGATGGTCGAGTATTGGATTATTGGATTTTAAGTGTTGGACGACCCTTTATTGAAAGGATTCTCGAAGTAAACAATTCTATACAAACTTTAATCAAAAACAAATTATTTTCACTAATTTTTATCAGATATACAAACCTCTTGTGATCAAAATTATTCGAATTCTTCCATCATTGTCATCATTACGTACGCAGGAATATCAAATACTTTTAAGAGCCATATTAGAATTGCTTAAAAAAGTGCACAATGTAAGATTTGAAAGTGCTTTGATCGTTATAGTTTTTTTCTCTAAACTGTAAATTCTTCGTTTCAAGCAAACTTCATGTTAATATTTGAAAATTCTCACATTCATTAAAGAAACATTCAAACTGGTTTATCATTTAGGAGTCGGCAATATGCCCACGATTTATAGATTGATAAGTTACAGATATCAGGAAAACAATTTTGGATATTTATATTATTGACACAACAATACTACATTATTATGGTAGTATTTTCAAATTGATTTCGTAGCTCTTCTAAAAAAATAACAACTAGAAAAAATGATTTTTATACTTTTGTTTTTTGAAAATTTGTTCGGAGACAGTCAATTTTAATGAGATTTACTTAGTCTAGCGAAAGATTAAATAGAAAAAGGCAAGACATCTTCCACGATAACATTTGCTGTTGCCCTAATGTCTGTGTCAGTGGTAATTCTGGTGTCGTAAATCAAACATTTTTTCCATTGGTATTCCTCAAACGAAACGAAAGAAAACAAAAATTAATAAATATTAGCTATGACTCCGAATTAATTAGCTAGCTGATAGATTTTTCTCGTTAATTAGATTTTAATAAAACGACGTATTATCGTCCTACAAAATAGCTTGTGTAGTAATGAGTATCACACTGCTTTTTAAAACATTAGTATCTTTCAATAGAACAATAATAAAACATTCACATTTAACATTGTGCAGAAGCCAGCTGTTACTCTCTAAACAAGATTCCTTCAAACTCTCCAAATTTATGTGTTTTCTCAAGAGGATAATCACAATGAATGATGCTTGTCTCTATAAGAATTTATATGTTCTCAACGTTTCTATATTATATGAAACAAGTTCTTTAGTGAAATTGAAAACCCATCGTAAGAAAGTGTTACACCAGAGGTAATAAATATTCTCGTTTGGTCAATAAATTTCTTTCTCACATGCAGCATCACCTTACATATAAATACAGATTAAAAAAATATCAGTAGCTTTGAGGATTTTCAAGTAAACAAAAAGTCATTGGTATGATTTTATAACATCTGCAAATCTATTTAGTTATCGAAAAAATTCTTTTATTTAAGAAATTACAAAATAAGAAAAAAGAAATAGAAGTCTCTCTGGTATATTTTTACTGTTGCATATAATAAAATACCTCATCTTTTTTGTTGAAAGAAGACGTCTATTCTATTTAAACTAATAATAATAATAATAATAGTAGATTTAACATATATAATTCTGTTTCCAATAGGTTTCATGCAATATGGCAAAACCGGAATTATTAACGTACGACGCATTTTATATGAAAGAACTTAATGATTCAATTGACCTCAAACATGACTACGATTATTGGCGGCTGCATCAACAAACAGGAGTTAGTAAAATAAATAAACAAATAATATTAATCAATTGAAACATGTTTTATTATTATTTACAATTAGGATCGAAAACTAATTTCTTTCTGTGAATATTCATTTCTATTTGATCTGAAAGCAAAAATTTGTAAGTATTTCAATAGATTTTTAGTTTTAAATAACAATACTTTCCAGTTTTACTTCAATATAATGGACAACTTGAAATGCAAGAAGCAATTAAAAATGCATTTTTATATAATTTTGAAACCATGATGGGTGCACATTTCGATACAGTTAATCCTCTACTTGTATTGCATATTAATCGTAACAATATTGTTCAAGATACAATAAACCAAGTAAAATTTTGCAAAAAAAAAGAACAATTGATATAAAAAACAATGCAATTTTTTATTTTAGTTGGATAAACAAAAAGAAGAAAATTTTAAAAAGCCATTACAAGTCTATTTTCTAAATGAAGAAGGCCTGGATGCTGGAGGGATACGCAAAGAATTTTTTCTTTTATTAACGAAAGAAATATTGGATCCAAAATATGGCATGTTTAGTAAGAAAAATTGTAAAACTAATTATGTTATTCAGTTTTATTATTATTATTTTATTAGCTGTTTATGATGAAACAAATACCATTTGGTTTTCTGAACATACTGCTGAAGATGAAACAATGTTTAAATTAATTGGAGTGAGTATTAGCGTCAAATAAATTCAAATTTATTGTAGATTTGGTTACGAAATGGATATATTTTCGGTTTGAACTGTTTTGTTTTTGATAAGATGAAAGCAATAATGGATACATTAATATCGTCATAGTTCTTTTCTGATATTGACCTTTTATAGTATATCTAGAAATACCGAAATAACTATTATTTTTTTTTGTAAAGATCAGAGAAATGGCAAGTAACCACTGTAGCATTTAACAATCAGAAAAGTCGTTGAGATGTCATTGTGCCCGATTGATATACTTTTGGGTTGTTACTATAAGTCGATTGTTGTAAATAGATTAATCAAAAAATAGCAACAAATAATAAAAGAATTAATCCTATTGTTCGTAGAAACAATTGAGCTAATAAATATCCTTTTGTTTTCTAATAATACTGTTTGGATCTATTGTTTTTTTTTATCGCGAACGGACTTAAAATCAATAATCGATTCTGCCAAAGAGATTCTTACACAGAAAATCGATATGAATCTTGTAAATTAACACTTTCATTAAAAACGGCATTGAACCGGTAAACGTATTCTTAGCATAGTTCTTTATTGAGATAGAATCTAGTAAATACTCGTAACAAATATTGACTTATGTTTATCTTCTTCCTCATGAAAGCGAAATCGATTTAAAAAAATTGTATAGATAATGAATAAAGCTAAAGATATCTACAAAATCACTTTTTTTTTGAAAGAAAACGAAAACCTTATACAATTTTTAAAGAAAATGTAACATTTTCAATCGTGAAATCTGCTAAATACTGGATTAAACTGGTTTTATGTAAAACTTTTTTATAAAAAAATAACCATTAATTAGTTAAGCGCTATTGAAGTCCGTAGGTGTAATAGGTTTATGTAAACCACCTTTGAAATAATGTCATGTAAATTCATACATAGTACATGTCTTCTTACTGATTTATTAATATATTTTTTAAATTAAATACAAAAAAAAGTCATTTTAATCGTTTTTTGTTTTTGAATTAAAATTTTCTTTCAGACACTTTGCGCATTAGCCGTTTACAATGTAACAATTATTGATCTTCCATTTCCGTTAGCGTTATATAAAAAATTATTAAACAAAGGAAAAATTGATCTTGACGACATGAAATCATTATCACCGACGATATATCTAAGTCTTAAATCATTGTTAAATTATACAGAAGATGATCTTGAAAGTGCGCTTTGTTTTGCATTTGTTATTGAACGTGATTGTTTTGGTGAAACACGTGAAATTGAATTAAAACCAGGCGGTTCATCTATAATGGTAAATCAAGCAAATAAACGTGAATATGTTGATTTATATGTTGATTATATATTCAATAAATCATGTGAAATGCAATTTCAAGCTTTTTCAACTGGCTTTCGTCGTGTTATCAATTCGAAACCGTTAGAGTTATTTTATCCGGATGAATTGATGTCATTTGTGGTAAATAGTCTTTTGAAAAAATGATACTAATAAATAGATGCAACGTTTCTGTTTTTATTCCAGGTTGGCAATACACACTATGATTGGAATGAATTTCAAAAGAAAACCGAATACAAAGGTGAATATCATGCTAATCATCGTGTTATGTAAGTCAGAAACAAGAAAATATTATTATTGACATTTTTGAACACCGAAGCTTTACTTTTAGCCAGTGGTTTTGGCAAGTATTTCATAAAATGAATGAAATTGAAAAAAAGAAATTTCTTTGTAAGTACATTTTCTGTAATAACAAATACAATTTAACATTTGCCACCAGCAGTGATATTTCTAAAAATAGTAACAATTTTTATTTTTAATTTAACAACTATTAATCAAATTAAATCGAAATTTAACAAGAATATGACAGATATCAATATACCAGAAAAGCGTAACTAGTGGCTTGTCAACTGGAAAATTTTGTAATTTTCTAAAATTAGATTGTTGTTCTTACTTGTAAGAACAAGGCAACGGAAAGATAAATATCTATAAAAAGATTGTATTATGATGTTCATATCGATTAGCTCAAACCTTAATGCATGAGAGTCCCAGAAAACGAGGCCTTATAAATTATTCTCATATATCTTAAAAGAAGCTTTTCAGAAGTTTTCATACATCCTTTTGCTTTCTGGATAATAATAATTCTTCTCAGCTTGAAAAATAAAAATGTTACTTCTAAATAAATAAAAAGAATGAACCTCATAAGAGAACAAAAATAAAACTTTCACAATTTGAAAATATTTTCCACAGATTACCGATTGAATCTAACAAGACTATGGTGAGATTCATAGATTTTTCTAGTTTTCTTTCTTATAAAATATTCACTCAAATTTAGTAACTAATAATTATAAACTGAACCTAAAATTTAGTACAGTGTTCATCTAATCAAATCTGGCAATATCTATCAGTTAAATGATTGCAAACGTATTTATATAAGTATATAGAGAATTAAACGTTCAGGCAAACACAACCATTGATGAATACTATTCACTTTTCTTAATGTTTCTTTCGTTCGTGACTCTTTCGATTATTAATTGAATTATACAAGCTTATCATTACTAACATAAAACTTCTTTATTTTGAAGGTTTCTTTTCTAATTCTTTTCATTAATTAATGGAAAAAAGATTTCATTAATATTAAATCCGATCGTCTTAATTCAATAATTAACTAGTCTAAAAAAACACTGATTTAGCAAAGTAAGTTAGTTTCGAGCTAAATCTCTACAGAATTACTATAGTACAATATATGCGATACTCAATTCATTTGAAGGTCAAGTGCATTTTTATTCATATATGCCTCTTATATATTAAAGATTCTATGTACGAGTATAAAAATAAATTTCATCTTTATTTTTATAAATTATCTTTTGAGATACAAAAGAATGCCTCCTGTTATAATATATAGATGTCCTGTGATAGATCGAAGCACGCTACTATAATTCAGTAGCATGCAGAATTACAATTCTTCATGCAACCTATAAACTTGTTTAACGTTTAGATGAAAATGATTTATTAGAAAAGGAAATATTGCCTCAAAAAAAAAAAAAAAAAGAAGCATAATGTTACATAGCTATTCTGAGAATCATAATAATCAATTTTCGTAAAGTTGTGCATTTTAGAAGCAAGACAAAATGTTTTATATACTAAAAGATCAATGTTTATTTATCTCATTGAACAAGAAAGAAAAACATTTTATTCGCACACACTTACATATGTTTGTTATATTTTAGTATTTCTTACCGGTTCTGATCGAGTTCCTGTCTTCGGATGGAGTCAAACATTAGTAAATAAATAAATAAATCGAATTGATTTTGTATCGTTTAATTGTTGTCTTTTTCTCTTCATTTTCTTTTTTTAAGCCAATGACAATTCAAAGAAGTCATACCGACGATATTCATCTACCTGCTAGTCATACATGTTTCAACATTCTTGATTTACCAACGTATTCTTCAAAGGAAATTCTAAAAACTAAATTACTCGAAGCCATTCAGCATAATCAAGGGTTCAATCTGGTTTAAGTAACAAATCAATCAAAATAGTGATAAAAACAGCTAATATATCGTTGCCAATTATTATTTTTCGATATTAATAAGATTATTTTTTTTGTTTTTTCTTTGCAACTTTGTGTGTGAATAAATTTGTTTTAGGTATTATGCCTATTTCCTTTTAATATTCTCGAATTGTATATAATAAATGTATTTTTCCATCAAAAAAAAAAACATGAGTTTCGTAAAAAAAAATATAATATAGAGAATTTATCGGTTCCATCGATTATAATTGTTCTGTTGTTGAAATATCACAATAGAATAGATCACCAGGATGCATGTGGTGGTGGTCGTGGTAATGGAGGTTGGTAACTTAAATTCATTTGAGAACGAAATTGTTCCATTTGAATTGCATAGCGTTGCGACGGTTTAAGAAATTGGTATAAATTAGTCGCTTGATTGCGAGTCTAAATAAGAGTGAAAAGAAAAAAAATTAAAATTAAAGAAGTATAAAAGTAATAAAATAATCTGTACTTTTTCTTCTAAATATCCTTGTAAATGTTCAGTTTTACTATAGATTTCGGTGTATTTTCGTTTTTTTTCAAAGTACGACATGGTCGTCGGAAGCAAAAAAGAAATGTAGCAAACGATGTATGTATGATGTCTTTTTCTTTTAGTTTTTTTTTCTTTTTGTATGTTTACCCTTTTTTTTCTTCTCTTCTGATAAGACGAAGAAAGAAAGAAAAAGAACTCCATGGTTGTCATGCAACTAGTTTCTAACATAAAAACATATCGACACAGGATGTTCTCAAGAATAATTTTGTGATTTGAATAATAAATTTACCTCGATACCATTCATCTTCATCTGTTTCATTCGCTCTTCGATGTTTATTTAGTAATGGAACTTTAACACTTGTTGTTACTGGTATCGTTGTTACCGCGTGTGGTCCATTTCTGTTTGTATTATTACTTGCCGCTGTGACAATACATCGAATAGGCGAAAAATTTGACATCGTATTCGAAAATAAAGTGCGTCGATGTAAGTCTAAAAGACTTCGTCTTACTATAGTCGGTATACGGTTCGGATCTAGTAATGCTTGTGCCGGTAATGGTCTTTGAGAAGTTTCAACACGTATATGATAACTACTAGTACGAGGAACAGTTAGTGACTCAGCTCTGTGGCTCATTGAACTGTTCCCTAGTTCAAGCGTACTAGGCGAATTTAAATGTTGTGACATAGCTGACATACGTAATGTTGACGTTGATTTAACATGCAAGCATGTTTCACTTGGCGAACGAACATAAATAGTTGCACGAGGTGATGCATCAATAGCAGGTTCTGATGTTGCACGAACAAAATTAATTGGTGGTGGAAGCGTTGAATGCACTGATTCATTTGAATGTCGACCGCGACGTGATGATGGACTTATACTTGGCTTAGTGTGTAATGAATAATTAGGAAATATTGATGGAGGATTGCAAATTCTTTCAAGTTTTCTTGCTAAACTAATAACAGCCAATAGCCATAAACCAATAACGATAAGAACAAGTAGACTTTCGACAAAACTCATTCGATAAATACCCTCGTCCATATCTTGTAAAGCAAAAACAAAAAATTATAAATAATTCACGTCGGAATAAATTTAACAATGATAACTACTACCGGTCGAAGTTTTCTTTTTCATACTGAGATAATTATATTATTTACAAAGAAAAAACACGTAAAAATTATTTAAAAAATAAAAAATGACTATTTAAATGCATCAATTATTTCCAGGAGTTTTACGATTAAATTTTTTGGAAGGAAAAAAATACTCCCTTGAGCAAACGCAGATTATTCATTATTCTTCTTATTTCTTTTACTTAAACATAGATGTACTTTGGAAATTAAAATATAAAATATAATCTTGTTTAAAAAAAAAAAGAGCAAAAATAAGATATAGCCAAAACTTACAATAGCGGAAGAAACATAATATGAACTTGTATTTTTTAAATAAAACAATTATAATTTGCAAAAAGTTTTTGAAAATAGTAAAAAGGTTTTGTGTTTACAGAAGAAAAATACGTCTCGTTCTATAACTCTAACAGTTGTAAACAAAAACTAATTTCTATAATTGGACCATAAAAATCGTAACTGGCAAGAAATACATGAAACTTAGGAGAAACACAGTTTAATAGGCTATATAAAATAAGGAATCCAATATAATACGATCGATTTAATGAGAAAATCAAGAGCATTCAGGAGCTCAAGTGTTCATTCGATTTAATCAATCATTTCATCTCTGAAATAACGTCAAGATCATCCCATCTAAAGTATTCTGTAATTAATCATATTTTCAATAGAAGAAAAATCAATGATGAAATTTGCTAACGTAAGGCATTAACTTCTTGTAAAACAACTTACGTGTTGAGCTGTTCGACATTGATTATTGTTATGATTATTATTAATAGTAGTAATATGAACCAATATCTCGATGGGTCCTTTCATATTATTCTAAAGATAGATTACAGAAGAAAAAGAAAGAAGAAAAAGGAAACGAAACAAAAATTAGATTGATCATTGAATATAAACATATTTTTCTCGGCACGACTATCTTGGATAAAATTCATCAGTGCTGACAGCGAGCCCATCATCTTCACTTATATATATGTATATATATAAGATACATAGGCTGATGATATAAAAGATTTGCAACTATGTATATAAAAATTTGTTAGTCGCCTAATGTACAAGATATCCTATTATAGATTATAACGACCGTTATAAAAACAAGAGACAGAGAGACAGAAAGAGAGACTGTAAATGCTTGACGTCAGCTCTTTATCAAATGCGTCGCATCGCTCGATAGCAAGAGAAAAAATGTCGGCTGTATGCTACATTTTCATATTTTTCCAGTTTCTCTCTCTGTCTCTGTCTCTGTCTCTGTCTCTGTCTCTGTCTCTCTAACTATCTTTGTTCTTTCCACTACTTCATTCAGATTAGTAGAAATAGAAAACAAAAATAGAACATTGTGCATGTGTTGGCTTAAGATAAAAATATGAAGCAGATTTTTGTGCATGACATTTATGGAAAATTATCCTAAGACATCAAAGCGATCAAATGGAACAAATAGCGAATACTTATTCTTATTCAGTTCTTATTGACAATTTAGTGAAAGAAGAGAAAAGAACATGATTATATAATTTATAATTTTTCTTTCGAATTTCAAGTGATATTTCTGTTATTATTAGCTTATACAAACAATAGCACACGTGTATATCTGTTTATTTGCCAACTTTCTATTACTTATAAAAAGAATCTGTTAAAGCCATGCACTTAATAGTAATTTACAATTCTTTTTTTGTTAACAAAAAAGAAACTCTACCTATAGTCTTGAACCTGGGAATGACGTAGAATCATGTAGGCTATTTTTTCAAACCTGATTTAATGACGCTTATGATGACAAGCAACTATTTTTTCTTCTTCTCTTCTTCATGATAAAAATCTTCGTTTTATGAATCATGCAACATCAAAGTGATATTAATGAATGTCGACTACGAATTATTTTTATTTAACTTATGAGAATCAATGCACAAATAATATCAAAATGATCTATGTACTTGTTATTATAGCTGTACCGAAGTGTATACGTCACACGAACAAAATGCTGATTGCGATTCCGCTACTTTGTTATTTCTGTTTCGTCAAAGCCTATGCCAGACGGAAGTTATTATCGCATGATGTTGTTAACAACATGGCACACACAAACAATAATCCTCTTTTATTGACTGACTCAATCGCTTCCTCTGTTTAGTTTGTTCCTTCGTTTTCTTCCAATCTTACCAGAATCTCAATTAGCACATTTTTTTTTCTTTCGGAAAACCAGCGCAAATAAATGCACATGAGATTGAACATGATAATGTTTTCTCTATACGCTCAACAATTACATTATATGATAATACGATAAAACATGTTCATCAAGAACTAGTCTGCGAGAACGAAAAAAAAATGGAGTAATATAATCGATTGAAAAAGCTATTCGAATATACTAGAAACAAATCGGGAACAAAATAATAGAATAGCTCGATATGCCACATAACTTCCTCTATTTAATAATATAATTAAATTGTCTTTATTTTATTTGGATCAAATGTTCGTGACGAACTTTCTATTTTTATTTCCTGTTGTTCTGCTGAAAAAAGACTATCTCGATGGAGACGATTTGATTGCTGAGTGCATAAAATACATGGTTCATAAGAGATAAAAACATGAGAAAGTTATTGAAAGCGAAAATGATCATTTCAATGACAAAACAAAAAATAGAGAAAAATAAACGCTAATCACATTGAAGGCTTAATCTGGTTGAATAAACAATTGTTTTTATTCTGCAAATCAAGGGAAAACATAAAATAAAGAAAACAAAAAGACAAGCAACAAAACAAAATCACATTGTCTTCTAGACTATAATCCTAGCCTGAAATAATCTTAGTTATACAAACTATATTTTACTGTTTTCATCTTTACGTTGATGAATTGTAAAACGTAATGCGTATTATGATGATATCTTAGACATATGGCATACGTACAGATACGATCTCAATAATGCACTATGTGTCAAGCCAGCATTCAACGATTTACGATCATTCTGACTCGATGTCAGACTTGCTTAGAAGTAAGTAACGATCATTTTCATAACATTAATAAATAAATAGATCATTTGTTTCCATACCATGCATTAGTGAGGATTCGATAGCATACTTATCCAGAGTTAGAGCATATGTGAGTTTAAACATATGATTACGATTAACGACGTTAGATTATTATAGTCTTATGATATTTATGTTATTTTTCAAGAGTAATAATACTGATCTAACTCATCATTCATAATTCGTATTGGTTTCTATAAGTTTTATTCTTCTCTATCGGTGAATATATAAGCTGTAGCTACAAACATAACGAAAACATAAAATAATATGAAGCCAAACGCGAATATTTACACTTATATTTTATTTTCAAGTAAAATATTGAACTTTTGCGAATGAAATCGATGAATTATTATTAGTCATCGTGCATTACTCATAGAAACCAACGCATTCGATCTCAAGAACTATACTATAAACGAGAAAATAATTTAATCTATACTTAATTATCATTTTCAATAAAAAAAAAATGAAATATTACAAATAACATTAAGAAATAAAACCAAATATAGTTGCAATAGTGAAATGATTAAAACAAAGCTTCAGAACAATTCATAACATTGAACATGTATAAATTGATCTTCATCAAATAGATGTGTTGATTCAAAACCGCTTTGTCTATACAAAACAAAAAGCGTGTTTTATATTACGAAAACAAAAATATTGTTTTTTGACGATAATCACATTCATGTGTCACATCACCTATTTAATTGATCGGGCATATTACTTAACGTATATTTACAATCATAGGTAGATACGCTTTTAAAACATGAATCACAATCTCGCCAGTCTAAAATTAATTAAATCAAGACCCTATGAACATCAATAGTCGTTATAACAACACTAAAAACAAAACTGAATCGATCGTTTTATTAATAATATGCAATTTATACAAAGATCTTCATCGTTCGATATTATTCGAAAAATTATGCATTTGCATAGTAGATATAAGAGTAAGTAGATGTAATGCTGGGCCAAGTTTCATTTTAAATATTCTGGTTAAATGATCTTCAGTTAACAATGGTAGTGTACTCCCATCAATTTTTTGTTGCATAAATTTCTTTTTAAACGAAATAAATTATTTCAATAAAATTTTAAAAGAAAACTTAAAAATAAATATATATCTTACTCGAGCTATATGTTTTTCGGGAAAATGTTGTTTAATAAAATGAACGACATCGGTTACAGACCAATCAGTAAATGGCGTTGGAGAAGAAATAGATTCGGTTTTAATATGAAAACATTCGCGTGGAAAAGCATTATGTGATTCGAACGATGTTGCTGTCGATAGCGAAGACAAAAATGTCGGCAATGGTAATGAGAGTTCAGAATTTCTTTTTAGGGGTACACGGTGGCGAATTGGTTTCAATAATGGATAGACGTGTGTAATTTTTGGCGCTGATGTAAACTGTTGTGGATAGAATTTTGATGATGATGATATTGATACGCGACGTAATTCACTGTTTACATTGGATTCGATATTTCTAGGCCTAGGAAAAATCGATAAAGACTCTTTTTCTCCTGTTTTTTAGATTGTAAAATAGATTCTTTAGTTATTTACTGTTGAATCATTTCATTGGATGAATTCATTGGTGATGATTGCTGCTCAGATTCGGATAATGTTTTAAGCCAACGACGATATTGTTCATAATCTCTTCCGCCACTTTGATAAAATCGTCTAAAAGTACTAGCAGAACCATTTGAATCGCGCACTATGGATGATTTCGATCGACCTCTATAGCCACAAGAATGGTTGTCACTTTTTATTAGATGATCATCATTGTTCTTGCTCATGTTTCTGTTTTAAAAATATTTCTAAACTAGTGCAATGTTATGTCAATTTAAAATATCGTGCACGAACTGAAACGAATCAATATTGTGCTTTTATTATAGTTATCATTCTGTACTCCTTTTAAATGATTGCTACGCATGACTAAGCAAGTATGATGAGTGTAAGCATAGCAGCAACTATAAAGTTTTGCTTGACTGCTTTTTACTTTGTTGATTTCATTTTTTTGCTACAGTAAAAGTGAATTTATACGCCTAAGAACCATTAGAAATACGAAAACAAACATACAAACGAATATGTATCTAAAAATGCTAAAGAACAACTTAAGTATCGCAATATGAATATTAAAGACTTACTGATGTGTTCTATAGAAATATATATATAGTATAATTAATCGAATAGCTCTTTGATAATATTTATTTGTTAGAAGAAAAGACATTAATTATTGAGACAAAAAAACTGAATATTAGTATGCATCGATTATTTATTAATGAAATTCGATATATGAAGACAAAAATTAATTCAGTCATTAGATAATACAGTAGTATATATCAATATTTACATATTTATTAATAAAAAAATCCAATAATAGTATATAAACGATCTTTTGTATTCATAGGAATCTGCATGTTGTGCCAGACTAGTGTGCTTGAAGAAAAAAAGCAATACGTTAGTTTTTTTGCTGTATAAAAGAATCTTAAATAGTTAATAATGAAATATTTTCTATACTTGGCAATGTGATTATTCACTAATACATTCAACATAGTTGTTTTAATAATATAAATCAGTCTATATCTTATATTATCTTCTTCAATATATTCCATGTAACGATATTTCTAGACTTCTATTATCTGTTTATTTTTCTCGTGCTTATCTAAACTAAAACACATTATGAAAATAACGACAGATGATTATTGTAGCCTTTCATTTAAAGTAAAAGGAAAAAAATCATAATCACAATTCTAAAACTATTATAATTAAGCCACGATAGATCTGATAACTATCTTTTAATCAATTGAAGTTTATTCCTAATTCATTGTCGAACACTCAACAGAAATTCAACACGATTATTATACAACAATTATAAGATAAAGCACAAATACTAAATAATTCACTGGAGGCATAAAAGTTACCTACGTCAGATATTACATAGAACCATTAATCTTTTTATGGAAACTTTTAATTAAAGAACATATATACCATATATCGCGCATGAGCATTAAAAAAATTAAATAACATTGGAAATTTTCTTTTCTTTTTTAGTGAAATTCAACTATTGAAACGATATTTGAACGAAGATTATTTCTGGAACAAAAGAGTACAACTGCGGGTAGATTGCATAGAACTTATCAAAAAAGTTCAATAAGGAAACGTTGCAGTTACTAAACACATATTTCTGTGAATACAAGAAGTCTTATTGTTCTTAACCATTAAATCTTAAGTTAAGCATAGTTCCTATGAAGCCAAAAAGCATCTAATTAAAAAAAGAGAGCGACAGCATAAAAATTTTTGTTTTTCGCAATGTCATGCAATGAGTCAAGGCCTATTCATAGTCGTGTAAATAATAATTATTACTATTGAGATAATTTATCTATCTGATTAAAAAATTTATTTAATTGCAGATGTCAATATAAAATGAGTATCTTCATTTTCCAATCTTCAGAAAACTGCGTAAAGTGATCGTGTACGATGATAAGTTCTTTCAAACTTTTAAACCGTAATGAAAAATATCTCTCATGTGCATGCCAATTACTAGGTCTGGCCTTTTTCAATAAAAGGTTGCTCAGTACCATCAGCAAATCAAGTACTACTCTACAATCTTTTATGCGCTTTTTCTAACTTAAATGCTAATGACATACCATCATTTTTATAATCTAGCATCTAGTATCCATGACAAATTAAAGATCTATCGCTACTATACTACTATTAAGGAAACAACTAAATTTTTGGGTTTTTTTTCTTTCGATACTCATATTCCACGAAGATTTATTTTCTTTAATCTATGTGACTCGTTCAATATCAATATATATGGCACTATTGCAAAGAGAAAAACAATCTAATAAGAGAGACAATCAAACGCATTTTAGATATCTTTTTAATATTCAAATCTGTTGAAATACAATTATATTTTTTATTTGGAAATTTTTGTAACAAAAATATTTCTCTCTCTATATAGATATCTGATCATTTCAGTATCTGAATGAATGAGACTGACCGACAGCGAGAAGATTGTTACAGGTGTGGAGTGAGCACTTATGTCTAGTAAGAGGAAGAAAAGGTCGCGTGAGCACTTTTTGAATAGCTGTTGATTGGAACAAGATGGAACACCACAATTTTTATCGTTGCAAGCAAGACAATAAATTGCATCGATTCGTTTATTATAGACTAGGCATTTTAATTAAGTGGTTTCTTACACAATGAGAAAAAAAAGGAGAAGTATCAAAGTACTGAGAATTAGGAATTCTTTCTCAGTTCCCTACAGTTCCTTGCATACCAAAGGTAAAAATATGGAATATTCACAATATTTTTTGTTCTTACACTCATTTTCACCTACCAAATTGTGAAAATCAATAGTTCTGCGCACAAATTATTTTAAAAAAGCAATATTGCGACTTTCGTGGATATTGGGACTATGAGAAAACCACTGGTTGATTTCCATTACTTGTAGAAATTATCACTGTGACACTGACAATTCCTCGGCAGATTAGAAGTTTCTATTTCTCAGCCCTTGGACACTGCTGAACATTGGATATATCTAAAGTATTGACGACTTTTTTGTTAATGACTGTCAAAGAAAATTCTTATCCTGTACACATTTTAACAAAATCTAAACTATAATTCTCGTGAAATAAAAAAGCTGATACAAGACAAACGTAAATTAGAAGATTAGAAAAATATTTGTTTTGTTTCAAATTATGTTGAAAAGAAAATTGGTTTGAAACTTTATACAAATTTACTTCTGTTGATCTCCATGCGGAAAGTATACTTGGTAGATGTCGTTCATGACTGACACGTTTCAATGCACGATTTACAATAGATTTTAATGATATAAATACGTCAATGCCAATAAGAAATAAACATTTTCATATTTTATTCTTGATTTATTTATCTAGTCTATTGTCTCTATTGCTAAATAAATCTAATTGGATAACAATATGCTAACAAATGATTCATCATTGCACAATGAAGAAATAATTCATTTCCATTATAGAACTCTTCAGCACAAAATTTTCCTAGTTATTTGTAGATTTATGGTTAGTTTAATTTAAACTATCGTTTTATCAACGTATTCTATGGCGACAAGTTCTAAAGCTGACGAAAATCCATCAATAACAACAACTATTGATAATCATCTGCGCTCAATTGTTTATAACCCATCATTAAACTCATTGATTTATCTTAATGATAAACAAGAAATAATTGTTCGTAGTGCTGATCAACTATCAACTCTATTTCATCGTACATTACCTTTAAATAATACAAATGAATATTATGAAATAATATCATGCCATGATAAATTTCTCTTATTGACATCAACACATATTCATGTACGACAATTATATCAAGGTCTGTACTTTCTGGATTCAACTATTGGCTCAATAAATGATGAAAATTGTCATGTTCTTATTGAAGTAACATACGGCGATGCACAATTATTAATCCAATTGTTAGCAACATTAGATTTATCAATATCAAATCATATCAGTGAATTTTATGATTTATTAAAAAAGAAATTCAGTGAACATGTATCATCATCATCGTGGAATCTACTACAATTTTCATACGATTGTCTTAATGCAATAAAGATTTGTTTTGATATCTTACGTTTATATAAACAACAAATACAACAAAATCAAAACATGTGTTCACCATTACCTGGCATTGTTGTTGTCGGTCTTTTACTTGATTATCTAACAAGATATTATCATCATAAAAAATCATCAATAATAAATACAGATGAACAGATTGGATCAACATTAGAAACATCATCGTCCCCATCATCAGCGACAGCAATAACCGCACCGGCAACACCAACACCAACAGCTGCTATAGCAGCACCATTAACGTCGATGACAACACCACCGAGTAGTTTTTTTAATGCAGGTGGTAGAACTACTCGTGAACGCTTAATGTTTAGTGAAGCAACACGATATAGAACGTTTACACTTTGGCCACATGCAGCTTATCGATGGCTTTCACCAGTAAGTCATAATGTATTTTATATTCGAGATTTATTGTGAAAATCACAAGGAAAATTTTCTATATGTAATAGTAATCGATTTGGGTCATCTTTACTTATAATCCGAGTTAGTTCTTCTCGGATTTGGAAGAAAAACAATTATTTATTTAGCGACCAATTGAATTTCTAAAATCCTATTACAAATAGTCAGAAAGGTTTTTACAATACTTTTAGAACAGTACGCTAGTTTTGATCTTATCCTTAATATTACTAGTCAATATAAACGGTTTGGCCAAAATGAATAAATAAAAGCATTTAGTGTTCTGTTTAGTCGTCAACTGACAAGATAGAATCTTCTGATTATTTTCAAGAGGAATCTTTACGATCATAAGTCTAATGTTGTGAATTTCTGCAAAGAGAAATTTTCTCCATTCATTGACTGACAACCTTCAATATAACATCAGCCAATGAAGGCTTATACAGAAGATATTTTCGATATCATGGAATAAAGACATTCATCAGATAGAAAAGATGTATGAACACTATTCATCATAGAAACAATTATTTTAAATATAATGACTAGTTACCTCTTGAAAGCATCATAGAAGAAATTTGACAAAAAACTTACATAAAACATGAGCTACTCGAAAATAATATTTACCCTTTTATTTTTTCAAATCTACAGCTAACTTTTAGCAAAATTCGATGACACGAAAATAATAATACATTGGTAATTCTGTCATACAATTAATCATAAAGAATTTTTATAATTGATACAGAAAGTTAAATCAATCAATATATTCTATATTTTTTTTAATTAGGAAAGTATGGCTAAAGCTGGTTTTTATTATTCACCATTGAAAGATAATGACGATCGTGCATTATGTTTTGCTTGTACTGTCACACTTGTTTGTTGGGAACCATCTGATTCTCCATGGACAGAACATGGACGTCATTCTCCAAATTGTCCATTTATAAAGGGTGACTTTACTGAAAATGTACCATTACGTACTACATGTTCAATTCAACCCGGAAAGAAAATTTTCTCTAATCAACAACAACAAAAATGGTTAATTAAATCAAATGAATTGATATCCAATGAACATAATTTATTATTTTTAAATTCTGATTGGATCCTACGTTCGGTTGATACCACAAATGTAATTCATATAAAAACTATCATGTCATTAAAAAATCTTGTTGAGCAATTAACAACAGAAAATATTCCTGAAGAAAACTACTTCTCAGAAAATACTACTAATAATGAAACTGTATTTATTAAACAGTTTGATCGTTTAACAACGAGACGTTATTTTAATTTAAAATTTATTCCGCTTGCGATAACAATGTATCCATTACCAATTACAACTGACAATGAAAGTTATATTATTTTTTATTTTGTTCAATTACATGAAAGTAATAAATGTCTGTTAATAACAACGACAACATTAAATCATTATGACAATACAATTCCGTCACGTACATCAACAATAACTAATAGTCCACACACTGAAGAACCTACAGAAACAACAGCAACAACAATAGATGAACAAACTAAAACAAATAATAAATATGATTATTTGATTGAATTTTCAAATTTTAAACGAATACCTAAACAAGCTTTTCTCTATCAATTAACTAAAACAAAAATGTTACTTTTAATAAATACAACAGAATGTATTCATGGTTATGGTATCGAATATGATCAAACGAGTTTGACATTAAAAGTAGTTTTTTACCATTGTATTTATCAATCATCAACAAGCGACATTGATATTGATTCAATAAATTCGATTGTATTAGATGATGACGATTTAATAAATACGGATGAACAATCAATAATTAGTGATAATGAGGAGAATTTAGAAATCGAACGTGACGATAACATCGACGGTACTGGTGAATGTCAAAACAAAGATCAATATTCAAATAAAATATTAAAACGAAAATGCTTTCTAATTTGTTTTAAATCTGGACATATAATGCTTTATGATGTTTATCGCTCGATGGGTTTTGATAATAATCAAGAGAATCATAATATTGGCATTTTAGCAGATAGACAAACAATTGGAAGCGTTGAAAAATGTGTTCATATTAGAGGCACGGATACGATTTATGCGTGGATTATTGATATTGGCGTTAAAAAGGTTTGCATTTTAAATGAAAATTTCGTCAATTCAATGGCAGTCTATTGTTTTTGTTTTCGAAACAGGATCTAAACGAATTTTAGAGATAAGAATTCACATTCACAGATATCTAGTACGCATCTTGTTAACGAACTATCACAGATTTTGTAGTTATACGATTGAACATCACTGCATATCAAGAGCGTCTCATTCTAGTATATAAACTTATTTACTCTGTAAGGAATAAGTTAAAATGATATTGAAAAAATATGCTGCTAAATCGGTAGAATAAATAAATAAATCTATCTGTCGTTAACAAAAACATCTATAATTTGTTTATATACTTGACAATTATTCATTTAGTAGTGTTTTTTTCTTGAAGCAAATCTTGAGATGTGTGATCAAAATTTTCTTTATGAAAAAAAAAGTTATATAGAATTATTTATAAATCATTTAAAGTCTAATCACTACTAGACTGAAACTCAACTTTCTTTCAAGAATCTCTGGGGTTTTTCTCTATTTTGAAACAGTGAGCTGTACGAACATAATTGGAGAGTTTTATGTAGATCTGAAGCTTCATTTTTGAATCTGTTCATGATTATAGATCGAAAATTTATAGATTTGAAAAGAAGAATAATCCGAGACACTGAATGTACTCGAAGACAAAGACAAATAGAGATCAAGAAAAAAAAATAGCTATGGTTATTTTTTGTTTAGTTCAATATTCGTGATATATTTCCAACTTATTTTACTAATATACAATCCGACGATAGAAAGACTACATCGTCAATCAATCCGTCTCAATCAAAATCTTCCGCAGATGATCAAAATTCGAATTCCTATTCAATATCAACCCTTCGTTCGCTTCTCTCGTTTACATCTTTTGATTCATCACCTATAACATATTTTTTTGCTCAAGTCAATTCATCATATTGGATCGATACACTTGATACAACAAAAACAAATATTGATCGCCATACATGGCGTTTACAGCAACCACAAATAAATCAACAGCCATCAGCAAATCAACAAATCATGCCTTGTGTACATGTATTTGATATACAAACAGCAACACCATGCATATTACATACAATTGAATTTCGTTATACATTAAATCGACAACATTTATATAAGAAAAATTTATTTGTTACTTTATATCGTTATTCAAACGAACAAAATGAAGTGGATCAAAAAATAGAATTCAATCAATTGAATTCGAAATTGAATTTTTCAAATGATGATACACTTGCTGGTCCATATTCATTAGTTGATTATTTAGAATCGCCAACACATGATCAAGGTCTTATACAATTATGTTCCTATGATTTATTAACATATAAATCAAAACAGTTTCGTCTTGTACTTGAATCTAAATGTTCATCAACAACAAATCAATCAGCAATTCAACAAAGTCTATTTCCCATTGAAATTATTTCTATAACACTTCGTTCGACAAAACATCAAGCACGTCTATTACGTTTATATGATAACTCAACAATAAATTGTTTAACATCAACAATATTAACGACTAGAAATGAAAAGAAAATTCTATTTTCATTAAATTTATTAATATCAATCGTTTATACGACAAATAATTTTAAAATTTTAAATCAAATTAAATTTTTATTATTAAATGAAACATTTCTACAGCATACATTTGTAAATGCATCAAGAACCATAGCTAAACGTATGGTTACATTAATATTGATGATTGTTAAAATTGATGATGACATTGAAAAATTTATTGACAATTTTCTAAATTTATTTCAAATGAATAATAAATATCTACTTGGTTTTAAATCTTCATCAGCATTGAAATGTTTTTTTATTATTATTGGACAATGGACAAGTCGATATCAATATCAAATTGGTGCAAAACTATTACAATGGTCATTACAATTAGCAGATGTGATCAAAAACACCGATACAGCACAAAGACAATTACTAAGAAATAAGTAAACAGATTCAGAAATTAATTCGCCTACAAAAATGAAAAAAATCTACTAGTAGAACATATCTGAAGAGTAACTGTGAATATAATACCTTTGATTTCATATTTTTACTAAGAAAAGATAACATAACAGAGAGAGAGCAACATCTAGATTGAATCAAACGTTTTGTCACTGTCTCAATATATGTATGTCGAATTACGTTGATGACTAAAACTGAATAACTATCATCGAATTATTTTAAAATCATAGTTGTCTCAATTGAAGCAGTTCGTAAAACTTTTAGATTTTCGATAGAGTGTTTGTCTCATTTTGTCCAAAATATACATACTAGTGTTCTTAAAGAGAACCTACTCCAAGACAGAAAATCATTTATGTCCTAAAACTGCCATTATCGAAATAATACTAGATTTGAAAAAAACCTACTATGTCAGAATTTTACTTTTTTTTATTGAAATCATATTTTACTCATGAGTAAGACGTTTACTATAGATAAAACTCTCTAAAAATGAATTATTTAAAAATAAAAGGTATTCTTCTCAAAGCTATGTTTTTAATATTTTCATAACAAAAACAAATATTTTTTTTTTCGTAGACAAACATTTTGTAATGACTGTTTTTAATTATTTCTTAAGATTTGGATTTTATGCGGATCCATTCGATGCTCATTTATTTGATGTTGATCTTGCAACATTAATTGAATGTAGTCTTCGTCAACGTAATTCAAATTCGTCATCATCCACATCATCGAATTCGACAAATGCTGCTCAATCATCTCGTCCAACTGGAATGAATGATAATTGTTATGATCCACGCATCTATTCTCGTTATGGAACAACTGGTTTACCACTAATTCCAAGTGATCCTGATTCATTATACTCATCTGTAAATGTTCAATATGCATTAGGAAAACTTTTACCAAATTCTCTTTCATCATCGAATGCTTATTTAAAACCAATACCTGATCTTTTCGAAATATCACCATTGAATTATACAGTTCATTCGTCGAGTGATGGTACACGTCTCGAGTGTGTTGATATGACACATTTATTAACATTACGAACATATGAAGCAACAAATGCAACACCACCACCACCACCAAATGTTACACTTACTGCTGGTTCACATAATCTATATCATCCAACAACATCAAGTTCAATTTATCCACCACAAATGCCTCCGGCTATTTCGACATTTAATTCATCAAATTCATTTCCATTTTCATTTCCAACACCAAATATAAATACGTATTATGATACACTTTATATGTTACCACCAACAACATCAAATCCACAAACATCAAATAACGATACGTCAACATCAGCAACTGTTACATTTCCTATTACAACAACAACGATGGATAATCTAATAAATAATAGTTTAAGTGGCTCATCCCCATGGTTACCTCATTTAGCATCAAAATTCAAAGATAAACAAGGTTTACAAAAAGAAAAATTAAAATTAATAGCAAAAAAAAATAAAGCTGCTTCAACACAATCATCCATATTAAAAAAGAATTCAAGTTTATTTACTGATCTTATTCATCATTCATCGAAATCATCTTCCTCATCTTCATTAGTACAAAATCAACAAACATTTTCAACAAATCCAGCATCATCAACAAATAAAAACCGTGTCGATGACGAAAATCTTGAACAGCAAAAAATAACAGTTGATGATATATTAACAGAAATATCAAATAATATTTATCATGGACAATATTTACCGTTATATCAATTTATAATCGATCGTTTATCAAGTGGTAGTAGAAGTTATTTTGTTTTAGATTTTGGTAGACTAGTCACATTAACTGATATATTAATACCATCGTGTCATGAATTAGCTTCACTCAGTTTAGATTTTTGGTCACATGGTGAACATATTGATTGTCAACGTTTATTTTCTTCAACACATATAGCAACTCAACCACTCTTTTTACATGATTTACAACCAGCTATAATTGCAAGATATATACGTATTACATTAATTGGACAATCAAACATTTCAGTATCATCAATACGTTTACCAGTTGGATATTTCTTTGGCTATCCATACATATTAAATGATGATAATGATTCAACGAATAATAGCAATACTTCTACTAATAATAATGAAAAATATGCAAAAAAATTACAATCAATTGAAGGCATTTATGAAACATTGATATCAAATTATGCATTATGCAGACAAAGATTATTTAATATCTTATCATCCACAAATAATGTCGAAAAAAGTTTTATAGAAAATATTTATCAAGAATGTATACAATTACAAATACAGATTAATTATGCTAGTAGACAAATTAGTCAATGCAGAGCTATTCTGAAAATGGATAGTATTCAAAATAGTAATCAACAACCAACAAGTGATTATTTGAAATTATTAGCAGATTTATTAACAAGTGAATTAACGTCATTATCAGGAATCATGCAACAAACAGACAGGTAATTACATTTTAGCATTTAAAATATATAGTCAATAACTTTCAATTCCCTCGAATCTTAGTAGAGATAAATTCACAGGCACAGTTTTTTTTTCTGTATACTAGACCAACCGCTCTTTGACTCATTTTGTTGTTGACGAATGCGAGCGTATGAGGTCTTCTCATTTATACAAATAGTTACTTTCAAGGATAATTACGAGAGCCTATCTAAGATCCACTTGAGCGGAACAGATTGAATCTAGACCTGTAAAAAAATTGAAAAACAACAAGAAAAAAACATTTTCTTCTATTACGAACTATTTGTTTCTCTAGTAAAAAAATCGAAATTTTCTACTATTTATTTTTTAGTTCATCTTCACCTTCATCATTTATTTCGTTGAATGACGCTTTACAAATCTTCGATACATTTGCTATTCGTCATGTACAAATAATCGATATGCCGAAACGTCTTCTTCAATTATGTTCATATCATATCTGGTGGCCAGAATTTGTTAAAGAATGTTTTCAACGTTATTTTCTCAACAATGAAATTTTAACAACTGATCAACAACAATCATTATTCATCAGTCTTATTGATTTATGTGAACAAACATTAATAACAACAAATTCTCCAAATGAAACCACACTTTCATATAATCGTTTATTAGCTATTGAATATATAAATAATATATATAATTTACTAATAAATACAAATAATAATTATCAATCAATTGAATGGTTATTATTATTTATTTATCGATTATCGGAAAAGAATTTATTTCCATATTCATTTGAACAAATAAATAAGAAAACTAACTTTTCGCAGTTAATAAATAAAAATTGGCAATTTTTACATACATCGTCAATAATTCAAAGTCCACGTTTAACCAATTCAACAAATAATTATCGACGAAAATTACGTAAAGAAACGTTATTGAAAAAATCAACAAAAACTTCATCATCATCATCTTCCGTTACAACACTTCAAACGCAAACGCAAACGCAAACATCAACAATCATTGTGTCACCGACAAATTCAATTGATAGTTATTGCTATCGTTCATTAGTTTCACAAGTCGCACAATATTTAATTCAAGTTTTAATTCAAAATAAAAATTTATCAAATGAATTATTTATTTTAATATGTAAATCTCTATCTGATGTTAGTCGCTCATGTAAACCATTCTTATTATTAAATGAATATATTAGTAAAGATGATTTAATGAAATTAATATTGAATACTGAACAAGTTTGGATAAAGCATGCATTTAATTATTTCTTAATTGATTCCATTGACAATGAAATATGGTTACCAAATGAAATAAATCATAATTTTGATGATGATGATAACGATGAAATTGATATTGACGATGATAAAGAAGTCAACGATGAATGGACTAAAAAGAAACATTTTCCAGCATTTAAAAAATCAAAGAAAAAACCAAGTACACAACAAATACTTGTACAATTTCAAAATAAAGCAGCCGATCAAGACATTCTATATCCGACTACAGATGATTTCCTAGTACTTCTAAGTCAATCATCATTTCAACAACAACCCGCATTAGGAATTAATTTAATAAATAATACTAATTATGATGTTATACCATGTTCAATTGACAATCGTCTTGATGGTAATATGCAATTTATATTTGATTTATTTACAATAAATCAAACATTTAAAATTCAAACATTATTAAATAAAAATTTATTTCAAACCAATCAAAATCCGATTGAGTATAATTTAAATGTAAAAAGTAATTCTCAAAATCAATATGACACTAATAAATTCTTTTCACAAACAACAATCGATTTATTAAATGAAATATTTCAAACTATGTTATGTCATTTTATTGAACAAAATCAATTTATATCATTTGAAATCTTTAATACAATTGAACATTTATTATCATCATATTTAATTATTTCACTAGCGAATTATTCAAAGAATATGAATCAAAAACAATCATCAACACAAACAGAAATTATCAATAATAATCAACCACCAATTAATATTAATTTAAAACCATTATTCATTATGTCAATTGATACATTAGATAAGTTACTAAAATTTCTCTTAGAATCATCACTAATTACAATACGTGTCTGGCATCATTTATTTTCTTTATTATATTACACAAGTACAAATACTGATTTAGCTAAACAAATGAAACAATTATGGTTTAAAGGTGATATTGAAAATAGTTTATTTGCAAAAGTTTGGTTAAAATTTATTCAAACAACACCGGATATGATTGATGAAAGTACAGTTGATATTGTGATTAATTATTTTGAACGATTATTTATGTGTGATGATGAAAATATAAATATTATGGAAAATATCAAACTAAGTAAACGAGTGGCAACATCAGGTTAGTTTTAGTAGGCATTGTTTTGTGAACTGAAAATCAATACTATTGATGAAAAATAGAGATTTTATAAAAAACTAATTCACTAGATGATAGCAAAAGCAGATGCGCCTATCGAATCATACTTTAATCGGTAACTTTGAAACAGATCAGTTAAATATCAATACAATTTTCTGAATAATTCTTTCCTACGTACGGAGAAGTACAATAGTTCGGAGTGTACTTTGGCAAAAACACATCAAAATTTTGTTCAGTTCTCATGAAAGAATATGAATATAGATTGTTAGCGTCGACTGACTATGGTTTCGTTATATATGATATACGAAAGCCGATATTCATCGATGTATCTGATGACAATCTTTTTCTTCACCTGCAATTTACTACAGCATGTTTTTTCAATACAATCTGAATCAATTCTGAAATACTCATTAGATCCTCACAAAATACGAAATTGCAAGTACCGGGATACAACTCAATTTATTGTTAGTACAATAGATATATAATAGTCACAGCTAGGCGAGGAACTAACCTAAATATACTACCATTATAACTGACCTTTGATTTCGTTTCTATTGTTGTGAGCAAATATTTCGACAATGATAAATATTATTCATTCGTAAAACTGAATAATAAATAAGTATGTTAAAGTTTTCTTCTTAGATGGATCTCCTCAATCTCAAGATACTTCATCATTGTCGTCAACCAATGTCAATAGTCTTTATCTTGATACTCTTCTATCAATTCTTGATCGTCTTATAATCAATGGATTTCATGGACCTCTGAATTGTCATCTTAAATTTTTAAATTATCTCTTTAAACAAAATTTTTCGCAAGCAACATCATTCATACGTCTAAAACTTTGTCGTAACATAATTGATTTTGTTTGGTCATTCTGTTATTCGTATTCACCACTTTCATTTACACAAACTGATATTCATCCATTAATATGTTTTCTTAATTATGATCGAATTCATCAACGTCAAACATCTTCTTCATCTTCATCGTCATCATCTTCATCAAATTCATTAATTCCTCCATCATCCGTTAATAAATGGCAATACATGAATACAGTTAATAAACTTTCTATGCAAAATAATCCATCGTCATCATCGTCAGCAGCAGCAACATTAAATGATTCAACAACGAATTCAAAATCAACATCAGCTCGTCGTCAATGTAATCTACATGATACATGTATTCGACAAATGATTTTATTGATAACGAAATTAATGAAAAATAAAAATGAATCGATTGACCAACAACGTAAACGTTTTAAAATTGAAGAAAACGATATAAAAACAATTGAGGTCGATAGTGAACATTCCAATGATATTCTTGAATCAATTTATATTGAAAAACTTCTTTCAATTCTTTCAATGTGTCATTCATCACTTGATTCATCGCCGACAATATCATTAAATTCTTCTACAAAGTTTCTAGCTGCATCGACAACATCAACCAATCAATATTCATCATTTATTCATACAACTATTCATTTAAATCTAAACGATTTAATATCTGTTGGTGATAGCATTTACTATTGTTTATCATCATTTATATCTCAACCAAATTATCTTTTACCAATACTTTGTCATTATTTAACTTCACATCCATTACTATCATCACCATTATTATTATTTATTATTTATTCAATACATAATTCAAAAATCTTATCAGAAGCTTTAAATCAATATAAACTAATCGATTTATTAGTTAACAATTTAATTACATATTCAAATTATCTATCAAATCAAACGCAAATTTCATCTATACAACGTTTTTATGATCAAAGACAATCATCGAATAATACTATGGACATTGGTTCAATTAATTTATCGCCACAATGTCAAATTACATGTTCAAATCCAAATGCATCGTCACCAGAAATTTTACTACAATCAAATAATAATCTTCAAACAGCATTACCATCATCATCACGTCGTTTACGTTCACCACCATGGTCTTACACCTATCAACCTAATGAACAACGTTGTACATTAACAGTACAATTTCCTTATTCTATCATTTTAAAATCTATTCAAATAATACCATTTACACAATTATCAATTAATCATTATACCATAATCGATCAATTAAATACAAATTTAACACAATATCCATCATCAATAACATGTGAAATATCTTCGGATGGTTATTATTTTATACCATGTGCTCATTTATTAAATACGCAAGGACAACAAATTATCAATTTATCTTTAACAAAACAAATTGATATTGTTAGACAATTGCGTATACATTTTTATAAACCAATGGATCATGATACAATTGGTTTACAACAAATATCTATTTATGGTTATTATGCTTATGATCAACAAATGATTATTGAACAAACAAGTCATCCATATCAAACATTAATATCAACTGTTTATGGTAGACAAGTAATAAGTACAAGTAAAAGTTCAAGTTCATCAATAGTAACAACATTAAACGATGACGATATTAAATTAATGTATTCATCAATAAAATCTTCAACAATAAATTCAAATTCAATCGATAATAGTCATCAAGTATCAATGATATTAGCCGATAAATATCGTTCATTTAATCATTATTTACAATTAATACATTTATGTTTAAAAAATTCTATTGATTTAGATGATAATCTATTTGAAAAATTTCTTTTTATACTTAAAGAAAAAATTTTTATGACAAATAATTTTATTTTTAACGAAATATTTATTTTTATTGGTAACCATTGTAAGGATAAACAATTCGAATTATTTCTTAAATATTTATTGAACTATAATCATTTTAATATTTTGTCAGAATTGAGTTTTAATGAAACAAATATTAATTATTTAATTGATAATACTATTAACAATGAAATAATTAATGAAAAGACTAAGCAAACTATTAATAATATATTATGGAAAATAAAAGAAGATCATGTTACTCTTGATGAAAATTTATCAGCACATTTATTAACTAATTTTTCATGGTTACTACCAGCAGTAGCTCATCATAGACCATTATTAGCTATGAATTATATTAATAAAAATGATTTATTAATAGAATATTTTAAACAATTAAAAATCTGTTCATTAAGCGTAGAATTTCTTAATGAAGTAATTAAAAATGAATATTTTATTAAATCAATTGAAGAATTAAATCAGCAAATACAATTGATATCAAATAAAACATCAAATCAATTATTAATCTATCATGCACTTGATTATTTAATAACAATAAGTAAATATTCAAATGTTCAAGCATGGTTTTCTCAAACAAGAATTGCATCGGATATATGGAAAAACTTACTTGACATATTTAATAGTTCAAATATATCATCATTTATTCAATCACCATCGATTTTACTGACACAATTAATAACACTTCTTAGAAATCTATCTATGCAATGTCCAACAAATCAAACGAATATGTCATTAATCTCTTCTTATTTAGCATTTTTAACTGAACGACGTCTTGAACAAAATCGACCATTAACAGGATATTTACAATATATATTAAGTGAAGTTGTACTGAAATATGAATATATTCAATGTTTAATAAATACACGTGACTATCCAATAAATGTACGTGAATATTCATCGTTTCAAAGAAATTCACTTTATCATAAACTACTTCAAGACTGTTCAATATCGATGAATGTTGGACAATTAATTGAGAAATTATTTGGTTTTAATTATTTACAAGCAAATATTTGGACAGCAACCAATTATATTAAAAATAAAAGTTATTTAATAAAAGCATCAAGTGAACCAATAACTAGTAATAATAGAAGAAAAATACCACGAGCTGAATTACTTTCATTACAATCAACAATAACAGGAAAATTGGCAACAAAATCAATTGGTTCATTATCAACATTAGCTAAACATCAAAAACTGATATCGAAATCAACAACAAATGAATCATCAATACCTAAGAAAACATCATCGTTATCACTAGTCGAAAATGTACATTTTATGTTACATGTTAATGGACAAAAGAAACAATGTATTTTACCCAAAACAACCCGATTAAGTGATTTATTATTATCATTTGATTGTCGATCGTTAAATACCTATGAAGTTGATGTTATGGAATTTACTTTTGATAATCATGTTCTAACTAATGATAGTCAAGTAAGTTGACTTGAAAAATAATAGGATAATTATTTCAATATTTATTTACTAAAAGAAATAGAAAGTTAGAAACTAACATAAGACACACTAAAGAATGTCAAATTTCCATTAATATTTTCTACAAGAAAAACTTTTTTTTGAATTTTTTTTTATTTAGGAAAATGACTTGATCTCTCATAAATTAATTGTTGAAAATAAAGATTATCCAACATTACTCGATACATTTGTTCATGCAAATGGTCTTAAAATTCTTGCTCAACATTTTGCTCGCAATTATCCATCAATACAATCCTATGATGAATGTCTAACATCGTCATCTACTCCAAATACAAATATATTCGATAAAATTAATTTCTTCGATTTTTCATCATTAGTTTCAACATCATCAACAAATAATTCGAATAATATGACAATGCCATATTATGTTTTTATAACATTTTCAATATTTCTTCGTCTACCGAATTATGCACGTGCCATGTTAAAAAATCGTGCACTTGCATGTAATATAATACGTTTAATGCTTGGACAAAAAGAATCAATATTAAATGATCGTCAAGATCAAACACAAAATCATCAAGAAAGTTTCGATATGCGTCAATTATCAAAATTACCATTTGAAACATTATCAATTCTACTCAAAGAATCTTCCAATGATTTACTCCATGAAATATTACACTCAAGTATTCTTCTCCTATTACTTTCATGTTTATCATCGATAACACGTCATCCACATCGAAAACAAAAAGATGCACTATCAACACCAATATCATCTTTAGCCATGCCTCCTATGGCATTATCATCATCATCAACAACAACAACAACAACAGCAAATAATCCAACAATTATCGATGATAATGATGATGAATATTATGAAGATGATATTGAACAAATTGAATCAACAACGATTCAACAGTTAAATACAATTAATAATAGTAATCATAATAATCCAAATCCAAATTCAAATTTTTGGGCTAAAGGCACAGGTTTCGGTACAGGTTCAACACATTCACAATGGAAGCCCGATGAAATAATACAGATTCAAAAATTACATGAAGAACATGTGATTTATTTATTCGATATATTTTGTTCAATATTTTCCAATAAATTATCTGAAGAACTTCTTGATGAAAATCTAATTGAAATAATAAATACATCATGTCTTATACCTGTACTTGAATCTTATTTACGTAATGATTCAATATTGGATATATCAAAACAAGGTGATATTCATCGGCATTGTTTACGTTTAGTGAATTGTTTATTACATAATAATAGATTAAAAAATCTAATTTATCAAACAAGTAATATTGAATCTTTAATTGAAAATCTTCTGCAATGTGTACAAACATATACATCGATGATACAAATAGATGATGATGAACAATTAAATTTATTTTCAGTTGAATTAAAACAAGTTTATGATAAAATAAAGCAAGATAGACAAATTGAAAAGGAAAATTCAAGTCAACTTAATATTGATCATAAACAACAACTAGTAACACTAGAAGAATTTTATTCTCAAACAATGAAATTATTACAATTTAGTACATATCCTATAACAATTGAAAATGAATCAGGTGAAAAAATTCTATTTAATAAAGCAATTAAATATCATTATGAAGATATGGTACGTGATGCATTAACAATTAATTCTATGCAAAGAATTAAACGTTTAGCACAAGAACAAATAACAATATCAACATCATTACCATTATCATTTAGTTCGACAATATTTGTCCGTTCCGATGAAAATCGTATGGACGTAATGAAAATTTTAATGACAGGTCCTGATGAGACACCGTATTCAAATGGATGTTTTGTATTTGATGTTTATTTTCCAAATGAATATCCAACAACACCACCATCGATTAATTTAGAAACAACTGGAAATCATACAGTTAGGTTTAATCCAAATTTATACAATGATGGAAAGGTTTGTTTAAGTATATTAAATACATGGCATGGAAGACCAGAAGAAAAATGGAATTCAACATCGACATTTTTACAAGTAATTTTGAAATTATATTGAATTGCAGAAATGTTCCCCATAGTGTAATCTTACTAAGAGCAGATTTCAGCAAAAACAAAAACAAAAAAAGCTAAACCAAAATGCAATTGATAATGTAGTCATTTTCTTTAGATCGATTTTGAAAAATTGAATGATGTTGTAGGAATTTTTAATACGAGAAATTCACTCGTAACGGAAGTAGATGATTTTCTAACGTGTCGTATCCTGAATTATTATTAGTAGTAGAAGAATAATAAATGTTTGTTATTTCATAGAATAGAGTTTTCAATGTTTCTATTAGAAAATCTTATTCAAGACTTAATTATTGTAAGTAGACAAAAGTAAAATTCTTTATTGCACTACAAACATTGTATAAAAGCATGAAAGTATACATTTCTGTCATATGAAGGTTTTCTGAACGATACTGATCGCGTTCAAAATATGACCAGTTCTAATGTTCATGTTGCAAACTCGCTTTCATAAGTTGCACCATGAATTTTATTCACTTGTGTAACGATTCAACATGACTCATAATCAACTATATGATACTAGATAATTAAAAACAAAACATTAGTATTACTATTTTGTTTCTTACAATTGTTTTGATTTCTAATGATATACTTTACTTTGGTTGTCAACCTTCTCAATATAACGAAAATCTCATAGAAGCACTTATAATATATTGCAACTAAAGGTACAATAAGAACAAATTATGTTGATTCAACTGTCTTACAATGAATTGTTTTATGTAGAATGTATCTGCTCGTGAGCTATTGTTGTTCTAAGTAATTCTTACTTATTGAATGTGATCGAACATAATATAAATTTCGATGACTATTCAATGAAATAAATTCTTGTGACAACAGTTGACTGACATGTTTATTTCTATATGAATCTTCAATAACTTTCTATCTCTGACTATTGTCGTTCATTTAGAACTTTTACCGTAATTCTGGAAAAGAATAGTATTATTAACAATCTTTGATTTTATTTTGTAAACTAATCATAGTTATTTTTAATATTCATTTAGGTTCTTGTTTCCATACAATCTCTTATATTCGTTCCTGAACCTTATTTTAATGAGCCTGGCTATGAACGAACACGTGGTACAACAACTGGCACGGCTCAATCGCTTGAGTATGACGCTAACATTCGTCAAGCAACAGTTCGATGGGCAATGCTTGAACAATTACGCAATCCTCCAGCCTGTTTTGCTGATATTGTACGGCGACATTTCTTTTTAAAACGAAGTAAATAACTAGAACAAATAATCAAAATCAAAATAATCTATTCTTCTTTGTCTAGATGAAATCATTGATCAGTGTGACTCATGGATTCGTGAATTACAGGATATATCAACAACAGAAAAACGTATCAGCTCATCAATAAGTCAACATGTCGCATCACTCATACGTCATACAAGTGATCTTAAAAAAGAATTAGCTTCACTAACACTGCCTGATGATTTTGAAATCCCATCTGAACTAACAACACTTTTACTTAATGGATCATTCAATAATAATATAACAGATCAAGCTACGGCTTCATCGTCTTCTATTTCTTCTTCTACAACAGCATCAACAATAACAACAGTAGCTATTCCATCACTTTCGGATACAAACAAAAACTCCGAACAATTAATAAACTCGTCGACTGATGAACACGCCGTACAAATTAAAATAGTACCCAATCTTCAATATCAATTATCTTCATCATCAGTAGCCGCTACTGCTGCATCTTCAACAACAGTAATTGATACAGAAACTCAACAATCGTCAAATTCATCAGCTGATAATTATGAACAACAACAACAAAGTCAATCGCCATCAACGAATACAAATACATATAATGTAACTATAACACATTCAAATAGTTTAATATCAGATTGGACAACAACGGGCACACAAAATGTTCCCTTACCAGATGATGGACTTATCTATGATGATTTACTTGACGATGAGGATGATTTAGATGATGATCTAGATATAGAAGACATGCTGGAATATGAAGGTGAGATACCTGAAGCTTATCCAGAAGATTTTTATTGACTTTATTTGTGAAAAAAGCCGAGTGATTGATACATTGATATTTGTGTTCTTTTCTTTTCTTTTTCTTCTTCTGTACGTATTCTTTACTCTTAATAAAAATACAAAAGAATCTTTTTTTTTTCGTTATTTCATTTGTGTTATATGGATATGATTAACTTGTGTTATTAATAAAGTAAACGAACTGTAACGCTCGATAACACAATATGAAAGAGTTTAACCCTTTAAAATGGTATTTTTTTTATCAAATAAACACAAAAAAACAATATGATTTATTTTATTCGTTTGTTTGAATAAAAAAATCACAACTTTTCTTGTGAGTTTTAGATATTTTTTTTTAATTTCAAACAACAGTTGAATGATACGATTGAAAAAGGTAAGCTACTGCTTATTTAACATTTTCATTTCGAGGTTGGACTAATGACAGTTAAAGAAATAGATAATCTTATTAAGATTACGGTACAAAAATGCAACGTTAAAACAAAAGAAAATTATATAATGTTTACTATCATATTTTTGAATATCTCAATCAATTTTTTAGACTTGTACAGAGAGATGTTTCTTTCAATTATGTACAATATGACATATTGCTATTTTTCAAATTACTTCAAATTATTTTTATCAAATGGTAGAAGTGATTGAAATATGAAAATAATCTTTTCCTGCATGTACATCAATAGCAGATTAGTTCACCGTTGTTGACTAGTTTTATTGTTAAAAACTGCTTGTGAAATAATTATCACATATTTCTCCTTTACTTTCCGATATTTCAATAATTATACGTCAAGTGCTTTTGAAAATTGTAGTCAACTAAACAAGTGAAAGATGTGAGTTGTAAAGTAAAAGATTTGTAGAATCGTATGAAAATTGGCAAATATTGTAAAATGGTAAAAGCAGACAATTAATAGGATGCATATTCCTCCCTACTATTTCACCATGATATACTTGAAGTTGCTTTAGAAAAAATATTAGTTATTATTCGCATCGGAAGAAAAAAGATGATATTTTTTCGATGGGCCCCTATTGATTAAGTTGTAAATGATAGGTAGATTTATTTTCAATACAGAAAATTAGAACTTTGTTTAAATAGTCGTTACTGGTCTTGTTTAGGTATCCTTGGTGAACGACATCCGTAAAAATCGTACTCCATTGTATTATTGGTCGCTCGGTGCCGGTTTCATTACTACAGCATCTTTTATTACATTTGGTTACTTTTTCTAGTAAGTAAAACTTTTACCATTTAAAATTGATTGATTGAATTATATGTTTTTTCTTCTTTCAAGTTCATATCGGATCAGGCAACGAACCCTAGAAGGAATTAAAAAAGGTGAAATCGAACGTATCGTCAGTGCAGAAGGTTTAAATAGACAAGGTTTGTAGAAATATTCTATAACATCTCGATCTTTTTCAAATAATTTCTTTTTCTTTTTTGCTTAATTAGAATTAGAAAAAGCTATTAACTTATTACAAAAACAAAGTATTCACGAACATATTCAACTTGAGAATTACGAACGATATAAAAAGTTACGTGAAAAACGTCGTGAACAAGAAGGTCTTAGCTAAAAAAAACAAATATGCTCAAACATTCCACAACACAAGTTTCAGATGCACGTGTTAATCAAGTTGTAACATCAATTCTAAATAAAAGACAAAGAAATATTGTTGAACAGCAGCAAACATTTATTCGGCGAAATACAGATGAAACTAAAAAAAGAAATAATTATCTTGTGGACAAATTTACAACCAAAAAACGACCAATGTTAGTAATTTTCTTCAAAAAAATGTATTCTGTTTTTTTTTAAATTAAAATGATTTAGTTCATTGAAAGAAAACATCGCAACACCAACAACAAAACATATTTCACCGAAAAAGAAAACTCCTATAGTAATTATCGATGATGACGATGACGACGATTTCATAACAGCTAAAAAACGTCCAAAAATTATCTATGAACCAAAAGTAAAGCTTATGGTAACAAAAACTGATCCAATAAAAGAATGTCTTGAATCAATTATAATACAAATAGAAAATAATGATGTAATATGTCCTATTTGTAATCAAATTTTATCGAACTTAAGTACTATGGATCAACGTCAACAGCATGTTAATCGATGCCTTGAAGAACCTAAAATTAATAATGTATGTTGTAGAAAAACGAACATATAATCACTAAATTCCTACGATAAGACTTAAATTCTATCTACTAAAACTTTCACTTTAGAGAGAACTACCATTCGGATTCATTCATCTCTGTTGAACGCCTATTTTAATTAAGAATGCAGACTATTGTCACTAGAATATATATACAAAATGTTTGCCCTACAGTACACTAATATTGAATATGTTTTTATTCTCAATCAATTTTTGAGGGTGTGGGTGTGTAAAGCCGCCTACATACTCGAGATAGTAGTATTTAACGAACTCTGTCGTATTCTGATGCAATACGGTAAACGCCTATGAATTCTCTATGGAATCCACAAGGGGCTACTTGGTTTTGTTTGTAAATCACTTTCCATTGACTAAAAATTTGAATATTCATTCATTTAGATTGAAACAAAACAGCAAAAAACTTTATTATCTTATTCAACATCTTCATCTTCATCTTCTATCCGAAAAACAACAACGACAACATCATCATTAAATTTCAAATGTCAAATTTGTGGAATGTCATTTCATGCAAAACATACTTATTTATCGCATCTTAAAAAATGTTCAAATCAAAATAGCGTTCAATTAAAACATGTTATTAATTTTGCTTCTAAAGCTACATCGAACATCGATGAAGCGAAATCTATCATTACAACAACAACAACAAAAACAACAGGCACAAATATAAAAAATCGAATTATTAAAATGGAAATACCAAGAACTGAAGATGATGAACAACAACAATTAGTAAAAGTTTTTAATCGAAAAAAAAAGAACTATTTCAATAAGTACTTATTTTTATTATAGGCAATTGCTCTTTCAGCTTCGATTAAATCTGCCTCAGAACCGCCTAATGCTTTCGATATTCTTCAAGCTGCATCAAAAAAATCGAAAACTATAGAGTATTATTCTACTGTTTCTTTTTTGTCTTGAAGTTCTATCTATCGATAAGTTCAATTTTCGAAATTTAGTTTATCAACAAAACCATTGTGGAATGTTTCAATTGACGACAAACTAAAACTATGTTCAACACGTATTTCTTCTCTATGTGAACGCCTTATTACAATAGAACCTTCAACAAATTCATACAGATTTCCTTCCAGTCCTCTTCAAACTATATCCCGAATAAACTTTGGTCATGTCAATTGGTGGAATATAACAACTACTGATCCTCAGGATGATGAAGTAGCAATACGACAATGTTGTTGTTATTATTATTACTATGATAAGCTATTGTTTTTCTTTTCAGATCCCGATGACACAACTAGCTCGAATTCTCGACGATACTGATGATACACAAATGATATGATTTTATTTAACCATAATCTTTTTTTGTACTTTTGTAGGGAATAAAACAAGAAATTTTGATAATATAGAAAAGAAAAGAAAAAAACAAAATAGACATAAGATTCAATAGTCTCCTTTTTTTGTTGAAGATGATGATAGTAGATGTTCATCAGGATAACAATGAGGATGAGGATGATAATGATCGAACAGAAATTTACACACCACCGCCACTTGATACAACAAATGATTTGAATAATAGTGATGAACAAGAAAATGTACATGATAGAAGTAGAAATTCAATCAAGCAACAATCTTTTATTCTATTAGATGATAGTTTTGATCAAGCAACAACTACAAACGAGCCTGCGAATGAGCCAAGTAAATCATGTTATATTTCAAAGGCAATAATAATAATAAATTATGTATTTCAGCTCATAATTATTGGGATCAATGGCCATTAGCCGATAGTGGATTACATGATGAAGAGCATTTAAAACTTTATTCCATACCTGATATTGATATTCCTCCATCTCCTCCACGACAAATTATGTTGTCTCCTATTGATCAAACTTCTACAACTACTGAAAAAAAAATTTTTGATCTATTAAATCTCCCACCATTATTATCAACATCTACTAAGACAAGTAATAGCGAAAGAAAAAAGCCATCAACAAAACGAAAAAGAAAAAAGAAGCCAATGTGTGAATATCGGCCACCATCTCCATTTTCACCAAAACCATATTACAAATCAATGGCAATTGAAGAATTAAAAAGTCATGCCACGCTTTATGGTCTTTCAACAACTCAAGCTAAAGGGCGATTAATTAAAATTCTTGATGAAATTTATAATTTTACACATCAATATGAAACCGACACTGATTATGAATTTGATACAAATGATATTAGCCATGGGAAGAGTTGCTCGAATAAAAAAACTATCTCTCATACTCCACCAACACCAACAATTATTTCTCAAGTTAAAAAACCGAAACAACACAAAGCTGTTCATCAAATGAGTTCTTCCGATGAGAATGATGATAATCCTTTGCCGCCACCATCGTCAGTAAAAAAACAATGTCCAATAGCAATCTTAGATAATGACGACGATGATAATAATAGATCAGACGAGTATGACACAGATCATGAAGGACGTTTTCTTGAACTTACAGTTTATGATCTTTCATCGACAACAACATCCTCGAGCTCATTATCCATTGTTGATACTCCACCTACTAATCTTCCTTCAAATGATGGTCATTTCAGTGGTTCATCAAGTAATTTCATTTTTTCTAATTTTTAATGTACACCTATAATATTGTTCACCTGTCAAATTATAGTAGATCGTTGTTTTTCCTTATCTATTGTATCGTATTAACTAAAATGCAATATCAGATGTTTAACTACACGTACTCCATTGATAGTTTCTTCTTAATCCAATATGAATGTTGCCAATTGTAAGCAATAGATGAAATGAATCTTAAAAATAGTATTATCTAATTGTAAGAAATTTGCCACGAAAACTTAATATCATACAAATTTATTGTATTTATTCAAATGAGTTTAAGCAAATATCTTTATCGGCATATCGTGTTTTTAATCTTGACACTATTTCTTAGACTTATATAACTCTGTAAAAAAAATACAATCTCACATTAGGAAATCTTTCATAGGCTATGACTTTCAATAGATTATGTAAGATTGAAACTGAATCATAAAGCAGCATATAATGAAAAATTATTCATCAATATTTTATAAAAATTTCACACCATTTAAGATAAAAGAGATATAGTATTAATTTTTGTTTAGAATTATACATCGAAAATTGTTCTCAAGCAAAGAAACCTATAAAATCAAAATCTAAAGCAAAACCATCAACACCAACATTATCTTCCGATTCCGATGCAATACCAACAAAAAAACTGCAAAAAAAGCCAAAATTACAAACTCCTACAATTCCTTTAAAACAAATTGTTCGCACTTATATTGAATCGAATTCAAGTTTACACGCACGGATACTTTGCTATGAACCAATTGATTTCGAAGAATTTCATAAACAAATAAAAACAGATCTTAACATTAGAATAGCCTCGAAAGAATTAATGCATTGTCTCGATGATCAATGTATTACTTTCACATTGCGTTCCAGAAAAGGTGCTTTTACTAATGTTATGCGTGCTAAACGACGACACCAATAGTTTCTTTGTTTATATTTTTGTGATCTTATCAATAAATCTAGTCTTTCTAATACGCGGGGAAAATCCCCAAGAATTAATGAGTAATAAACTGTGCATTATTTCAGATGTCGACAACAACAATCACGACAAAGAAAGAAAAAAATGAAGATCAATTTGAACTTGAGCAACAATTTGTTCTTCGAATGCCACCGGTAACTTTCAACAATTGAATTATTTATTTTTAATTATCCTATTTTGTTTTTGAAGGGTGAACATGCAAACCGTTTACACGATTTAATTGAATGTGGCGATGAAAAAATTCGCGAACGTCTTTTCATCGATTTAAATCCTGAAAGAAGACGTGGTCGCGTGAAATTTGATGATACTGTTTTTAAAGCTACACTCTACGATTTACCCTGTATAACTGAAACATACAAAACATTTGATCGTAAGACTTTATATAAAATAGCTGATGTTGCTCAAGTAAATATAAATTCTGACTTATTCTGAAACTGAATTGAAATTAAATCTTAGGTTCTTGTTTGCCGACTACCGGGTGATCTTAGTTCGAGTGATGATGATGACGACGATGACGAAACAGGAAAACGATCAAACACAAATGTAACAACAATATCTGATGGCGGAAATGAGAAGAAAAAGAAAGAAAAAGACAAAGAAAAAAAATTTCAATGGCCACATGGATGTATGAATTTATTGAAATAAATCAAATTATTTGATTTGTTTTACTTAATAATTTATAGTAACACCACCATTAAAAAATGTAAGAAAACGTCGTTTTCGTAAAGTAGCTCGACAAAAAACACAAGATCGAGATGAAATGGAACAAGAAGTCCGACGTTTATTTCGGTATGAAATTCCATTTTTCAGTTTGATTTTAAGACAATAAACCAATGAATTATTTTATCGTTAAAGAGCTGATAATGAAGCAATTGATGTCAAGTGGGAAGTAATTGACGATGATCAAGAAATAGAAGTTCATAAACCGATAGATAAAGATCCACCCGGTAAGAGGAACACGTGGAACCTTGTTTTGCTGTTTTTATTAATTTATTTATTATTTATCTTTTTTTTTAGAACATACTGATCTATTTGGTGGTGCTGTTAGCGAATCGGATGAAGAGGAAACATCACAGAAAGGTTTGCAATAGATCTAGAATCAGCATATAAATATTGACCATAGTCGATGTTTGGATTGAAAAATCGTATTAGAAATTTTTATTCAAACATACCCAGGTTGATCAAAACGGACTCGTTTACAGTCTCCCAGGTGAAAGAAAACGGTCTGAAACGGCATAAAAACGATGTAAAACATTAAAAAACGGCGCCGTTTCCCGTCAGCTCGGAAAACGAAGAGAATAGTGTTAAAAGCGATGGCCGTTTTCTAGCAAAAACAAACGGCCCGTAAAACGAGCTGACGGATTACGGCGAAATAGGGTGAAAATGAATGCCGTTTTATAGCCGTTTCAGGCCATTTCCGATGGCCTTTCAGATGGCAGGATGATCCTCCTGGGCTGTTTATCGACGGTAAACAATGTCAAAACGGTATATTTACGGCAGTAAATAGGCCGTATTTGCCCGTAATACCTGGCACAGTAATACAGCACCGTAAACGGGACTGAATTTTCATGGTTTACGGCTGTTTGTGCTCCGTACTCTCATGATCATACGGTCCGTATTGCTGCGCCAGATATTACGGCAAATTTTCGCTAGGAAAATAGTCGTAAAGTAATCGTAAACGGCCGTATACGGACCGAATTGCTCGACCTGGGTATATTAGATGTTCCGATGCCACTGCTGTCAACATCAAGATATGTGTTTAGTAATTAATAGTCACATGCAACAGGCAAAATATAGAAAGATATTAGTCAATCATTAATATTGTCTAATTAGAAAATTAATTAATAATTTTACTATGAGTGACACAAGCGTTCTGACTGCTTATCACATTGTTTCTTTTACTTTTGTGTTGTGAATTTGCCACTGTTCCATTGGTATTCTTGATTTATTAGACTATAAGTTTTAAATATAAAGAATAAGTGACACCGAATAACTTATTTTGCTGAGTACTGATACTGATTGCTCAGGAAAAAATAATAGAAACTATCTTATCGAAAAATAATAATGCTCCAAGATGGTCAATCAAGTTTGTGACTATGTTCTTTGTACTTTGTATACAAGTAATGCGCTTTGAGTTTAGGATGCAATTCAGTCTTCTTTCTTTTGCTTATGATTTTAGGAATCCGAGTATGTCTTCCTTTTAGTATTATTAGTCTTTGAAAAATCATTACCAGATATCCTAGTAGATTTTACGTACATAAAATGAGGGAACGAGCGAGTAAGTTTACAACTTTAATTTAAAACCTTCTGCGCACTCCACATTTTGTATGAGAAATAATCTAGATGCAGAAAAAAGTCATCAATATATGGGCAAATGTTTTGCCAGAAGAATTGTATATTTCCCATCATTTGTAATGATTTTTTGGCAGAATTTCGGTTAAATATTTTTCTGATTTGAGCATCTATACATTGTTTAGACAATCGCCTTTTTCTACAGACATGAACGCATTGAATTCAACGCCATAGTACACTAATTAAAAAACAACGGATATGAACGCATCTTCATACAATATTTCTCAAACCCAGGTCGAACATTCCGGCCACCGGATCCCGTAGGATACTCCAGGAAGTATGCGCGAAAGTCACCATATCCTGCAGGAAAACACGGGAAATAGCTGGAACATGGAAGCAGTATTCCGGTAAAAAATACGGCCGAACTTTTCGGGCGCTTTCCGGCAGGAGTTGATCGGAAATCATCGGGAAAACATCCGAAAATTTTCCAACCGAATTACTGCTTCCACAAAATCAACGGAACTACCCGGAACCGGCCGTTTCCATGCCGGACTCTTCGACCTGGGTAACTGTCTCTGTACATACATAAAGCGCTGGCACAGGCGGCGCTGTGATTCGAATTTTATACGTAGTTTTTTTTGTAAAAACTGTAGAAAAAGATTTTATAACGTAGTTAGCAAGTCTAGGAATCATTAGAATGTTAAAAAATGGTTAAACCATGAAAATTCTTTTCACTATGAAACACATTGTTTGAATCAAAGATATTACGAGGCTCAGTTAAGACAAAATATTTTTGAAAACAACGCTTTTAGAATGTTGAATGTTTCATCTAGAAATATCTTTCAAAATCGTTAGAAATATCGAATTAATGTTGATACAATTTTTTTCTCTTAGTAATCTGCATAGATAAATGCCCACAACCCACGAATCGAATAGAAGACCTATAGCTTTATTTTTGTTATTATGTATTATCTTCAATAACTGTAAAAAATAGCTCAATTGTTCCAAATGATGTTGGTCTTATTATAGGGTGTTCTAATTTCTGTCCTGTGTTTTGAATAGTTTGATTTTGTGCTTTACTGTGGATGCTTGTATGCTATGACCAATTGCACTTTTCTAGAATTTGTATCTTGGTTCATTTTTTACGGCATCAATATGACTATACGCCTATTGTCAAAACTAACTAGTCTTATATTAGAAACAATCTTTTTTTATGAAGAAAAACTGTTTATTAGCAGGAAATATTTTCAGTGGATCAACGAATTCGAATCTATTTTTGGATATTTCTGGATAACATTTTTCGCTAGACTGTAATCTAATATGCTGAAATCAGAAAAAATAGATAGAAGATGTACATTTCCTCTTAGAAATTGGGCAAATCTATAGCTTCTATGTGATGACATTTGTAGCCCCTAACAGAATATATCCCCTGTTTCTATGCTCAAATGGTCTATCTAAATACATAATAATATTTTAGAGTCATTTCATTGTCTTTATCCATCGTTAGTTTCGTTTGCAACGTTTTAAAAGAAAGTATTTAACGTGAGTCTTATTTAATCCTTTTAGAAAATATACTACCATATCCATTATGATTATTCCATTACCGTTGTCAGCTTAACTGATATGTAAGAACTCTTTTTCAATTTTTAATGTATATGTAGCTCCTGTCTTCATTCATATTGGTTGGTATAGAGAAGATATTGAGTTAGATCTGTTTTTGAAAAAAACATCCAGATCTGCTATATTAATCGACATATTCGTGAGGCAATGCTAGATTATAGTTATGTTGTTATGCATGAGGTGCCTCCCGAAGGTCTATATATATATATATATACGAATATGTACTCTGTGTTCTTGTTCTTTTCATTATAGGAATGCACCTGTTATTTTGGTGATCTGTTTAACTACTAAAAATTACCGATATAGCCTAGGAGAACAGCAAGGTTTTGAGCTACACACATTCTACATTAGGTACTAACTATTTTACAGAATATTTCCCTTTTTAATCTCTTCATTGGGTGTTAAGTCTGTATAGATGTAAATAAAAACTTTCATGTTCACTAACGAATGAAACTTAACCAAAAACTTTTAACAATCTATGAACTTTAGAAATCTTCTAAAAAATTCTATTTCTTTTTCTCATCATAGAGTTTTAAATAATTCTCATTAAAGAGGAATTTTCTTCTATGGAATATATTAGATCATAATTTTACTTGCTCTGTATTATGTTGTCTTCTTCAATAAGTCTGTACTCAGCAGAATACGTTCGGTGTCACTAATTCATTTATATTTGTTTTTACGCTATTGGAATCATATGATGTACACCAAAATTAAACAGTGACTCCTTCTATTTGAACGATATAAATGAGGTAACTGACGACTTTTCGACCTTATTACATGGAAAAAAATTTCTGATTGAATATGTTCGAGATGTTTTTTTTTAATATAATAAATTTGTCAGTTGAATTTGAAATTTTGCAAGTTTTTATGCAAAGTTTATCGTTAAGTCATCAATATAGAACTTTCGATTCAATGTTACTTTGAGAGTTTTATATTTGTTCTGTTCGTAATAGGCAACATTGCTCGACATCTATTATAAGTGTTACCGCTGGATTATTAGAAGATTTTATTCCTTTATAATGGATAAAATTTTGAGGTTGTATATAGGCCAGTTTTGAATCTCTGTAAAAGTTTTTTTTTCACGCTTATTTAATAATCTATTTTTAACTCTTACAATAAAAAGATTGATTTTATTTAATAGTTTCATTCCTAATATTAATTCATTTGATCACCTAAAAGATATTCGTTAGATTTTTGGTTAGAGAAATAGACAATTCACTGGGTTCTTTTCGTTCTTTGTCCTTTACATACATGTTATTTTTTATCATTAACTATCCATGTTGTATAGATGTCAGGATACTATTACTTTTCATATCAAGAATTGCGATCAGAAATGATCCAAAGGGTGGACCTGGAGTGTTTGGGGAGTTGCTCGCATGGACACGGAAGTATCTTAGCGAGCAAATAACTTCGACCCACGTAAACGTTTTTAATGTTAGAAGTGCTGATCCATTTTTTTCGAAGACGAGGAAGATGAAATGAAGGTTGTTTTAATCGTTGAAGTTCTTTCTAAGTTAAATCCTTTCTTGGACAATAAATAATGAGAAAAGCAAAAGTATCCGTTTGAGAAAAATTGCGTATGTATGTGTCTCGTAGTTTTGATCAAACTAAAATTCTTGTGAGCATACTTACTTTTTGCATCGGCCATCTCAGTGTGTATATCTTACTATTTCTACTCATGTATTAAAAATCGGAGAAAAATTGCGATCATTTGCAAAATCTTCGGTTTACCACCGGGTTGTTTTATGGTCACATTGATTGAGTCGTCTTTTATAACCATGAAAAATTTAGAGTAAAAATGTAATCGTTTGTTTGAATGCAATACTTCTGAAAACAAGAGTGTACCTTCTTTCCCAAAAGGTTTACGTTTACGGTGTGTAGGTGTTTTTTTGCGACTATAGGTGCAATTCTCTGTCAACCTTTAAGGTGCAATAAACAAAATGATTGTAGATTTTAGCGTGAGATGTCAGATTATTGTGTAAGTTTATTATGAAATATCTGTCTCGTTTACTGATTCTATTATATCCGCGAGAGAAGAATAGCACTCATTTGACTTTACTACTTCGTATGCACATGATAAATGTCATAATATTTTTTTTTCTTCAGAATAGAAGATTGAATGGCGAAAGTATGATTTTGAATTTTTTCCTAATGTATTGCAGAGTTCATCAATAGTTTCGTAAAATGATCACAGTTCAAGAAAAACAAATAATACTGAAATGAATCATGATCGAGTAAACTTATTCTTAATAATACAGTTCCTTGGATCGATCCAGGATTCAAACGAATAAAGTTCATACTCAATTATGATCTGATTATTGTAAGACTACAGTTGAAAATGCTTGAAAAAAGTTAATTCGTGCTATACGCTCAAAGTTATGTTTATGATAGCTGCGAAATGACAAGTAAATTCAAAATAAATAAAAAAGACTTAACGAAAAATGCTTTAATATGGTGTCGGTCTAGGCCAGAAAAACATCTAATGCCCTATGTTTGACAACATACGATCTTTCGTTGTCTGAAGACGTTTTCTGAAAAGTTTTTTGTTAATGGAACTTGAAATTTTAATTTAGATATGGTCGAACGTCATCCAGCTGCGCATTCTGTCGATCAACGAATGGATTTTGAAGGTTTATTTAGCGGTGATATGTGCGAATTAAGTAATATGGACGCAGCATCACAAATGAATCCAACTGAAGAAGACAATACGAGTCAATCTAACTGGCAGCAGCACGATGACTTAAACCTCGATGAGAATACTGCAACTGGTGGTTTATCACAAGAAACACGAACAAAATTAGACGAATGTCAAAATGAATTAGATCGTTTAAATGTCGAAAAGGCGAATATTAATGCGCGATTAACTGGAATGAATAATCCAGGACTTCGAGTAAATATTGATTGAAACTTTTTTATTCATTCAAATTGATAATAATAAAATCTTTTAGAATCTATTAATAACAAAAATGAATTCAATTCAATCAGAAATAGAACGTGCGCAAATGGAGGTTAGATTTTCTATTTAAATCTTTTCATTTCATTATCAAATACATTTTTTTCTGCTTTTCTAGTACGATCAATTATCAACGATGTAATATAAACCGCCCATTTATTTTTCTTTATTTGTACATAAATAAAATAAACAAAGAAAAAAAACACCATTGATTATGTATTTGCCATAATCTTCTTAAGAATATCTTTAAAGTTGTCCGTAAATGTTTCTGAATGAGAAGCAAGCGTTTGTTTCAATTGATGAATTTCAATTTGTGATGATTGTTGTTTGATAACAAGTGCGAACGCTGTTTCATATTGATTACTTGTTGATAGAACAAAATGGCTAAGACTAAAAATAAATAAATCAATTAAATAGACTTAAACAAGAAAAGAAGTTATTCAAAAATATGTTTACTTTTCAATTTTAACTTGTCCTAATGGTTGATATTGATCTTTAGTTAAATCCCAATATTTTATATATCCTTGAGAATCGTGAGCGAAAAATACACTGCCACGACATGTAGACCAATGACAACTAAGAACTATTGATGATGAACGAAACGCTTGTGGCCAAGTTAAAATTGGTTCGTCTAGAAATAAATCATGAAAGATTTTGTTCCTAATCTTTAAACACTCTTCCTAAGTGTATCAGTGAAAGGACAGCTGAGTCTATCATGTTGTCATTGAAATATAGATTTATGAAGAGATCTAATCGCGATTCTTTTCATTTTTGTGAAGTTTTAAACTACTTTGTAGAATAAAAGACAATAGTGTGCCAAGCATAACCGAGTTTCAGTACCAAGTGAATCAAGGATAATCAAACACGATATTTATTCATGTCTTACACAAAAGAAAGGAACTAGATGATTATTTGATTAAATTTGTTAATAGTGCGTCTATTTATCTATAATTAATTTCTTTTGCGTTCGTTCATTCATTCCGTATCGTATTTCTCTAATACATAAACTAGTATCTATGACTCTACACAAAATACTATGATAAAACGAAAAACAAAGCATCCAGAGTTCTGATGTCCTTTAATGCCTAATTTTTTCTGTTTGGTACTCATTGAAGTATACGTATCTCTTCTAAAACTCATGTGATGGAGAGTATGAGGTTCTGGTAGAAAATATGAAAATCTTATTTTGTTACCTCGCCCTGTCGTATATAAATTCAATTGTCCATGACCTGTTCCAACAAGAAGTAATTTGCTCATAAGTGGATTAAATGATAAACATGTTACTTCAATTTGTGAGCCTAAAATTTAAAATAAATAATGCAAAAAGTTATTCCCAATCAATGATTATTTTGTATATAAAATGACCTAGATCAGACGAAATTCGCAGTTTGGCTGGGGACCCCATTTCTCCATATCGTGTCATATGATAAACAGCATTCTAAGAAAATTGAAAATTAATATCTTTCAATCAAAATAAAATAAACATACAGCATTGCTAGCAACATAAAGATTATCAAAGTCACTTGATGGACATGAAAGATCGTATGCTTGAATTGAATCTCTAAATAAACAATTGACTGGAATATATTTGAAAAAAAAAGGATTTTCTCATTCTGACCTAGCCATATGAATCGATTGTTTTATTTGAATTGATGATGTTTGAGTCATTCGAACCCTTCCACCTGGTTTAAGACCTAAGTCAGCTATAGATCCAGCTTCATCCGATTGCATTAATTCAACAACCGACTATATAAAAAAAAGAAATATATATATATGTACAGGACTAACCAAGAAACATGATTTCTTCATTGTTACCCAAATAATAATAAGTCCATCTCGGTCCAGTGAAGCCAAAGAAAATGAATTCATTGATCGATCATTTTTATTTGGCACACTTTTTATATAAATATTCAATCAGATATAAACGGAAGTTTTTTTTAAAAGTACACAACAACAGACTCACTTACCTTGTTGTTCGTAGTGGTAGTACGCGAATAACTTCATTGTAATGACGATCGTTAAATTGTATATTTGCTGAAAAAAGCTTTGCTTAATTTTCATTGTGATCCTTTATTTTAAATTCTTTACCTGTGGAAAATGTTGGACTACTTGGCATAGGCTTTTGCGAATCAGTGCGATATTTATTTGGCTCACTTGTATCAAATAAAACCACTGATCCATCTTGCTGTAAATAAAAAGAGCGTTCATACTTAATAGAAATGAAAAACTAATCCATTTACACATCCAGCAAATATATAAACCATAGATGAAGAACAAGATCGAATCGTTGCTTCACAACTTAATAATCTCAAAGGTTTTGAAGGATCTCGTACATTATAAATTGCACCATAACTTGTTGTATGAATCTAAATATTGAATAAAAAGAAAACAGAAATAACTTGAAATAAGAAAAAAAAATTAAATAATTTAACGGACTGGTTCATAAAACACTGCTACTTGTTCAGGTTTGTCTGAAAAAAAGCAAACAGCGGCAACCGATACTGCTGTAACAAAAAGACATGAAATGAGATTCAATAAAAAAAACTTTTATTCATTTTGTTCCTACCTGGTTTTAATGAAAGACCTGGAAGAATAGTAACTCCAGATGAAAAGCTCAGATCTGACTCCTGTTGCATTCCATCTTGTTCCTTATCTTTTGATCGTTTAGACTTTGATTTCACCTCACCTGTTTGCTGTTTATCAAGTAGTGCAAACATAAGCTAAAATATTCACACAAAAAAGTATTATTTCATGTTTTCAATTATTCTTTTGTTTACTTTTCCAGCATTAATAACAAATGTTTGATATCGTGCAAGGTCAGTTTCTAATCTAAGCATACGTAGTAGGTCTTCGTTTTCACGTGTTTTATTGATATCTGTTAATTATATTTTATTTTCAACAAAAGAAATGTTTCTTTTCTTTTTATTAAATTAACCTGAGAGTTGATTTTCACTATTTGTACTTCCGCTACCACATGCTGTATGCTCACTTTCACTGGGATGTTGTGTCCACATTGATCGTGTGTCAATTTCATCTGTTTGAGATTGAACATGTTCAGCATCATCATTTGTTTGCACTTTGACGTTAGCTGTCCAACTATTAGTATCGGTACTAATCTCATTTGATGACTGATTATTATTATTATTTAAACGAATGTCTCGCATATAAGCAGCATGAGCTGGCATCGGTGCCATATCAAGTATATTAAATGCTTGTCGATCAAGTTGAATTAAACGAGATAAATCTTTATAACGGCGTCGAATACGATCAGATAAATCATGAGATTGAAAACGACGTGAACTTGTATAAACTTGAGCATTGTCATTACCACTAGACGAAGTATAGTTTTTTGTTGGAGGTGACTAATAAGATGCACAAAGAAAAAGACAAAACAAGAAGTCCGTTATTTTTGCCAAAACAATTGAAAAACAGTGTGTACCTCGTTATAAGTTGTACGAGATTTTTCTTCTTTGTACGATGTAGATTTCTAAAATTACAATGTTTTTATGACAATGATATGAACAGTGCCGACTGCAAATATATTCATTAGAGTTAGTATAGAATCGAAACACTATGTGAAACTCTTCTTCCACATGAAAACGTTTCCTGGATACGCAATGCCATTTTATGATACTTTATGTTATATTTTTGGCACTGCAACATAACTCGATATTTAACAGTTTAATAGATTCTCTTCAGAAAACTTAACAAAAATGATTTTACTCTATTGGATTCCTATGAACCATCAGTTCAAACAAATTCATTCATAAAATATGACTGCCTATCTACGCGAATTGGTTGTGTGACTCATAAAATAAATAATCAAATTCTAAAGAATGATCTAATATCGAAGTGAACTCGAACAAACAAAACAGCTAAGAAGATGGAAAGTTATCTCAAAAAATATAAGTATATATAGCTTATCAGTAAATCTTCATTTGCTTGAAAAAAAAAGTATTGAATTTCAAAATGAAGCAAAGAAAAGAGGCAATATTGATTTACCTTGACTGGTGGTGCAATAGGTTCATCATCAAAATCATCATCATAGTTCTATAAAGGAATATTTTTGAAAGTTAACTTAAACGTAAGAATCAAACCTGCTCGAAATCATCACTATAATTGTCATCTTTTTCGGCGGGTTTATTTTTCTAGAAAAAAATTAAAAATAATAAAAATTCAAATATTATTATTGAATTTCTCTAAAAAATGGATACACACTAACATGTTTGGTTGGAGGTGGTACTGGTGAAGTTGGCTTTGATGAATCTAATATTGGTGATTTAGCTCGAGATGACTGAAATTTTCAAAAATTAAAATAATATCGTAATAAGAATCTACTTACTTTATGCTTTCGACTACCATCGTTTTCTACATCACGATTCTTTTAAAATGAAACATAAAATATTTTAATTATTAAATTAATGATCAACTTACTTTTTCTTTTCGCCGACGTCGTTCTTCTTCATATTCTTCTTGTTCACGTTTTAACCTTTCCTCTTCTTCAAGTTGTTTACGTTGTTGTTTTTTTCGTCGTCGACGTTCTTCTTCATCTTCAGCTAATGCTATAGCATCTTCATCAACATAATTTGTTTTACTACTCGACTTAGATTTCGATTTCTATCAAAGAACAAACAAACAATCTAATCGAATTTCTTCTCTAGAATGCTTACGTCTCGATGGCGTGATGCCGACACGTCTTGGTCATTAGTTGTTGATCGATGATCTTTTGAACTTCGTCTGCGCCTTTCTTCTTGGTCATCAGTTGTCGATCGATGATCTTTTGAACTTCCTTTATGTCGTTCTTCACGACTATCACCCTAGAAGAAATTAACTTTCAGCAAATGATGAAAATTTAGAACATGATAGGAATATACTTTGCTCGAGTGTTTGGTTTTACTTGAATCACGAGTCTAAAAATAAAGTTAACAAACGATTATTTTACTTTTTTAAAGAAAGGAAACCTAGTCCTTAATTTAATCGTTTTTCTTCTATCGAATATTATGTTTTGAAAGTGGCCATTTTTCTGAATCAAAAATACATTTTATATTTCGAAAAATTTGATTGATATTAAGAAAGAAACACTTTGTCTGATAAAAATTAATTAAAATTCAAAATTCATACCTTTTTACTCGACATTTTTCATAAAAGAAAACAGCTGTTAGCAAATAAATCAGCCATCGCACTCTGTCATGTTCTTTCTGATACTAAGTAATAGCCTCGATCGTTCAATATAATGCCGAATGCATAAGTGACCTCAACTGTCAAAAAAAAACACTATTGTGGCTTTATCTGATTGGCTCATATTTGAATCAGCTTTGTAACCATTCAGGTAACATTTTAGTTCGTTTGAATAGGTTTAGAAGAAAATAAAGCGTGCCCAAAAAATTAGTCAACCGTAAGAAATACTTGACTTCTACATGTTAGTCAGACCAAAAAATCCTTTTTTCTTTCATAGTAAACATATACTTGTATTGTATTTATTCTTCAGTAAAGTATGAAAAAGACGAGTCTTTGGCTTTGGCGTAGAAATGGAGTATTTGTCGATTACTTTCAACGCATGGGCTCTTCCATTAATCGACAGCTTTCGAAACTATGCTTTACTATGTGTTAGCAGATTATTTGATCATAATTTTGTCAAGAGACTTTGTCCTCTCATGGAACATTCCGTTCAAGACTTCATTTTTTCAGTAGACCTTAATTTGGAGTTTTTCAACTCAAATCTATCTTATGTACAATCAAGATCCGAAAAAATGTTAACTTGTCCCGAAAGTCTGCAAAATGTAAATATACTTTTTCTTTGCGATTTCAATTGTTAACAAGCTCTACATTTTACATAACAGTATCAAAACGGATACATCCAGATTTTAGAAAATTTATATTTCTGAGATATTAAAGGAAAAAATTCTGAAACTTAACAGAAAATTTAGGTTCTTTCAGTTTTTGACTGCTGTAGAAATTACATCTAAAATTTTAAAATGAATATTCTATTAAAAAGAATGAGTCCTATAGCGAAACAATAAAATATCCTAGTCCAATTTCTACAATAAGAGGGAAAATTCTGCAGTTTATTATGACCAGATAGTCCATCATTATTTGGTGAAATAAAGTGTTGAAAACTGAGAATAAAGGGAACTCATCCTTCGTTGAAAGCAACTTCGAATGACTATATTGCATGGCTAAAACTAATAGGAAAATCGTTCCTTCGAATAATTTTGATCGAAAACTAGATTTTTAAAGCACGTCGTATAAAAAAGTATTTTGGTGTTATTTTCAGAAAAAATTACTATGACATCACTTGATTTACACTTATTAACTATTGTACTTGGTGTGATATTTATTTTCTTGGGTCATATGAAATTGACACCACAGTTTTTTCCTGAATATCATTCGCAAATACGTAATGAATTCGGTAAACTAAATAAAGAATTTCCATTATTTCATTTAACTGGTTGGCGTCCTTATGCAAAAAATTATCGTATAGGCGTAGGCATAGCTGAAATGTCTTCAGGAACTTTATTACTACTTGGTGGAGGTTTGTAAATACATTTTCACAATACAAGTGATTAATCAAAAGTCTTTTCTTTAGCCTTCTCACAATCTATGTCCAACGTGGTGCTACTTGTGATAGTAACAAGCTTCCTAGTTGCGTTTCAAAAATTAAAGTATGGTACTGAATATATAGTTGCAGCTATATTTCTTGCGTTTTTACTTGTGTTACGACTGATACTAGCTTCAAGATCAAAGAAAACTCGAAATCCTACAGGTGCCAGACGAAAGGTGGAAAACAAAGTTGAATAAAAGTTATTTATTTCGAAACATTTATTTCTACGCTTTAATGTCTTAATGTTTTCTTTTCGTTACTGCTCTGTTGTCTTTTCATTTTGTTAGACTTTTGATTTGAATTCTATGGATAAATATGCATACATGTGTCTTTTATATCCAATGAAGAAATTAGTTGAATCTGTGGTGATCATTATTACCTGTTCATTTTATGCTTTTTTTGTGGTGTTCTTATGAAATAAAGCATATAGGAAGTGTTTATTTTTATTATTTGTGTGAGATTTCGTCTGAGAAATGCCATGATTACAAGCGACATGATAAGTAATGACTATTACCTTGGCTAGCACAAGCATATGATATCAATTGATGTAGAATCTATAATCATGCTGGTTTCGGATGAGGTAAAATATCAGAGCCAGAACTGATCGACTTGATAAATGTATTACTAGATTGATCTCTTTGTCAGGACATTATATGCTTTCTTACTTATGTCAAAAGTACTCCATTTGCAATGAAAGATTAATAGCTTGTAACAGTTAACACATATCTATAAATGGTAACATCAATCGAATAGTTAGAAGAGTCATATCTGATCTGTTTATCAATGTTGAACTAAAATTAGTAGTCGATCGATCCGAGGATGTGATAGAAGTAAAATGAATTGCATAAAAGTTTCTCTGCTATCAATCGATTCAAAACACCAATAATAAGTTGAATTGTAAAGATTGACATTTCTCTCCCAGTGTATTCTGAATAGTCTATAGATTGTGTCTCTTCAACAAAAGAAATACGTTTGTTAGGATTTAAATTTTTAATGAACTTTCAAATATAAATTGAAAAAAAATTATTACAAATATTTTAAGCACTACTCTTTAAAACCTTATTTTTCAATACGCATACTAATCTAATAGTAGGCCATTTCCGAGATGCTCACTAACAACAACTATACTATCCTTGTACAACATCTGTTAGTCATAAAATTGATGCAGAAGTAGATCTAGTTTGGTCGGTTTGTTAAAAGAGTTTTGAAAAAAAAAAGATTTTATTCTTCGATAGATCAACAATTGAAAATTAAATAGAAAAATGAATTCATTTTCGGCACTTTGTTCAATGAGATATTCATGACTGAGATGAGGACATGGAGAGAAAGATTAAAGTATAGGTGAATATATAATTCAAACAACAACAGAAAAAAAGATAAAAGCAATTCTAATCTATCTAAATATTATTAAGAATTATTATAGGCGAAAAGAAATGACAAAAAGAAAACGAAGATCGATTGCTTCATTTTATTCGTAATCACTAACACGATGAACAGATCGTGAACGAATTAATGTTGTTGTAACCATTTCAGCACGTTCTTCGGCATCTTCAAGTTCTCGTTCAAGACGACGAGCACGTGTTAATACTAAAATAAAATACGTATTACATATTCAACTCATTTATGGAGTCTTTGTTTTCTTCGTTTAAATATTTACCTTGCGCAGCCGATGATTCAGCAGTTTCTATTTGTGATTTATAAATACGCATTTTATCATTAACTTTACTTAATGATTCTGTAAGTGAAAGAACTTTTGTTTGTTCTTCATCAATTTGACTTAATAAATCTTTAAGACGTTTTTCATTACGACGTAAATCCTTAAGAAGTTCTTGATAACGGCCGCGTTCTAATTCAAGTTCTGTTTCAAGTTGTGCAAGCTATTGAAATAAAATTAAAATTAAAATTTATTTGTTTCAATAAAGACAAGCAATCAAAAACAAAACATACTCTTCCTTCATATTTAGCAGCAGTACGTTTTCCTTCAGCTCGTGCATATGCTTCAGCTTCATCAATTTTTGCACTACAATCACGTAATTGTTGATCTAAGGCACGTTTCGATGCTTCAGCTTCAGCAGTTTTTTCACGTTCATGACGAATTTCTTCATCACGATGAATCAATTCAGCACATAATTTTCGTGCCTAAATAGAATTAAATAAATATATAGTATCATTTGCAAAAAGAAGCAACTTTTTAACGAGCTACTGATCAATATCATCATACAAGCATTTTTTGCTATAATTATTAATTATTATGAAACAAAAACAAGAAATTTCACAAAACGTTTATACGTCTGACGACTAGATATTCTTATTCGACTTGGTCTATAATAATTTTTGAAAAGAAATTTGAAAGAGATGTGTTCTATTAGATGAAGCATAATATCATACAATATACATATCATTCATCAAAACTCAAATGACATCCAGATGTTAACCAAGGTTTAGTTGATTGATGAATGGCGCGCGATTGACTAGTTAGTTTCTAATTCGAATCGAACGAACTATTAAAATAGTTTGTTTTCAATAACCACTGATCTATTCGAAAAGTTCTTATGTTCCTATGATTTGAACCTTAATCTGAAAGCATATCGACCCCGACGTATAAACCTTGACAAATGATAAATACCTTTGCAGATGAGTCTTGCTCGTATTCTGTCGACCTTACACTAACACTGGAAAAGATCATAAATATGGTGGCCATTCTTAAATTATTCTCAATCAACTATGTCATTTTTATCAAGTTGTTCTACAAAAATAGCATATTAATGTTTTCATAGCATTCAAAATTGAATTCTGACTTTCAAAATAGCCAAACTCATTAATAAAGTTGGATGATTTTAACAAGATGCAATGATCTACTATAATCTAATGCTGAGATTATAAATATTAGAAGAAAATTTGCTTTTCGACATAAGAAAAGTTTATTTTGAAAATTTTCTTAAAAGGGAAAACGATATTTTCATTGAAAAATAAACTTACTCAAATGAGTATAACGCAGACATAAGTTCGCTGTGACTCTTTCTCGCATCAATAGACTCTATCCAATAAAATAATAAACATCACCACCACAAATTATCGTTTGACAAACTATTCTTCTGATTATTTTGCCAAACGTAATATCAGAAAGAATGAAATTTTCTCGACAAAGAAATAATAAATCAATGGAAATATTCGATTAGTTCGATAGTTGATTGTTTTCTTTATTCGTAAGTATCTAAAGACATTTTATACTTACTCGTTCATCTATAATTTTGAGTTCTTGTCGGATGTCAATAATTTCTCCTTGATATTGTATGGCATCGGCTTCAAATTTCTTTCTCTCTGCAATAGCACGATTGGCAAATGATGTTGCTTCGGCTAATCGTTGCTCAGAATCATGTAATTCAAGTTCAGTTGTTTTACGAGCTTTATCACTCTGTGAAAAAGAAGCAACAAAACATAAATTCAAATATGCGAATGAGATCAAGTTAAACATACACGTTCAAACAATACACGAAGTTCTTCGATTTCACCGCGAAGACTACCTAAATGAAAAATATTGATATTATGTTAATGTTGATAAAATGAAATTTATACCATTTCGTTTTTCAGCAGCACTAAGTGCATCTCGTGTTGTTTCATGTAATGTTTGTTCTTCCGCAAGCCGATCTTGCGCTTCTTTAATACCAACTTGGAGTTTTTTAAGGTGATTTTCCAATTCAGCTTTAACTTTTTTAAGTGAATCATAATGATGACGAATTTCATCGATTTCTGCTTGAAATTTCGATTTAAGTCGACTAATATCTGTTTTATAACGCACTTCAATTTCTTCGATTTGTGATTGCATTTGTTCCAATTGTCTTCGATGGCTCACTCTAAATATATTTGTGCATATTCAGTACGATAGAAAAGCAAAAGTCAGTTAGTATTATTTTCTTACCGAAGTAGATCGAGTTCTTCTTCTTTTTCAGCAATTCTCTTTTCAAAATCAGCACGAAACTTTTCAATTTGACTACTTAATGAATTATATTTTGTTATTTCAATGTGTAATTGTTCTCGATATTCATCAATTGTTGATCCTAATGATAACTTTTCGGCTTCGAGTTGTTTACGAAGACGGTCCAAGTCGATTATACGTGTATTTAAGTCGGATATTTGATTCAGTGCTACATCGAATTCGTCTGGAAATAAGAAACAAAACATGTGTATTACATTAAAGTCGATAAATTAACCTAGATTCTCAAAATGAAAAAATGATGAAGAATTACAAAGTATCAGTATGAGAAAATTTTTGAATTCGCCCCATACGAAGTTTATGAATGGTTGACTTAGGCATAATGTTTTAAAAAGAATCTATTCATACAGGACTTGAGTATCGATTGAGTTTGATAACTCTGATGTAGAACTGAGCACGAGAGACTTTCTGATCAAGATTGAAGGATAAAATATATTCTTTGAGAAGAAAAAGTTAAAACATATTTAGCTACTTTATATTTTAGATAAATCTTTTTGATTTTAACTATCACGATTCTTTAACATGACTGTTTTTTAACTTAAGCATCAGAATGCAAATTTTTGACTAAAACTAGTCCAGACTACATGCACAAACTTAGACTACAATCATCAGATAGCTTTCGGAATAGTTGTCGCTTATAGAGAGAATGGCACACCTCTCTCAGATTTACCACGTAAAATATTCTTTTCATAGGAAATATTTGATGATCGAAACTAGAAAATTTCCACGCACAGATCTATTCAAATCTCAGCCTTTAGAATATTATATGAATCTATATTCTCAGAAAATCCGAAACGCTATTGATTGGCAAATTAAATTATTCAATAAATGCAGTACCGTTTCGTTTTTGACTATTATTACATTCATGTAATATATAATTGTATTAGAAACAATATCAAATCTAATTTTACACATAGTATATCATTCTCAGAGACCAAAAGAAAATAATTGACATACTCAATCTTTTATGTGATGAATTCCCAAATTTCAGTAGTATCGATCAGACGTTAACTTTTATTTTCTTCAGATCACTATTGGAAATCATTTTTTCGATCATTGAGGATAATATATAAATCTTAATTTTCATATTTCTTTCACTTCCTCATTCTTCTTCGTTCTTATTTCAAATTTGGTGCTTTTAAAACTCATTTCTTCATTTTGAAAGTATGAAAACAAACGAATCGATATTTATCTTCGAATGAAGCAAGAACAAATTTGCTACTATTAACGAGACTGATGCATATTTAATGATTCTTTATCGTTCTTTTTGCAACCAAAATAATGAACCAACCTTGTATACGACGTTTGTCGCGTGTAATAATATCAATTTGTTCTGTTAGCTGATCATTTAAGCTTTTAACTTTAACCAATTCACTTTGATAATTACGATTAGCTTGTAAAGCTGATTCAAGTTCGGCACTTAATTGACTTAAACGATGTCGAAACTCGTCGACTTCTTTTTCCAATTGTTTGTTACGACGAACGGCTTCATCTGCTCGTTTACGTTGCTAAATGCATTGGAAAAGAAGTTCATTTTATTTTATTTTTTAAAATTAATTCATTTAATTTACTGTGGCAGCTTCATCAGCAAGTTTTTCTACTTCGCCTTGAAGACGTAGTTTAACTTTTTCAAGATTGCTTGCTTTAGTAAGAACTTCAGTAAGCTGTTCTTGAATTTCATTGATGCGTCCATTGAATTTACGTCTAAATTTTGTAGAAAAAAAAACAAGACAAACAAATTAGATCATTAATAACAAAATTCATTTTTGACAAATCAATCTAACCTTTGGTCTTCAATTTCTTCATTTTTGGCTTCAATTTCTTTTTCAAAGCGCTCACGCATAAAACGTGTTTCTTCTTGTATTTTAATTAGAACTTTTTGTAGTTCAGTTTTAGCTTCAATTTCATCTTCAAGTTGTAATTTTGTTGATTCTAAATCCATTTGAAAAGTTTTAACTGTTGATTGTAATGCACGATTGGTCTTAATAAAACAACAAAATTAAATAATAAAAAACTAGCAATCGTGATTCGATTCTTACAGCCATTTCAGACTCTAAGTGAAGACGTGCTTCTTCAAGATCACTTTGTGCTCGTTTATAAGTCGTTTGTAATGATATTAATTCAAATTCAACAGTTTCAATTCGATGACTAAAAGTTAGATTTTCTTCAGCAAGACGTGATTTAGCAGTATTAGCATCAGTTAATTGTCGAATAGCATCGTCAATTTTGCTACTCATTTCAATTAATCTTCCTTCATATTCTTTATTCATTGATACAGCTTGATGTTTAGCCTTCGATAATGACTCGACTTCGATTTTTAGTTCTTCAATTTCGACGATAAATGTTTTACTCTCCTTGTCATGTCTAAGAAGAAGAAAAAAATATTATAGTGAAATGCTCTGGATGGAAAAAATGAGAACTAATTTACCTTGTTTTTCCTTTACTTAAAGCTTCAACTTGACTTGTTAAATCTGAAACAGTATCTTGAAAACGACGACGAATTCCATTTAAATTTTCATCATTTTCACTTGATTGAAGTTCAAGTTTCTGACGTAAATCATGAACTTCTTGTTTTAAACTAGTTTAGATGTAAAAAAACAAACAAACAAACTTTCTTCTATTGTATTTTCTTTGTAAAATTGAAATATTTACCGTTTGTTAGCTTCAAATTCTCGATCGCGTGTATTTATTGCTTCTTCTAATTGTTGCTCAAGTTCATCAAAATCAATACGTAAAGCTGTAAATTCTTTTTCCTGACGGAAGCGTCCATCTCGTTCAGATCTCATTTCTTCTTCGATATCACGAAGGCGACTCTATTTTTTTTTGTATAATTAAAATGATAGACATGAAAACTTTTATTTCTGTTTAAAACTTACAGCTAACATGGCTTCAGTCATTTTTGATTGCCTAAAATATAATAATTGAGCGGAAATTATTCATGTAATATAGATAAATAAAACAAGGACAAGGAAATAAGGTGATGATTACACATGTAGAAACTCTTTCTGTAACATGATAAGCGTCGATAAGTGGGTAGATATATGTTCAGTAGAGATTATCTCATCTCTTGACCATCGATCGGTCAATCAATGAAAAGAAAACAACAATTGGCTAAGAATATATAATGACAATCATCATTAACACAAATAGTTCCTCGTGGAAAATGTTACTCAATATTTGTATCAGTTTCTGCTATTGTAATTTGATGGCTTTTCCATTGTCTAGTGTAGTACATTATGTAGTTATAGTATGTATATACCTTAGATATTGAAACAATGGATGTTGCGCCTGTGCTTGCTGCTGCTGTTATTGTCGTCAGTTGTAGAAAGACAAGGAAATCGCAGAAAGACAGTTTGAGTGTATCTTACGAGTGTCAGCACCTCCTAGAAGAAGAAAGAAGCAGCAAAAAAAGGGAATCCTAAATCCGACGCTTGTTCTATATGTACACATAGTTCTCTTTCCTTTTTTTCCCTATCGTACCACCCTAGCGATGATCTAATGTTACATACAGAAAAGATGCATTATCATCAACCAAGGCAATAACATGAATGAATTTATTCTGTCTATATGCATACGTCACATATACACGCGTCTAAGCAAACAGGCATTTTTCTGGTACTCATCTTAAGAAAAAACAACAGAGTCTTATTCCATCCATATTTGCTGCCTTTCCCCCTATTATGAAAGAAAAGGAAAAAGAAGAACTTTCGTCGTCGGTGCCTATCTTACAAGCCTAAAAGAGACAAACGCCTGTTTCTTTTCCATAATCTATTATGCATGACCTTGAGAATCATTTTGTATATCCACGGACAAAAAGAATATGTACAATCTACTCTTTCTCTCTTTCTTTTATTTCACTAGAACAAAAAAAAACCACAAAGATAAAAAATAAATAAATAGAGCTGCAGATAAAACAAGTAGAAGAGAAGAAAAGAATTTATCAATAGAGACTCAAACAAACAAAAACATATTTCTTATTTAATTTGATTTTGTATTTTTTCAAATTCAGTTGACCATTGTTCGATATCATATGTTGTTAGTTGAATATTTGTTTCGGTATCATTTGTACTTATACGACGATCCCAAAGTTCAGCACGTGCAAGAACAGATTTTCGTCCAACTGGTATTGCTAAGGGATCAAATGACATCTGTAAATTGGAGTCTAACGATGTTCCATTAGATTGGTGTTGTACATGTTTTGCTGAAATAGAAAAGTTATCTGACATAGATGTTGATCGATTTAAAGAGTCTTTGGTTGATAAAGAATTTTGCTGATTTTTTGTTTCATCATCGTCACTAATCGTCTAAAAAGAAAATTGATAATTTAACTTTTGAAAAAGAAATAACTTTTAAACCTCTAAAATAAAAGCGAAATCAAGAAGAATAAACTACAGCTTACATTTCCTTCGTCTTCGTCTTCTTTTTCTTTTATTCTTTCTGTCTGTGTCATTCTCGTTAGTAGCTGTTAGTTTGGTGTCCTAATGCATCATAAGGTTTTCTTTCTTTTTTTTTTATTCTGATATAATGCATGACTTCCAAACAAGTGCTGTTTTATATTGTAAGAAAATATTTTGTTTTTCATTAAACTTACGGGATTATTTTGTATTTTAGTATTAATTGGCTTTGTATTATGAGAAGAGTTAGATTGTAATTGTCTTCCTGTTAGTATTAATAGATTTGTGTTAGTATTAGTTTTGTTAATTAGATTAGTTTTCAAGCTTTGTGCAGTTTGTTCGACTCGCACATGCTCTTTTCGTTGTTGTTGGTGGTGATGATTTGGATAATAATCATTTTGAAGCAAAGGAATAGTAATGTGCAGCGTATTATTATCTTGAATTAAACTATCATAGACAAGTGTAGCACCACCACCACCACCACCACCACCACTACCACCTATTATATCTTTTACAACTGATGTTGTTGAACGTGAAGAGTGAGAATGTTTTCGATAGCTTATTGGTGGACTTGTTTTACCTCTTTGATGGCGATCATTGTCTATCGTTGTTTTATTATCGGATGATGCACTACGATTTGAACTTTTCTTTGTTGAATCGGTTTGATCTAATTTATTTAAAAAATAATAATTTTCAGTAAATTTATAAAAGCAAAAACATTCTATTTATCTATTTAATTACTCGATAGTTGAACTGGCAACATTGGACGAGGTTTTTGCACTGAACGATCGCCACTATTTGCTGTTAATCCTCGACATGTAAGACTAGCCACCTAAATGAACAACGAAAGTTAGAGACGTAAAATAAATTATGTACATGATTAACAAGCAAAAGCAAATATTTGAACACGTTCGATTCAAACAAAAACAAACTCTTTTTAGTGCTGATGTTGTTAATATCAATTACCTTTTGCGTTTGTATGTCAGACAAACAATGTGAATATTTTACCTCATTATTGTTTTCATTTATTAGACTTTCATCATCCTTTTATAGAGAAATAAAGCAATTGTCTATAGCGTACGAAAAATATTTTCTATTGTTGTTTTTTGTGTTATCGTAGATTTTTAGTAAACTAAGAAGCAAATTATTATTTAAAAGCAACAAACCGGCAAGAGCGGATAAGCAGCATCTCCTTCCTTGTTTCCTACTCGATGAATTTTCGATAAACCAGTTTGCGATTGGGATTGAAGTTTATTTTGTTCATTTATTAAATTATTTGCTGTCATTCGATCAAATTTTTGTCGTAGATGTTTAACAAGTGGACTTGATGGGCGATCATCGTCAACATTATTCGACATAGGAGTTGCAGATAAAGATTGTGAAAGAGGATTGATCTAAGAATAATTGAGAACAAGTCGCTTATTAATAATCAAAAAAAAAGACGCGGAAATCTGGTTTACAGCTTTATTTTGTGGAATGAAAGCAGATTGTTGCTGTTGTTCTTGGTCTAAAACAATATTAGTTGTGTGTCGTCGAGTAGAATCACGTTTCTTTAAAAAAAAAAAAAGAATTTAACAGCAATATAAAAACAAACAAAAAATCTTTTTATTAATAGAATTACTTGACGATCTGGACCAACAGTAGTGTTAAGTAAGTCAGGCAAACGTATTGCCCATTTTGATTTTCCTGGATTAGAATCTGATTGAGGTAGTAAAATTGGTGAACGAGGATTTTCTTCTATTAATAAACACATCAATGGAAAAATAAAATGAAACGCAGTCTAAGCGAGATTTCTTTTTACTTAAAGGATTTTCAATTGATGATTGTTTATTAAGATAAAATGGTTGTGGCATTATAGCATTTGGTTCATCGTCATCTGATTGTAATGAATTAACACTTGCTTCATAAAGATTTCGCCAATCTTTAGAAAGCAAAATATATATATATACACATATAAATGTTAGCGAAGGAACTGACGTAGAAACATCCTCAATCAATCGAAGCTGTTTTTAATTATAGTTTGTGTACCTATGGGAAATCTTATTCTAAGAAAAAGTATAAAACGAGGTTTTGGTTAATGTGAATTCTTTCGATGTATATAAAAAAAAGAAACTTTCACTGTCACAGCAATAGAGAACGCATATCAATGTAAATCATAAGGGAATTAATCATAACACGAAAAAAAAGAACATTCATTTTGAAACTTTCAAGGTTATCTAAAACAGTTAGATCTATAGTTTAGAGACATTTCAAATCTGAATTCTGTGATTTGATCTGCTTTTGAAAACATAAAAAACCTTGACTATAAATCAACAATACAGTCGAAAAGCTTTAGTTTTTAATCACATCAAACTATCGAATGATATCCTAACAAGGGTTTGCTTGTTCTGATTCATATCTACATCTAGTTCTAATGTAGCGTATGTGAAAACTTACAGGTGACTCTTAGATAAACTATATGAGGTTTTATCGATATGACTTCTTTCTTCATGAAAGAAGCCGTATCAATTGAAACCATCTTAGGCTTATTCTTAGAATGGTATTCGTCACATGCATTCAAAATATACGGATGAAAACAGCATCAATCAATTGAGAATTGCTTCATGTCAATTAACGGCGTATGTCGAAATAAGAGGAAAGTTTCTTTGTTTTTTTTCTTTAACTTTTGAATAAGTCTATAAATCAATGTTTTATTCAGATTCTTATTGATAAATCATAGCAAGACTAATCGGTGAAATCATAAACTAATCAGAGAGGCAAAAATGCAATATTATTAGCAATAATTTCTTTTATATGCGATAAAAAATTCTGCATAAACAACAGCTCTAAATAAATTCTTTCATTGATAATTGAAATGTTATCTATCTGTCTTAGTTAATCAATAAGAATTTGAATATGACTTTGTTCTGGAGTCTAATTCTAGTTTCAACATCGTTCTTTCCTCAATCAAACATGAACTGTAATATGTGTTTTTACGCTAACATAAACACAGGAGTGCTCAATGAATTCGAAAAAGTACAGTAGTTGCTTTTGTGATTCATACAATTTCAACTGTATGCCAAAAAAAAGTATGGTGCTCGTATAAGTCATAATATATTCATGATGATGATGATCTTTTTTTTCATCAAACAATCTTGAAGAAAATGTCAAGACATGTAGTCATTGAAAAAAAACGTTTAATAGCAAATTACTAATCATCATTATGAACACATTTTAGGTATTACCAAAGCCATACTTTTCCCAATATACGATTGAGACGCATGAAAAACAAAAACGAGTAGAGTATTCTAGTATATTGAGCACTCCCGTATAAATATATATCTATATATATATATATATGTTTTTGTTGATAAAAATGTTGTTCATTTGTGCACTTACTTTCAAGTAATTTACTTGATCGATCGTTTTTAAATTTATCCATAAAACGTTTTGCATTATCGTGTTCTTCATTATCACTCACAGCACTTCTTTGCAAAGGTGATATCGATCGAGAAATTGTCGGTGCTTCATCGTCATTATGATTCATAGTTGCAATTTCGTTACTTGGTTTTTTGTTTTTTAATACTCTGTCATGATGTTTAACTTTTGGTGAGTCTCTTGGTATATCGATAACTTCTATACATTGAGAAGAATAAAACAACGAATAAGTTGTACATAACGTATGTCAACGTCTCTTCCGCTATTCATACAAATGATGAAGATAAAATGAGAGTGTTACCTTTTTCGTGAACAAACACATCGGCTGTAATTTGCACACGACCAGCAGCATTAAGTGCCAAGCACGTAAATGTCCCATTGTCTTCCTCGATTGTTGCTTCATCTACATGTAATGCGTGTTGTCCATTACCATAATAATCTATGGACAAATAGATAGTATGAAGAAGAAGAAGAAAAGGATTTAACGACACTTTTAAGAGTTCATCTATGTTTGTTTTGTTCGCAAGTAACAAGTCGAGAACAATCAAATCTATCTTAGAAATTGCTAGGAAATGAAAATTGAGCTTTTTCTTTTAAGGAAAAATAATAATTCATAGTTCAAAACATCACATAAGACGAAATCCAATAGCTAAACGTTTGTAGAAGAAACTATATGAGAATAGACTCATCGAATAAAAAAAGCTATAGATTCGAAATAATTGGCTTTGCAAAAATGTTGAATGTCTGAATTGTATTATTCTTAATAATAGGAAATAATCTTAGCACATAGTAGCATTGTCATCTATTTTTAAACATAGAACGTTAAAATAATCAGTTCAGTTTAAATTGATAAATTATTCTGATAGAAAAGTTTTGTTTTTTTAATTGAAATACTGAATACTTTTTTTTTTATCGCATTGTAAGTAATTTCAACTTACATAATTTATAATGTCCGTTTGGCTGAATTAATGTGTTTTCTTTATACCATAGAATTCTTGCTTTTGGATAACCTAGATCAAGTTTACATTTGAGTGTTAGTGAGGAGCCTTCATTGACATCTGCATCCGAATATTCTTGAATGATCTGCGGTGGGTTAAATGATCGTTTATTATCTAAACAAAAACAAGACAGACAAGTTTAATTTGTTTTATATAGGTTAATTTGATGAAAATTACCTTTAACAAACAATTTGATCATGTCAACATTTTGTGCTTTATCATTAGCAATAACACATAAATAAGCACCTTGGTCATCTTTATTAGTTGAATAAATTTTTAAATAATGAAACGTATCATCATGGCTTAATTGATATTTTTCATCATTAACAATTTCATCGTCAGTACCAAAACGAAACCAAAACACATCAACTGGTGCTGTACCAGCCACTTTTACTTTGAATTTTGCCGTTTCGCCGCAACGTGCAGTTGTATCTTTAGGTCGTACAACAAATTTCGGATCCGTTATATTTGGATCCATACGAAATTTTTCTTCATCCACTGATGTTTTCATTTCAGTTAAACTTGGAATGGATGATGTTATAGATTCATTATCAGATTCATATGTATATGATGGACGTCGAAATGAACAGGAGGAATGATTTTGTAAAAGAAGATTAGCTGGTAAGGGAAAAAATTTACGAATATTGGCTGAATCGTTATCACTAAATTGCGATTGTTCACCAATTGTCGCTGTATTTATTGGTATAGGATATGATGATGAAGATTCGTTAGCATATAAATCATCATCAGCAAGATCTTCAAGAGGTCTAGAGAAAAAAAATCATTCGACGTCTAATTTTATTTTTCTTCGTTTATCTTACTTATCCCCAACACGTGGACTTGAATATTTATTATCAGAAATTGGAATTGTTAAAAACACAGATCCACGAGTGCTACGCGGTGTTTCTTCACCTGAGTGTGATGAAGTCTAGAGGGAAAAAAAACTCCTAATAGATAACAACATTGATAACATAAATATTTTATCACACATTCATATAGTTTTTTTAATCAACAAATCTACAAACATTTTTCTATAATAAAAAGCATCATTCACGTTGATTCAACGAAGCTATTTTTATCGGTCACTTCTTCAAATCTTCTTTTTATAGAAACAAAGAATTTTTAATTTTGTTTTTTTATAAAAAATTTGTATAAATTAGGTTTTTAATTCTGTAACATATCGAACGTTCTGCAAAATAATTTAAAATCTAGTCGAACATCCTAACATAACAGTAGCTTTAACAATTTTATCTCTTCTTGTGACAAACATTCGACTGACGGCTCTCTCTCTCTCTCTCTCTCTCTCTTACAAAAAGATATCACAAACAAGCTAACACATACACATTCAGTCGTATTTTCAAATTATCGTATACTCAAAAGTCATCATGAACTCGATGTAGACGAAGTCTTTCCAAGCAGACAAACTTTTGGAAAAAAAAACGTTTTTAAACACTCAATCGGGAACCGCGATTGTGAGTTATTAACGCGCAATAACAAAACGCAAGAAACACGTTTTTTACGCAGAATTCTCACGTTCAACGCGTGAAAACTCCTATTCTGAGCGTTTAAACGCACAATTATTCGATAACTTAAAAACTAATTCGTTTAAACGCTGAGGATTGCAGTTTTCACGCTCTGAAAGTGAGAATTCTACGTAAAAAACACGTTTCTTGCGTTTCGTTACTGAGCGTTAATGACTCACAATCGCGGTTCTCGATTGAGTGTGTAAACACGTCTTCCCAAAAGTTTGTCTGTTTGGGCTCTTTTCATACTAAAAACAAAGACCAATTAACATATCCTTGACATGCAATATTATAACTTCTATTAGTATATTTACATTGAAACATATATAAGCTTTCAGAGTTTTTAATGAAAATATGAGAAGATTGAACTTCAATTTATTTCTCACGTAATAAAATACTAAAAATATTCTATCAACTCATTAATTTATTGTTAATAAAAGATCAATTAATGAATTAAAAACAACGTAGATTAAGGAAATTGAAACGTTTGACCACATTGCTAGCAAAAAGCCCTACAATTTTTTAATGCAAGAAGTGTTTACGACTTCTAAAAGGTAATGTTTGTAAAGCTCTCGTTTATTTATTTAAAAAGCCTCAGGGTATAGCGTAATTAAAAATGTTAACCAATCTTTTGTGCAACTTGGCGTTAAAAAAATAGAAAAAATACAGTCTCAATGACGCAAAGTAATTTATCAAGATGATTTCGTATACAAAAAAAGGGAATTTTTCTTATTCAACATGGCTGATTGTTGACACCTGTTTCTTCAATGAAGTATATATATTGTTTTATAAAACAAAATTAAATCTCCGTTTTCAATATTTGTGTTACTAACGAAATATTTCTACTGATATTACCTTTGATTCAACTAGAGTAAAATTTGTTTGCCATTCACCAACACGTGCAATAGATCTGTTAATTGCTTCAAAATCGGAGTCGTGGGAATGTCGATTACTTTTTGAATTCGATATTTCACCATCAAGTGAACTTAAATCTAATCGAAGACCATTAGCCAATTCAATACTTTCAGTTGCTGTTGTAGGTTGAGTTCTACTAGTACTATGTATTATTTGTTCGCGATTTTCGTCTACTTTTTCAGTATCTAAGACGAAAAAAACAAAACAAAGTTTATTTCTTTTAATAATTGAATAAATTTTTATACCGTCTTGTTCGTTGACTATCGAACCTTTTGGTACGCGTATTTTTCGAATATTATCGTTACGAGATTTGATCTAACAAATTTTGAGAGTGAATATAATGAAAATTAAAGAAAATCATCTATACCTCCCAAGATGTAGTTGAAGTCCGTGGGGATGTATTACTCCAAGTTGGTGGAAAAGTTGACGGTTTTGTAAGCGACGTTAATGATGATGTATTTGAGGATTGTCTCTGTGATTTTAATGTCGGTGCTGACTATAGAATTCAGAGAAAATTCTAAAAATATGAAATTATGAAAATATTTTACATACAGTCTCGATAACTTCAGGTAGCTCTTGAAAGATTTCTTTGCTTACACACTTATCAAAAATGTTTTGTGCTAATTTTTGATCGAAATTATTCGTATTTATAGATGAATTTGGTGTTGTTAATGCCTATTTGATACAGCAACAAAAACAACAAAAAGAATATATTCTGAAAAACAAAAATTTTTATTTTTTTATCAATTACTTTTTGAAAATTTTGTAAATTTGTTTGAAGAACTTTTTCTGTTTCTTGTACTAATAGATTGTGTAAATCTCCTTCATGTGTTGAATTTGATTTTGGATTTGAACCTGTATGATCAAGAATAGAATTTAGTGGTTTCGATGAAGAATATGTTCGTTGAAAAAGTAAAATATATAGTGTGATAATAGTTGCCACAGAAGGAATAGAAATAAGAATAGTTTGAAGAGCATAAAGTACTTGTAATACAGCTATGTAGGATATAAATGTGATAATGAATCGCATGAAGGTTGGATGGCTTTCTTGTATCATCGGAGTTGTTTTTTTTTACAATGAGAAATGAAAATTTAATAACAAACAACAATCTGCATACTTCGTTTTTCTTTTTCTTTCTTTTTCACTGCTTTTGAAAAAGAGAAAAAAGCTGAAAAGCAAAGAACAAGTGAAAAAATAACAAATGGCAACACAAGAAAAGAAAAGTGAAAAGAATATTTAGTCAAATTGTCCACCTGTGTCTGTCTAGCGTTTGATCGTATCAATCAAGTAGATCGAAAATAAAGAATTAAAAAAACGTTGTTTGAACTCTTTATAAAAACGTTCTTAAAAGCTGTGTCAGAAGCACCGTGGATGTTACACGTTTATTTTATTTTCTTTATATGTCCTTCAAGACTTTTTGTATCTATGTATTTTGCAGTCTCGAGAAGCATTACGCAAATTACATCGCACTTTTCTCTTAAGTAAATTATGTTTTGATACGATACCGCATATCAAGGTATCGAATTGTTTATCAATGAAAGTTGAAGATTTTCAACATGGAGATACTACAAAAAGTAAATTTTGATAAACTTACGACGAAGAGGACCACTAATAGCCACACGAGCACGACAGATTTCAGTTGCAATTTGTTGTTGATGAGCTTTGAGACCTTCTTTACCTAAATATCATGAAAGGCAATAAAATTCAAAACATGTGCGAGATAACGCAAATTTATGAAGCAGGCATTATTTTTTCTGGCTAAATTTCAAAAATTTCTGTGATCAGATAGGAAATAAACACAAAAATACGAATTCCTTTTTCTTTTTCTTTCGTTTTCTCTTCTTAATTATGAAATCTGAAGATAATTAAATATGTTAGATAGCATTTATTATGAGCACAGAGCTCACCGCCTCGTCGAATTATAGTTGTAACTGATAAAGAATATAAAAATTTCTCATTATCAATTGTTATTGATACTTTTGTTCTCTCTTACTTTTTCCTCGTAGCGAATAATGACTGTTTTGTACGTTACGTTCAGCTAAATCAGCTTGTAATTTGTCAACCAGTAAACTTAATCGTGTAGAATATTCATTCAATTCACGTTTTACATTTTTATCATAGGTAACATATGAAACGACCGAACCTAAGACAAAGAACATATATATATATATAGAGAGACGCATAACTGGATGATTTTTCAAACGAATCAATTGAACATAAGATTAAAAAAAAAGAAATCTTTAGCAAATAGTGATTGTTACTATTTGCTTATTCAAACCGAGTAGAATCTTTCGAATCACCTGTTGGAAAGGTTTCACAGTCAGGATCCTCTTCAATTTCATCGAGATCAGCTAAAATATAAAAAAAAGAAATTTAATAAGACTCTAATCTCACCTAAATGTTGTCGAGCTTTTGCTTTAATGCATGCATTTCGATGATTGGGATCCAACCATGTTAAACGAACAGAAAGAACATCTCCTTGTCCGCGAACTTTCCATGATGTTAAACGACCATCATGATAAAGTTCTTGTAGAACATTTAGAAAACTTTTTGGAATATTATTTTCAATATCATTATTATCACCAAATGGAGGCAATTGTTCAAGTAAACTAGCCATTATAATAAAAACTGACTATAAAACTTTGTGGGAGGAGAGAACACGTTATAACTATGTATGTATGTGTGTATGTATGTACGTATGTCTACGAGTGAGTATACTATCGTCGTGGTCGTCGTCAATAGTGGTCATCAACAATTCGGTCAGTATGAGCGTAAATAGCACGTTGTCGGAGATATATATATATATATATATTCGTGTATCTTCTCGCACTGTTCAATGTGTATGTTAAAAAAGAGATATGTAGGTCGATGAGCTCAAATCTATGCACTTGACATACAGAATGACGAGTAAAAAAAGGAGGAAGGGACCAACGAAAAGGATATTTGGCATAGAATAAATACAAATAAAACATAAGCTATGTGAATATGAAGAAAATGAGTGAGACTGGGAAGACATATTGATGATTATAATAGGAGATAAGATAGAAATGATTGACTATTTAATTAAACTCACCGAGTTCCCTTTCACGTTTATGAAGTTCACGAACAATTTTCGCACTACCACATCGCTTATGTTTTTTGCTAACTTCATCATAAAACCAAGATGATGATAAAATTTGATATTCTCTAGAAGAAGAAAAAACAACAACAACAGACAATTATTATTTCTAAAGTATATTAAACGATTCTCTTTTAATAACAGCTCTAGATACATGTTAAACAAAAATAATCTCTATGTCTATTTTTTCTTCGATTAGAACATGTAAAATAGCATTCGAAGAGCTGTTTGTATGACATTAAATAATAGCAACCTTTTGAAAAAAATGATATGTTTATTCTTAAAATAAATCATTCTTCAGCACATGAATCTAATTGAAAACGAATAAATCTGTCAGTTGCAATGTTTCATTGTCGATTACATCACATCATCATCATCATTCATGATCGTGAGGTAATGGCATAAGACTAGTTTCGATTCTAAATGTTTTCGAAAATTGAGCAGAATATCTATTTTTCTACTTTACTGAAAGCCTTGGATTTTTTTTCAAATTTTCATATCATAAAAAATCTTTTTTCACTGATATGTTTCATCTCTATTCGCTTGACTGAATAAACAATAAGTGATTCACGAAGAGATGAGTTGCTTTGTAAACATGAAACAAATAATAATTATTGGCTTCGGTGTGAATCATTTAAAACTAAATGCAGTTTTAAAATATCCTACTTTAATTTTATACATGATTTGCATGTCCACGTTTTTGTTTCTGGTGTATATATGCAACAGTCATGGCAAACAAATAATTTACATTCCGAACATAATTCTTTTGGATTCAATATAAACCGAAATTGCTTGAAACATGTTATGCAACGTTCAAGATTAAATTCTTTTGAATTAGATAAATATTCTGCACGTTCAGATTCTTGCCGAATTTGTCTTTTTAAATCCCTAAAAAAAAAGAATTCTATGAAAGAGAATATAAAAATGAAAAACGCTCTCATTTACTCGATTCTTTTATATTCTATTTGTCGAAGTTGAAAATCACGATCAAGCACTGCTAATATACGTTTACATTCTTCATCATTTAATACTGATAAATTCGATGCTCGTGATGAAATTGATCGTGCATCTAATATTTATTTTTTGTTTGAAATCTTTATTATTAAGTCGCAACTACTTACCAGATTCTGACAAACTCGAATTTCTTGTCATATTAATCAGATTTCAATAGAAAATGATTAATAGCTTTATTAGAGCATATGATTGTTTATATACTATTTTTGGCAAGGTTTATATAGGTAAAGCTAGGCTATAATGCTGTGTCTATATATTTCTCTTTGGATTTTTTTGTTTCGTTGTTACGCAAAAAAACTAAAAGCAAAATCACAGTGAAAAAGTAGTATTAATATCATAATGTAAGCGAGACAGTGTGCTGCCGTTGCTCGTTTGCTGTACACTTTGTTTTTCTTTTTTTTGCCTTTTTGTATTTTATATTTCTAAGCATGATACAGACCATATATATATATATATATATATATATATATACAGCGAAGAACCGGCAAGGTAAAACGAAAAAAAGCCAAATTATTATTTACAAACGCTTATTCCTGTCATATTGAAAAGCAATATTTTTTTTTGTTTTTCTCTCTTGCAACTCATACATGTCGAACTGACTCGATCAGGTGTTTTTCGATTACTTATTTAAAAAAAGTTGATTCACAAGCAAGAATTGTATTATAGAACAATTTCATATGTTTTTCTTAAATAACGTGTTGTTATTTTCTTTTATTCTCAGTCTTCATAAATAATTATCCTTGCATATAAATGAAAGCATGGCTATATTCAATTTGACATCCACAATGAATACGTTGGTATATCCCATATTTGAATTATTAAAAGCGAATCGTTATTGACAATGAAGATATTATTCTAATCACTCAAAAAAAGAACACTAACCGTTTTGGTATGATGTGCTAAGAGCGTTCTGTTTAAATATGATAGTCAAGATTGCAATCTTACAGAATTTTAGTGCCGATGATAATTTTTTATAGAGAAAAGTCATCGTTACAACTATGAAAACATTTTTCAGAAGAAAATTTAAAAACACCTAATATCTATATTTTGACGATAAATTCAAAATTAGTGAAGTAATTGATTGGAGTCAATCATTTCATTTTCAGTCTGTTATCAGCCTGATAATTATGTTTCTTAGCGCAGTTATTAGTAATAGTTTACTACTAACCTTGAGATATGATTAACTCATTTGATTCTCTAAACTATCAACACAGGCTTTGTTTTCTACTATTAGTCTTAGATTTATTGAGAATCAAACTATTGATGATTTCAATTTATCTTCCATTATTTTGATACTGCGTTCGAAATTTTGGCAAGGCTATCAAACAATCCGTTCAAGGTAGTTTCATAAAAACAAAATTTGTTCTAAAATCAAAAACAAGTTGAGATCTTATTTGAAAGATGATTATCTTTAAATAATATCTAAGAAAACGTAGTCTCCTAATTACCACCGAAAGCCCAAAAGTAGTCATTATAAAAAATAACGATCAATCTTTTTGATTGATCAGCTATTGCAAAAGTCAATTAAGTCTTCTATATTATTGATGAATGCCAATGAAAGCAAGGTTTCATACTCAAAGCATGAATATATCGTTTAACATGTCAACAGCTCAAACAGAAAGGTAAACCAGATAAATTCTTTTCATAATTATTCATAATATTTAAAAACATGAAAACCAGAACGGTTCATTAGTATATATATGCTGTTCTTATTCTAACTATTTGCTTTTCCTATTTTTGTTTTGAAAACACAGTAATGGAAGTCAATACAACCTATTGAACTAGTGATTCATTTTACAAATATATTGGTATCAACTATGAATTGGTGCTTATCAGATGAGAGTGATATTTTATGAGAAAGAATTCTAAGAAGCTGTGAATATTCTCATCTGTTTTCTCTAGATTACCGATGTCAGTTAATCTATTTTTCTATCGAGAGTTAGAGAATCATTTTCTCGATTATTTTAATTTCTTAATATTGGCTTCATGATCATGGTACCTTATACCAATATTTAGAGATCAATGTCATAGCATACTCATAAAAACTATAATCAATATTTATATGCAGAGTAGCTTGTAAATAGTATTACGGTGAAGAAAAACGTTAAAATTTCTCCGCTTCGGTTCGCTCGAGTGAATTGGTTTTTATTAGCTATTGATAGAACTTTGTTTATTGTTTATATTTGCCATGAAAATATAATAAAAAAATACTACTGTACATAGTTATATACTAGTGTCACTAACGAAGCGTAACCTATAGTCAGAACAGAAAGAGTCGCATGAAATAGTTTGTTACTCGTCAATAGCTGTCATTTAAGAAAAGTAATAATAGAAACTAACTGTGTAAACTAGTGCATGTAAATCTAATGTAAACAAATTTCACATTTTTTGAAACAGCCAAGAGTAATTTTCTTCAGGATTTGGATATTTTGGTAGTCGAAGGGTTGAAATTCGACTATGTGCTCGTAAGAATGTTCTCTTAGATGACAATAGAAAATTATCTATGCAAGACTTTCTATGATTGATAATATGTAAAATTTCTTCGATCAGACGTGAAACATATATAGAAATTAGGATCGATTCACTGTATTTTGCATAATAAACATAACTTTGAACAAGTCCGTGCAACTAACGAGAAAAAAAGTGAATTCATTCAAGCAAGTTGAAAAGCAGAAAATTACAATTTATATATTATACCCCCATTCATGGCTCCTTGTGCACATATTTACATATTGTAACTATTGATTACTAAATAATTAGAAAGTGATTGCTTTTTTCAAAGCGATCATAATGATACCATAGGTTTCACAAATTTCGAGACGGGATCATTTTTCTAACTGATATATATATATATATATGTTAGCGTCCAAACTGAGATTACGTCCAATCTCAGATTGGCCTAGGCGAATCTCGAATCCGAGATTGGACGCGTCCAATGTTGAATTGAGCGAAAATTTAACATTAAAACGNACAGACTAATTCACGTTTTAATGTTAAATTTCCGCTCAATCCGACATTGGACGCGTCCAATCTCGGATTCGAGATTCGCCTAGGCCAATCTGAGATTGGACGTAATCTCAGTTTGGACGCTAACATATATATATATATATATCAGTACTAATTGCAAATCATAATAGTTCCAGTGCTAAGAAAAATTTCATGAGTTTCATTTGCTTTTATTATAATTTGTCAACGATCTTAATTTATTATTTATGATATCACGATACGCTGTTATGTTTTCTAATAGAAAATAATGTACATGAAATTATCTAAACAACAAACAATTAGTCGATGATAGCTGTAGTATATAAAAGGTGTTGTTCACGGCCATCCATGCATTCGAATGCCATACTGTCTTAATTTTGTGAACAGTTCATATGAATCTTTTAATTTATCTTCTTTAGAATTTCGATCGTTAGAAACATGTTTCTCAAAAAAGAATTCATCAATTAAATATCGAGCTCTACTATTTTCATCCAGTAATTGTTTCATTAATGCGCTTTCCAATGGTGGTTTATCGATATCAAACTTGACGACAACATAATCCTCTGGATTGGCTATAGCTTCAATCATTGTCCAAGGATTAAATCTGCCTGTTTCTTCTTCGACACCAACGTTAATAAGTGTATAAAAAGGATAAACGTCATCGGGAAGTTCTTCCCAAGCACGACGAGTTTCTAAGTTTTGGAATTCATAAGCAATAATACGATCAAATCGAATCGATTTCTCTTTGAAATAGTCATAAAACCATTTTGTACCAATTTCAGCTGTGTTTCCATTACGACTTTTAAAATATGAACTTCCAATGTCCATAAGAATTTTTTTCGAACCAAGTGAATAAAGCCATGGTGCAAGTGGAGTTATATCTTTTGACAAAAATGGTTTAATTTGAAACGGTGACGAAGGTGCAAGAAGAAGAAAACGTTTCGATTGAAGAGCGTATTCACCTTTAAGATAGAGATTAGACGGCACTGAAGATATTTCAGGACACATGGTTAATGGATCACGAATGAGACCAATCAATGGCTCAATCAATTGCATCGCATTGTGTTCTTCGTTAGAGCATGATTGACGATAATAGATCTTGGAAAATTGCTGATCAATAGGCATTGCTCGAATATGTCTATCGAAGACAGTTGTCTGTAGGTACATAATACGATTTAGAGCATTGATAGTTATATTAACTTGATCAGGATGTGCAAGAGTAGAACAAACTTCATATTGAAAATTATCAATGTTAGAATACCAATACGTTTCCCAAGCACTTGGAGTGTAATTGAGAAATTTCCATGGGCACGTCTGAGCTAAATATAAAACAAAATGACGTATAAATGAAATGCTGTTTCATTAGTGTCTACACAATATAATTTTTTTATCTCTCTAATACTAAACAGAAGAATTAATAAATACCTATGAATGAGACTTGTGATGGGGAGTTAAATGCTTCCTTTTTTTCACTTGTGAATGATAACACGGGATAATAGCAATTTCGTGCTTTAATAATGAATAAAATAAAGAAAATGATTGCACACAAGCCGAGTACAAGTCGACGAGTACCTTTATGAAAATAGATAGATAAAATTGAATTTAAATTTAAATGTAGTTCTTACTTCCTGTTATCATATTTTTATATGTTGTAGGATATTGATCAATCATGTATCATGAAGAGACAAAGTTTCATCAGGTTTTGCTGAACCACTACTCTACAAGAGAAAAGTCTTTATGGTATAATTAAAAGTACAGTCGATGATTGAGAAACAAGAAAAAAAAACTCCATTTTTTCAAAGTAAGTCGACTTAGCCGATATCATGATAAGTAAATCACTTCATAAGGTATGCTGAATTGAAAACTTCAGCAATTTCGTTCTTTTTGTTCTTACTGAATACAGCTCATCGCAGAGATGGGCAAGTCAGCGGGTGTGGGTGGGTGTCTTGCTTCTATACCCCCACACTCACACCCTCAAGAAAAAAAAAGTTTTCTTATTTTCCTAAAAACGAAATTTCGAAAGTTTCGTTTATATTCGAATTCGAATTAGGCAGCTACTCTTTTAATCATGCTTCTTTCAATTTGAAAGTAAAGTTAAGCGGGCATTCTTAACAAACACCTAGTTTATTAGTCAAAATAGATCTGGAGCAAAACGTACTTTTAAACTTGTAGTCAAATTTTGTAATAAACTCTGGTGGTCGCTCCAAAGATGCGGCATACTTCTGCCCTTTTCTGTTACGTAAGTAGTACATCTTACACGTTCTTTCAGCTATCTGATAAAGTGTTTTTAACAATTAATTTATAATGGACTCTGACTTCTAGCGACTCGCTATTAATTTGCAGCTTCGAATGGAATAAGGAACAAATGTATTATAGTGTTTATATTGTTTCTTATGTTAGACAACTTCTCCATCAACAACATCGTCTTTGCTTTCACTCAATTATATGCATAAAAGTTTTCTTTTGATCTGGCCCAATAAGTAAAAATATTTTTAATCTGGACCCGAACCCGGACTCGAACCCAGCAAAGAGAAATTTTTAGACCCGGCGGGCTCTAGTCGCGATAGAATTAATAGCTAATTATTAGTTCAAGATTGTTCAATTGAACGTAAATTTTAATAATAAGTTTTAAAATAAATGATTACATTCATTTGTTTTTTGGCAACTACAACATCTGACACGTATAAATGAAGAAAATATGGTGTCTAGTGATATTGTCTGGATTGAAACTAATAGAGGGGCACATCAAACAAAAGTCAGTGAAAAAAGCAAAAACCCGCGCGAGAAAATAGTCATGGAATAGTTCATAAAGTTTGTTTTCTTTTTGTGTACTCAAAAAGTGAGTACACTCTAGAATCGGTCAGTGTGCCCGGCCGTAGGCACGATAACTTGCGAAGGGAGAGTCAGACCGTGATGAAATTTTCCACACAGTTCAATCTCATGAATATCTCGGTCGAGTTCGAAGATGAGAAGAATCCCTCAAGAAATGGTTGAGTTATCGAAAAAATTGTCATTTTTGACCAGGCCATCCCTGAGGAGGAGTACAGGGAATTTTTTTCAAAAAATAAATCTTTCTCAGAATTATTCACAACATATATAAATCGACTCAGTTTTTAACGCTGATTCCGAATCTGATATTAGTTTTGAGCTAAACCGTAGCTTTCTGATGAAACATCGCCTGAAAAACGTCTCAAAATGCACAAAAACTGCATCCAGAAATCAAATTGCCTAGTTTCTCATGAAAATTTTCGTGTTCAGACATTCTAGAATGACTCATACATCCCATGCACGTTTTGCAGTACACATAACTCTCGGATGAAATCCGAAGTTTCCACATTTATTTTAATCTGAAAAAAATTAAAGCTAACATGTGCTACTTTTTTTTTAGTATAGAAGAAATCTTTATGTAGCAAGCAATGCAATGAAATTTTATATGACATAAAGAGTTCTATCTTAGGAAAAAGTCAATCACAAATAAATAATAATAAGCTTCCTCTTTTCAACAATAAAGCCAGTGACTCTGCTATGATGCACATACAAAGAGGTGATCCGAGTAATTGACTCTGTCGAATATGAATGTTTCTCTTAACTGAAATTCAATTAAACGGGCATCTTCCGGTTCAGATTCGAACTGGTTATTCTTATATTAACGAAATGTTTGAATACAAGCTGCACAGTCTCTACTAATAAAAGACATACTTTTTATCGAGTATGCATGCATTCTGTTACTAATGCATGTATACTGTGTACTAGAGACGTGCGCAGGACATATTTTTGCTCCTGTCCCTGCCTGTCCTGTTGGCTACCTTGGTTCTGGTGGGTGGGAGAACAGGGGGAAAATCTAAATCTCATCCGGTCCTACAAGGCAGGGCAGGACACCGGGGGCAACAGGACCGTCCTACCCTGTACACGCCTCTGGAAGCAAATAGTGAGTCAAATAGAATACTATAAAAATTTTGTTGTATATTGGTTTTTTTCGTACGTAAAGAAGTTTCTTCATCAGTGTTGTGAAAGAAATCTGTGTTGTGAGTATAGACTAAGGCTTTTCTATTTACACATTGATGACCGACTTTCATGGAATTTCTTTTTCTTTCACTGAATACGACTTATTCTGAAGGCAAATGAATTTTTTTTCGCTGACTAAACTTGTGAACTCAGAGGCTTCAGCAAAAGACGTTGCTAATAGGATTCGATTATTTCTTTCACGCGAAGTACGGAAGAAATGATAGAAAAAATAAGCTGCATTCGCGTGAACGAAACAGGAGTGCAGGTAGCAGATCATATTTTATATTCAATCGTTCACTGACTCTACTACCAAACACACTTCTAAAATGTTTCAAAACAATTTTTGCCTAAGGTTTGATTCGATTGATTGACTTACGTCTATATTATTTTACAAGCTATGTAGAATAAATCACCCGTTCTCTGTATCTTTTTCTCCCTCGTCTTTTTTCTTCAACTATATTCATACAAGAGTGCGTAAAATTTTCAAAAGAAAATATTTTTCTTTCTAAGAAGCTTACGGCATTAACGGGAACAAATCTTACTTTCGCATCTCCAGTAACTGATACACTCACGTAAACTGTTCAAAATCAATCGGTTGATTTGAATTTCAGTGATACATGTGAAATTGAGTCTGAAATCACGATCGCAATTATTATTTATAACTACTGATGAAACTGCTGTAGAATTTATTTGACATCGTAGTGAAGCCATGCTTACCATTTAGCAAAAGAAAATAGTATTGATCAAACAAGGAGAGAGAACAAAGAGCTAGACAGCAATATGTACATATACGTAAAAATTTTGAATCAGCTAAAGAAGAAAGGCAACGATAGAATGAAAAAAACACTTAAAAAAATTCACATGACAACTCTACTCGTCATGATTGTTTATGGCTCCATAAAAGAAAAGTTATAAAATAAACCAAATTCATCATAAATTCTTATAACTAATCACAAAAAATTGATCTATTCAAGAAAACAAACTATCTTAGATTAAAGCAGAATAAACTCTGTCGTTGTGACAAACACAAACACGTATCTTTATTACGCCATAAAATATTCGTTGATTACTAATGTATTTTCATTGGTACACGACACCAACTTTATGTCATCAAATGAAAAGTTTACTGAATTATTTTTTTAGTGTTTGAAACAATATTTTGATAATTCTATAAGATTTATTAGCATGAAAATATCATAGCCTATAAACTAAACTTGAAAAAAATCGTTAAACTTAAGAATAACAAGAATAAATCAACTACAAAACAAGGCATTTCGTTAGATTCATTCATAATTCCACTCAGTCTTACAAGCTAAAGTTTGTATGCTTATGCATTTATTTAAATTAACCAATATCAGATAATTTCCAGTCTATTTCTAGAATAATTATTTTATTCTGTCGCACACGTCTTAATACTTACAATAATATTTTGCTCAATATCGGTTTATAAAAGTTGAATTGTGCCTTCATGTCCGATGTAGCCGGTGGTTGCATTGTAATGGCAAATAGTGACTATAATTACATGATAATGCAACGATCAGCTACATGGAGTGTAGGCATGTTCTTCTTTTTCACCATTTATTTATCTACAATTTGATGACACCCAAATTAAATACTTAGGACGTACCAAAAGTAGTGAGAGCTACACTAAGCCCCATATAGGATACTTAAAGAAACTTTCTTTCTGCACAGTCTGATAGAGAGAAAAAAGTTGTATTTTTCTGTTCTATTTGATCATACCTAAACTATAATATCTTAATAATAAAATTTCGATAAAACCTGTTTTTTTATTATATGTGACGGTTATACTGATTCGAGTGAATAACTTTTGATACCAACAAGACAGAGAGCTGCGGTTTTCACCGTTAGAAAGCGGAGATGAAGATTCATCGAATTGTATATTATAGATATTTTCCTAGACGTAATTACCTAAAATTTCTTCAATCAATTTTCTAAGTATCGAAAGCAATGGCTTTTTATTTCTTCACAGAAATAGCTAGAAAAATCACTTAGGCCTTCAACCGGAATATCTATAATCCCTAAATGATTATTTTTTAATATCCGAACCTTTGCGGTTTTGTAGATCTTCCATCGGCTGTTTCAATGCCAACCTGAAAATCGAGAATTCGCTGTAAACTCCTGATGAGTAGTTTCGTGTTCCAAGAGGCTGATTGTAAACCTTTAAAAAGTCATTTCAAGAAATCTATTTCAAGTGATTTGACGCATCTTTATTGTCTCTTTCGAATGGTGAAAACGACGGCTCTCTATATTGTTTTTTATCAAAAGTTATTCGAAAAATACTCACTGAATACGCACTATAGTATAACCGTCACATATAATATAAAAACAGTTCTCATCGAAATTTTATTATGATGATTTAGTTTAGATTCCATCAAATAGCATAGAACAATTAAAACAAAAATTTCTCTATCATACTGTATAGAACGAAAGTTGCTTTAAGTTCACTATACAGGATTTAGTGTCCCTTTCACTATTTTTGGTACGCCCTAATTACCACGCCTTCTTCGTTCATTTGTTCATATAAAATCTCATCTACACATATCGTTATGATTCTATTAAACAAGTGGTTACCCGGATTAAAATTCAATGTTTTGAACTAACGCTTATTTTTTAAACAGGTATTTCTCTTCAATCAACATAAGAAC